AGTCAATTTTTTCAGTGCTGTTGTAACTTTGAACGGTCACTAAATGAACTGTTGTAAGTCAAGGATTCCCTGTACAAAAAAAATGAAAATGGTGGGGAAGTAGGGAAGGAGAGGGGGAAAAGAAAAAAAAGCATTGATGTCTGACTCTTTTTAGCACAGTAGAATAATAACATACAGCCTATTTTTTTTTTTACTTTTCCATATTCGTATACTGTATATACTAGCCATTCTATAATATCAAACCTATCTAATCAGCAAAATCCAAAGTCAAAGTCTCATTTTGTTCCACCTCAAGCACAAACTCCCAAAACAGTTTCCAAATGGTAACAAAGTTAGCTGTATTCTTTTCTTTGATTAGGCATTAGGGCAATCAATTTGGCCATTTCTGCTAATTCCATCAGTTTTTCCAGCCAGTTATCCATTGTAGGGGATTAAAGTATCCCTCCATTTTTGTTCGTAGAACATTCTTGCTGCTGTTAGCATATATAACAACAGTTGTATTTTTTTTTTCAAGTTCTTTGTCCATTAATCCTAAAAGGAGCATCTCTGGTTTTATCTTTATATTCACTTAAAGAATCTTCTGTATTAAATGTGAATCTTATTCTAGTATTTATTTATTTTTTTGCTTTGTCACAAGTCTATCAGAGATGATAAATGTTTCTTCTTTATATTTATATTTCCAACATGCATTTGAAATACTTCTAGGCATACCAATGGCACATCATTTTACAAAAATTTTCTTTTAAGTTATAATTTAATGTAAAATTTAAACTCATCATCCAAATATGTTTCCATTGTTCAAGGGTTATATTATAACCAAAATTATTTGTCCATTGGCTCATACGGTGCTTCTCACACACTTATTTTCCAAATTCAATTTCTATAACTGTTTATAAACCTTAGCAATAATATGTTCATCTTTGCCGCATAGTATAGTTTCCAGTTCATTTTTTTTGCAAGGTCACATGCATAGCTTTTTAAAATCTAATTTAAACCTTTCTTTCAATTATAAATATGTAAACCAGTGACAGATATATCCTTTTGATTCCAACTCTTCTTTGGATTTGAAAGCAGGTTCACCTTGACTAAAAAAGTTATTATTTGACTATAGATCCACCAGTTTGGCCTCACCATCAATTTTTTTTTAAAAAAGCTTCTTGGGCTGATACCCAAAGATGTATCTTCACAGAGAACCTTATTTTATATTTATTCCAAACACTTAGGATGACACCTCTAAAAAGTGGTTGTTGAAATCAACATTTATTTAACTCATACTATAAGCAGCCATGCTATCCAATTCTTAGTTTGTGACCCTTCAGTTCAAGTAATCTCTTGTTTTGGAGAGTCATCCACTCTTTAATCTAGACCAAACAACAAGCATTAAAAAACACTTTTTAAACCCAAACCTCCTCTTTCTTTAGCATCTTGAAATAATTTCTGTCTAATTTTTGGTTATTTCCCTTGTCATGTGAACTTAGAAATATCTATTTGCCGTTGTTTATAAATACTTATATTTATAAGAATTTAAAAGAATCGGCAAAGTCTGAAATAAAAATAAAATCTTTGCTATCCAGAAAAGATAATTGCAAGTTGTCCCATTTTAGTAGGTCTTTTTTGATATCATTCCATACATGTACAACGTTTGAAACAATTTAGAATTTGTATTTGTCAGTGTAACCCCAAGATATTTCACCTTTTTCTCCACCTTGAAGCCCAATGGTTTTTAAGGTTTCATAGTCCTGAAAACTCATATTTTTAACAAGCATTGTTGTTTTCTGTTTATTTGTTTTGAAGCCTGATAAAGCTCCTAACTCATTTATTTTCTTCATCAAGTATTCTGTACCAACTTTTGGATCCTGCAGAAATATGACTAGGTACTTGAAAGGATTGATGAATAAGTCAACATTTACTGGGAGTGGGACAGATAACTTGCAGTATACAGTACAATAAATATGTATATTTCATTCCAATGGATGTAGCTCAGAACCAATTGATGGCCTCATTGGGGCATTCTTCTCTGATGAAAATAGCTGTTACCATGGAAGTAGCTTCCATTAGTTTACTCACAAATGCTTTGCCGAAAAAAAGCCCTTTTAATTCACACTTTCAGTCTAGCTGTTTATTGAAAACAATGGGAGGACTAAACTATTCTAATGGAATACAAGATCTAGTAACTCTTCATCACCGTCTGTAGTAACAGGAGAAGTGTTGCTAATTTCTTCATTTATCTTGCAAAAAATGTTTTCCATATACAGAACCATTTTAAACCCGCTTCTGTGAGCAAATAGCTGATTAACATGTCTTTCATGATTCTAGCTAAAACATTTTGGTAGCTGTGATATAGACCCTTTCCCTATGACAGCCAGCCTTCCTTCCTTCCTTCCTTCCTTCCTTCCTTCCTTCCTTCCTTCCTTCCTTCCTTCCTTCCTTCCTTCCTTCCTTCCTTCCATTTATCCATCCATCTATTCATTCATTCATTATTTTCCCTCCCTCCCTTCCACCATCTCTTTTTTTAATCTAGTTTGCTTGCTGCTTTTCTAATCTGTGATTTTGGGGTATTAGGTTTTCCTGCTGTTTTCTGCTTTTTATTGTTCTAAACTTGCAAGAAAATTGTTTTTAAAAAGTCCATACTCAGTGGTCAAAATTGCCCTTAATTTAGCCTTCTGGAACAGTGAATCCTCTTGAAATATTTATTGCTACGGATTTCTGGTACAGGTATAGTAATACTGGTGCTTTGCTGAACTGAACAATTATTGAGAGGACTGTTACATTTTCACCATTTTCAGTCATTTTATGCTATACTTTGATAATGAAAAAGATTCATTTGGCCATAATGCAAGGTATGGTTTAGAGTTAACAAAAAATAAGTGTGTGTGCTCTTTAATTTCTGCCCTTGCAGAGGTCACTAGCAGAAACCAGAAGCTTTGCTTCCTTTTGTAACTAATTGCATTTTACTGTTATGAATGAACAATGGCCTAATAATGGCCAGTGAAATTGTGGCTTGACTTTTTTGTCTTGTAATGCAGAGGTGGTCAAACAGTGAGCTCCACTCCAGGGATTGTGAGTAAATGGGGGTGGGGGGGGGGGCGTTATAAATTTCTGAATTCATAGTTGGTGGGCAAAGAATTCAGTCCACCTAGGAAGACGGCTTGCTTTCAACCTAATCTATTAATTTTGAGACATGGAAAGGAGTTCAGATCTCCTTATCCTCAACCAGATGACAGAGTGTTGTGGATTGGCATATCTCAGGCTTCTAGAATGCAGTGTAAAAACACTACACAATTAGAGACAGCTTAATCCTTCCAGCAATTATAAATATCTCTATAATTTGTGGCTGTTACAGTTATTATTACTACTATTGGTATTGCCGTTGCTATTATCATTGGCATGATTGACACACATTTGCATGGCACCGTAAGGTCTGAGAACCCTGAGTTTAGTACAAGAGATTGTAACTCGTTGAAGAGCCTTTTCCTGACATTGATTTAACCAAAAAAAACGCCAAAAAATTTAATACCATTAATATAATTGTGCCCTGTGTATATAATTTCTCTTTTTTGTCACATTATAAAACCAAGAATTCAGTACCAACTTTATAGGACATCTTGAACCCGCAATACAAACATTGAGGGTAATATGCAGGTAGTCCTTGACTTATGACCACAATTGGGACCAGAATTTTGGTGGCTAAGTGAAGTGGTTATTAAGTGATGCATCACATGACTAGACCTGATTTTATAACCATTTTTGCTATGGTCATTAATTATAAGATGCTTATAAGCATCTCTTTGTCACTTTGTAAGGTCAGTGCAAGAATCCTAAGATGTACCCAGGAGAATCTTGTCAACATTTCTTCTCCTTTAAAAAAAAAGATTCCTCCCCCATCAGATTGAATCATTGAAGATCATACATATCAGAAAATACTTCCTCAATATTGCCTATCATTTCAGGTTCAAAAGTTTCTGAATATTTGTTATGGAGAAATAGTCATAGAAGATTATTCTCCTTTGTAGACTTCCAAGAAGTCTCCGTAGAAAACAGTGGTAATGAGATGGAACTTTCCACTGATCCAGCAGGGCTCTTATGTGAAGGAAAGGATATCTTTTTGTTTTAATTTTTTTAAAATTAGGAATAGTCATATTCCTTTAAAAGGGGAATGGGAAAGAGGAGATGAACTAAATCAAAACATACCGTATCTTAGTGATGGGCAGCCTATTTCATCAATATTTGGAATGAGATAATTAAAATCTTAGAATCAACATATTGTTCATCTAGTTTCGGAAGCTGAAAATCTATTTTCCAGAAGAGGTACTGAAGAAAAATGTAGTGGGATCAGTAGTGTCACTTGAGTTAAAAAGTTCATATTTTCTGTGAGTTTTCATTCAAGAATCTTCTAGTGATTGTTTTTCTTCAGCTGTCTCATCTATGACGTCTAAGGAGACATCTGCCGCTGCCCCTTCTTAATTAATGGATAAGTGCTCTGCTCATTTGGCTAGCCAGACTGAATGGATCCAAAAACCATATGCCACTTTGGCTGCCCACCTCCTCCCAATTTTATCCTGCAACCAGTTCATAGAATCATTTCAAGTTATTCAGGCAATATTGATGGTCTGTGGAATATATTTTAAGAAACTCTGTAGTAGGAGAACCATTGGCTGAGAAACACTCAGTAGTACAAAAGGAAGCTTGAGGTGATAACTGATGGCATAGGTAGCATGAAAAATGGGGCAGGAGCAGTGATGGGTTTCAAAAAATTTTACTACCGGTTTTGTGGGTGTGGTTTGGGCATGGCATGGCTTGATGGGCGTGGCTTGGTGGGTGTGGCAGGGGAAGGATACTGCAAAATCCCCATTTCCTCCTGATCAGCTGGGACTTGGGAGGCAGAGAATAGATGGGGGTGGGGCCAGTCAGAATTTTTACTACCAGTTCTCCGAACTACTCAAAATTTCCACTACCGGTTCTCCAGAATATCACTGATGCAAAAACCCATTTGTTTGCAGCTCCTTGAGATGTGTATGAAGAACTGTGGGCCACGTTTCCAGTCTCTGATAGTGAAACGAGATTTTTGCAAAGATAGGCTAGTAAAGCTGCTGAATCCAAAGTTTAACTTACCAGTGGATTTGCAGGAGAAAATTTTGACCTTTATCATGGTAAGCTTTTTTTCCTTATTTCCTTTTTGCTCCCTTGATGAAATAAATGTAATCAATGTTTCATGATAGCTGTGCTATGGTGCCTGGAAAGGGAGTGTGTGAAAACCAGTTTCCTTCTCCTCTTTGAAGCTCTGTAGTGAAGAGTGAAAAGTGAAGAGAAGGATAGAGAATCTGTTGGCCTGGTTTTCAAATGATTCCTTTGTAGTTACATAATCTTCCCTATCTGCTCATACTGAAAAACCATAGGGCAATCGTTCTGTATTTTTTCTGCTCTTAAGAAAAAAGTTATTTTCCCAGTCAGCAAATAAAAGAAGTGTTTCTGACGGGAAAGTGGGAGTTTTCCTTCACTGTTGGTTATCATGGGACCATACAGAATCATAAATTCACTTCTACATCTGAGTGGGCCAAAACAGAAATAAGAAACCTTCACGTCCCATTTTAGCCTTCAGTTTCCAGAAGCCAATAGTAATGGGTTATGGAAATTGTGACTCAAACATCGAAAAGCATCCGTTTGCTTACCTAAGGTATAAAATTTAGCCATTCCCTAGTTGGCTAGTAAAGCTGGAAAGATCTGTGAAAATAAGAAATAAAGTCAGCCTTATCTTCACAGAACTTTCCAGCTTTACTAGCCATCAAGAATAAAATATTCTAATCTCTGATCCTTAATAAACTATTTCTGAGAGTTGCTAAACAGTTAGAATGACTCCTCTATCTACTGAAATGGTTTTGTGACAGTGCTTCCATGAGACGAAAATCAAAATTTAGCATGACCTTTTATACAACTAGTAATTCCTCTAAGCTAACCTATCACATAGAGGAATAAACATTCACAAGTTTGCTGAATATGAGAAACATCAGCTTTGAGAAGAACAAAAGAAGGATCTAAGGCTCCATCTAATCTATTGTCCTGCCTATGTTGCCTGTGGGTATGGAATGGCATGTTACCTCTCAACAGAGGCATTGTATGAAGACTTTAGTTCTTTCCGCATTACACAGCAGGGGTTGACAATTTACAGCCTGTGGGTTGGATGTGGCCTGCCACCTGAAATAATCCAGCCTATAGCCCCCAAAATAAGTATATTTAGCTGACCCACAAAAGACAGGGAGAGAACAAACGGCTATTTTTTGAGCTCTTATCACTTTACTGGCTGCTTCACCAGTCATCTCTACATCGGCAACACAGCAAGTCCCCTGTCCAATGATGTGGTAATAGGGAGAAAATGGCAATAACGTGGCCTTTGATTCTATGTGGGAAAAGGAGAATCCCTGTTCTGAAGTATCCATTTTGAGAAATTTGAAAGATCTTCATTAAATAGTTTGGTCAATTTTTTTTTCTGAACCTTTGATTTGGTTTTAATACATAGACAACTCTTAATGTATCTAAAATGGTTCCATTGCAATACCAAGGAATCCTTTTGCTCCGTCTTGGTCTGTCCGTGTACTGATTCGGCAATTTAATGCATCAGGTTCTTTTCTGATACAGCTCATTCCTCTGAAAGTCTTTTGAAGAAATATCATAGCTGTTATCCATAACATTTTTGGCCCAAAATGGGACTTATCAGGTTTTGAAGGGGGCTTAATTGGATTCAGAAACTGTAATCTTTTTTCACAAACAGACCTGGGCCAGGGGGTTTCAGAATGCTGTGGATGTGAGTGAAGTCAAGGAGGTTTATCTGGAGCTTCTCAAGAAAGGAGTTGAATTTCCATTCTCAGAGATCAACAGGAGAACCACTAAGGTAAGTGCTTCATTGGGAGCTGCTGATTTGAAACAGGCTCTGCAAGTTGCAAAGATTGACACATGCAGAGAAGGTATGTTAATTAACTCAATAACGTGTATCTGGCACAGTGATTTCCTTTGCTAATGAAACCAGTCATCTGTTTCTGTCTTGGAGCTTTTTAAAAAATCTAAGAGTAGGAGGAATAGTTTAAAACTATTTCTTAAACAGGAAATGTAGAGGTTAAATCTGCCCACGGAATCCTAGTAACCCAGGATTCTTCCTCAGGATAAAGGAAATTAAGTGTCTGGATTACCCTGAAGGCTTTGCAAAATCCACAAACATGTAAACAAAACTGAACACTTGCACAGAAAACACGAGATATCTTTTGAAATCAGAAAATGAGTTTAAATAATTTTATTATTATTATTTCTAATGTATGCCTTAAAAATCAAAAGAATTTGATTTCCCAGAATTCATAATGATGGGTATATAGGTAGATCTTGATTAGTTAATGAATTCCACAAAATGATTTGCTTTATTCAAATTTGCATTATTCAAAGTGATATTTCCATGGAAAATATGGTAATTAGTTCCAGCTTGACCAAAGTAGGCAATGAAAACTTTTAAGCATAATGTTTATATATACTTATATTAATGAAATATTACAATAACTGTAAAGCATTGTATCTCAACCTTGGCAACTTTAAGATGTCTGGAATTCTGGGAATTGAAGTCCAGACATCTTAAAGCTGCTAAGGTTGAGAAACACTGCAATAAAGACAGGGGTGAAATCCAGCAGGTTCTGACAGGTTCTGGAGAACCGGTAGCGGAAATTTTGAGCAGTTCGGAGAACCAGCAAATACCATCTCTGGCTGGCCCCAGAATGGGGTGGGAATGGAGATTTTGCAATATCCTTCCCCCAGGAGTGTTTTGCATGTGCAAATCTAAATTCTGCATTTGCTAGCTTTGCATTAATTAAGTTTTGGATCACATTAAATGGTATCAATTTACAATTTGCACTAAATCAAATATTCCATTATGTTAACTCACTCTAATTGCAACCTCTCTGTATGCTCATTCTAAGCTATCTTAGTGAATAGTATTGGACTGTTGCTAGTTTTTTCATTACAAGTACTACATATTTTTCAACCTAACCCTGAAATTTATCAATTATAAACATTACATGAGACTACTATTACTTAGTTACTATTGGGACTTAAACGAACCAAAGAAGGGATCAGTACTTGAGATCTGTTGATTTCTGATGGTTGTTTAAAAACATCAAGAGATTGCATTTTAAATATGATTCACCTATAACGGTCGCTAAACAAATGGTCATAAATTGAGGTCTGTCTGAATGTTAAGTCTCATAACTGAGGAAAAAAATTCAACTAAGACTCTTGCCATTGAATTTAGAGATAAAGTAAGAATTAAAGTGTGATTGACACTTTAAAGCGTTCTAAATATATTTGCATGTCCATACCAACATAAATATGTGGGATAAAAGTGTGGCCTCTTCGAAGTACCTCCTACGTTTAAATGTTGAAAATCTATTTATATCCACAGCCTTTGTCTACAAGAATATCTTATAATTCCTCCCAGAAGTGCCTTTCAAAACCCCTCTCCCCAACTGCAGTAGTAACACTGATTCCTGAGCAGGTATGGTTTGTTCCTTCAAATATTTTACAAATTAAGCCTCATCATTCTAAAACTCTCAGATTTGAACAAGAGTGTAGGTTTGTAGTTTATCACTTACTATCTTATCAATACATTTTAATTGATAGGTGTCTGGTGGGACAGGCTACCCCCACCTAGCTGGAGAAGTAAGGCTGAATTTTCAATTTAAAGAGAGAAGAGAAGGAACATTCTTCTCCTTATAAGCCAGTAGGAAAATGTTCAGATATAAATGTTGATTTTTTTAAAAAAAGAGAGAGCACAGACCACAATGGGCCTTTCATTTATTATGAATTGAATCTTATGCTTTTTGACAGGTTGGAAAGCTCTACAGTGAACTGGACATGGTAAAAATGAATGTCAGAGTCATGTCAGCAATATTGAAAGAAAATGTTCCTGGAGCAGAAAACCCGGATGATATGGCACTTCTACAGGTAGTATAACACAGATATTTTTTTTTTGTTATTGTTGTTTCTGTTTTGTGCTGGAAGTGTAAATACTTTGTGCACTACCGTCAAGCAGTCATTATACAGCAGGGGTCCCCAAACCCTGGGCTGCGGCCCACTACTAGGCCGCAGCCTGTTCAAAACTGGGCCGCAGGAGAAATGGGAAAGCACACGCGTAAAGCTCTAGTTGTGTGAGTAACAGGCAAACACATGCATTTGTACGAAGCTTCACTCGTGAGCATATGTGTGAAGCTCTGCTCACACGAGAGGAGGACACTTGCGCTCATGCATGAAGCTCCATTCATGCAAATGAAGCTTTGGATGCAAGTGCCCTCCGCTCCCACAAGTAGAGCTTCCCATGCTCGCACAAGCACCCTCCAGACAAGCGCCTCCACTTACGAGTGTACCTTCACGTGCAAGCACAAGTGCCTGCTGCTCGTGTTAATGGAGCTTTGTGCACGAGCACAAGCACCCTCCACTTGCACGCGGAGCTCCATGTGTGCTAGCGAAGGGCGTGTGTGCCTGCCACTCACAGGCCCTCCCTCCCACCGAGCCAGGCCGGACCACCAAGCTAGAAAGGTTGGGGGCCACTGTTATACAGAAGTTTAGTAGGTGGCAAAAATATGGACAGCATATCACAAGTCAGAAATGCTCCAAGTGAGATTGCTCAACTGGCTCTGGCAATTCCTCAGTTGCTCCCTGAATTCCCCAGAATGATGATTGTATGATCAAGAAGCATTTTGGGCATAGTGAGATATCTTTTCATCTAACTCTTTTCTTATTAATAAAAGCACTAGTCTGCCAAATGCAAGACTCCAAAATATATGGAGTGTGAATGAAAGTCACAAGGAGGGGGCAAAATTTGTTCTTTCAAAATCATAGCAACTTCTTTAGGTTCTGCCCACTTTAAAAATGGTTATTTGTTTTACATTATCCCTACTAAAAGTCTAGCCCTTGACTTACAACCACATCTGCAACCAAAAATTCTGTTGCTAAGCAATGCAGTTGTTAAGTGAGTTGTGCCATATCTTACGACCCTTTTTGCCACTATCATTAAGTGAATCACATTGTTGTTAAGTGAATCTGGCTTGATTTTGCTTGTTGGAAGTTCCCTTTGAAGGTTACAGATGGTGATTACATGACCCAGGGATACTGCAACTGTCATAAATACATACTAGTTACCAGGCGCATGAATTTTGATCACATGATTTAGTGTAGCAGGTAAGGCTAGAAACCGGGAGGTTGGGAATTCTAGTCCTGCCTTAGCCATGAAAGCTGACTGAGTGGCTTTGGGCCAGACCCTCTGTCTCAGCCCAACTCACCTCACAGGGTTGTTGTTGTGGGGAAAATAGGAGGAGGAAAGTGTGCTGGATATGGTTGCCGCCTTGAATTCTTTACAAAATAATAAAGGTGGGATATAAACATAATAAATAACTGCAGGGATGCTGCAACAGTCATAAGTTACTTTTTCAGTGCCACTTTAACTTTGAATGGCCATTAAACAAATGGCCGTCGGTCGAGGACTTTTTGTAAGCATTTGTAGCTGGCGTATGCCACCATTTTTCCATAGCGACAAGATTCCCTCAGTTGCCATCTCTCAAAGGCTCCATGGTAACCCCAGCTGAGGAAAAGATGGGGCAGTGCTGCTAGAAACAAAGTATCTGGGGCAGTGATTGTCTAGCATACCCTCCCCCCCTCCTTTATATATTCTTTTTAATTATATTCTCTTCTCCTTTCGGATATCCTCTTATTTCTTTGTGAAACAGTAGCCTGTGAAAAGCAACCTATTATTCCCCAAAGTCTGACCTGATCTCTTGCAGAAAATTGGGCCGAAAATTACAAGTTGCCTATCTATCCCTGATTTGTAGCATGGAAAATATTTTTTCCCTTTCCTCCAGTCCCTTTTGATAGTTTTTAATAAGGTGGATTTGTGTGGCATTACGCTATGACTTCAAATAATGAGATGAGGTATTTAGTAAATAAGGACAGAGATTACCTCATACTGTAAAATGGTAGGTCTGTAATCAGATACTGCTGTGAAAATATCAGCTCATGAAGAAACAGGAGTTAGACTAGGGAGCAATATGGTGTCTTCTTGTTTGTTTTTAATATGTCATGAGTTTCGCAACAGAACCTAATTAGTCTTTAAATATCATAAGATTCTGTGGCATGACTGCCCCTCTGGGGGCTTTATGATAATGTATATGTGGTAGTCCTCCAGTGATTTCTGGATCACTATATTTCTATGTTTGTTTCCTTTGTGCTACAGTGGACTTTATCTAGCTAAGATCTATGCAGCCCAATTCTGTGCATGCATATTTGGGGATGCCTATATACCGGTGATGAAATCCAATTTTTTTTTACTACCGGTTCTGTGGGCATGGCTTGGTGGGCGTGGTGTGGCTTGGTGACCGTGGCAGGGGAAGGATACTGCAAAATCCCCATTCCCTCCCCATTCCTGGGCCAGCCAGAGGTGGTATTTGCCAGTTCTCCAAACTGTTCAAAACTTCTGCTACCGGTTCTCCAGAACCTGTCAGAACCTGCTGGATTTCACCCCTGCTATATATCGTATCTCTGTGCACAACAGGATTTACTCCCTGTATCTCAATGAGAAGCAAGATGTTATCCCTATTCAGAAATGTCCAGAATGACAGAATACAAAAAAGTAAGGTAAAAATGTTAAAGTAAACACTAAAATAACATTGAACCCTTCAGAAGCAGAGTAGTTGCATTTATTCTCTGACAAAACTTTAAGGTGGAATCTTCAAAGCATGTAACAACATTCAGTCTTTTGCTTATTTTCCTCATCCACTTTAAAAAGAAACAAAATTTTAATGCATTTCTTTCCACAACTGGAAAAATTTAAATCATGTTGCAAGAATAATTCGGAGTCCAGTGGATCTTCAGCTTTTTCTTACAGTGGGGCCTCTGGCTTTCCAAAGGTAGTTTTTACTACTAACATTCTTTTTTTTCACAAGGAAATATGAACAATACTACAGGCACTGAGGGAACATCTTAGGGACTATTAGATTGCATGCTGAAACCTTTTATGTTTGTTTCCTGATGTCTGATGCTTCCTACTGTGGTGGTTATATGTTTTTTATTTCTTTCTTCCACATCTTTTCTGAAGAAAAGTAGTACGTGCTTGAGTGAATGGAAGCTGTATTTTATAAAATAAACATGGGAAGTTTTTTTTTTTAATAATAAACATTGCAAATGATATATAGGAAAGGTATGAAAATTCAGTTTCCTTCACAGGAGCCTGTTTTTTCTAAAGGTAATGGTAACCATGGAGTAAGTGTGTATTTTAGATAAAGATTTTTCAATTGTGTCATAACAATCATTGGATGCAAGAAAGGGTAATGAAAGGAATAAAGTGGTTAGAGCAATTTCCTTTTGTACTTCAATCAATTTCACTGAAGAGAAAAATAAGCCAATTGGGGTATTATCTTCAAGTTTTCCAAAAATATGCATGATGAGGGAAATGGTAGCTATGTTTGACTTTCCTGTAATCTTACAATTTGAGGCTGTCTATCTAGCTGTCTTGATTCCTGAAACAACATGTATCTGTGCACACAAACACATATTCTAGATAAGTATTCAACCTCCATGTAACAAAATCTATCGGAAATACACTCATTGGAAAGTTAGAAAGTCTCTGTTCTAAAACCTGACTCATACAAATGTTAAGTCGATTTTAAAAAGCAAAAGTCCAAATCTTGGTTTTCTAAATAAGCTACTGTTTACATCCATATCAATCTATATTTTCAGTTTATTGTTAAGGCTCTCTCCCCTATACATAATTTGGCTGTAATTGGAATTTGGATGTCACACTTATACACAGTTAATTTATGACTTAGCATAATGACAAAACACATAGCAGTTGGATTCTAAGCATAAAACAAACAGTAGTATGGCTTAGCATTATGTATGAACCAAACCTGTGTCTAAGTATTATGGTCCCTCTCATGTCTTGGAGAGAAATTTATAAAATGAAACACAGTTTTTATTAAATGTATGTTTAAAAATGCACACCATTTTCTGTGATATATGAATGAAACACATTCTAAATGCCTCCCATTCCTGCAGGAATATCTCTTGCAAAATTTGGATATAAATCCTTCCTTAAGGAACCTTAGTGGCAAAGTGGTTAGAATGTAGTATTGCAGGCTAATTCTGCCCACTGCTAGGAGATTGATCCTGACCAGCTCAAGGTTGATTCAGCCTTCCATCCTTCCTAGGTTAGTAAAATGAGGACCCAGATTGCTGGGGCGATATGCTGATTCTAAACTGCTTAGAGCAGCCATCCCCAACCTTTCTAGCTCCATGGAACGGCAGCAGCAGCAAGCGGGGAGAGGATGGTTTCATATGCACATCCTAGATCCCATGCATCCTAGACCCCTTACATATTCGTCCGCCACTTGTGCAGCCTGGTTCCCAATGGGTCTCAACCCGGGAGTTGGGACCTGGTTTAGAGAGTGCTGAAAAGCATTAAGAAACAGTATATAAGTGTTAAGTGCTATTGCTGTTGCTTGCATGTTCTTTGGTGCTGCATCCTTCATGATGCTAACTAAAGCATTTGCTGTATGGTTACAGTCACCAAAAGGGAGAGAGGCCTGTGGCCATTTCTAAAATGTTTTTTACTATGTCAGTTTTAAAACGTGACACGTTTTCGCCGTAAAACAAAAGATGGTGGATGGGTTAATGAATTAATGACATGTTTTTTAATGCCTTGTGGACTTTTGATATTTTCAATATTTTCAGCATCTCTTATTTTTGCTGTTCAAATGCAAATAGTATACCTTTTCTCCCTTGGTAGAAACTCTACAAAACAAGCCGGGCAATGCAAGATAGAATTATGGAATTGCTAGCAACTGTGGAGAATGAAGACGTGATTACTGAACTCATACAAATGAATGAAAATCTAAATAACGTCTTACTGGGACATGAAAGGTATTTTACTTACTGTTATTAATGTTATATATGTAGTCTGTGATAACAAATTGTTGTGCCTGTCTTCATGAACAGCCTATCTCTTATTTACTCTCTCCTTCTACCCAACAAAGGGGTAAAGGAATTCTGGATCAAGTTAGGAACAGTTCATAGAAATAATAAATGAATTGTTTATGTTCTTTGTATCAGACAAGTATGAAGCCTAATAAATGGAGTTTGAGTATAGAATAAACTTCAACCTTTTTTGAGAAGCATATCAGAAGGAAGAAACAAACATAGCTCCTTACCAAAAGTTCAAATATCTATAAATAGGTTAAACTATCAAACTATTTTCTTTGCTGAATTGTTTGTAAAAATGACTATAAAATAGTATCATCTATAACACAATGTTCAGAGGCTGTAAGATGAATAAGATATCACACAATTGGTACAAAAATTGTAAACTCATTTAATCAAGCCAAGGGTTGACCACTGATATAACCGTGAAGACCTAAACTCCCTTTGTTCTACTATTATGGAAGACTGGATATAAGACATTAAGTACTACTCTGTTATTATATTAAAAGTATTATAGCAATAAAAATTGCTATACCCTTCCCCCTCATATCAGAATACATGTAAATACTAGGGGGTTGTGGAATGTCTTTTGCAATGCAGGTCATCCTTGCTTACCAACCACTTGTTCAGTTGCCCTTTAAAGTTATAACAGCACTGAAAAAGGAGAACCCTGCTCGGCCCTCAAAGTTGCAGCCATCACAGTATCCTCACAGTGACATGATCCCAATTTTAGCATTTGCATCCTGTGCGCATTTACTATGATTGCAGCATCCCATGATCATGTTATCAGCATTTGCAACCTCACAGCCAGCTTCCGACAAGCAGAGTCATTGGGGAAGTTGGTAGGAAGTCTTAAGTCATTCAGCAGAATGTGATATTCTACTCAATAAACCTCAGTGATTCTCTTTAACAATTGCAGTCAGAATTTATGTAAGTCGAGCAACACGCACATGACATTTCACTTTATGACCATGTCATTAATGGAATCACCAGTCCTAATTGTACTTGGTTATTGAAGACTGCCTGTATAAGAAAAAAAAAAGAGTTTAGAATCTCAACAGACTGAATTTATATCTGAAGTTCAAACTGGAGCAGTCCAGTGCATTTAAACATACGGTAGCTTGAGATTTCCATCCAAGGCTAGTTGTAATATTCAACATTTTTTAGCTTACAAAGTTTTCTTTTTCAGTTAGATTTGGAAGGTGATTTGAGCTGATTGATTGCCTTTATGAAGAAGATCAGTTACTCTGGGACATGAGTATTGAGAAGCTGAGCAGACACTAATTACCTGGCTCATTTGAAAATGCAATTTCTTTTCAAATAGAGTTCAAATTGAAGAACAAAAGATTCTGGTTATATTTCAAAATAACAATAAAAAGTGGTCTTCCCTAAGTGTGAATACAACTCTTGATAATAAGAGGTTTTATTACAAATACTAGGAAAGATACAGATAAAGGAAAGCAAACATTTATAAAATTCAAACTGTGCATCTTTCTCTCACCAGGAGATTTTGTGTGTTTGTTTGGTTTTTTGGTTGGTTGGTTGGTTATTTTGGCAGAAGAACCACCCAACATCTGTATATGTTACTATAACATGCACTTGCTTCTGCTAGGCTTCATGTAACATAGGCAGGTAGTCATTTTATAGGGATTTCAGGACAGTGTGTTACCACCAGAGGAAGGCACTGCATGACCAGTTTCCACCTATTTGGGACTCATTCCACATAATCAACCAGATATGTTTTCAGTTACCTTGATCATCAGAAGGCAGGCACTATGTGATTGGTTTGTCCTATTTGGGAACTTGTCAGTGCAACCTTCTTTTGTCTCTCAAGGCCTCATGTTCTATTCCTATCTTTAAGCCTTCAACCACAAGCCAAAAAAATAGGCGAAATCAATGTGAATTGTTGCAATTTTTGACAGGTTTTAGGGATGGCTAAGAGCAAGAGGCATCTGGGAGGTCTCCTTCTGTCATTCTTGCCCTTAGGTTTGAAAACAAATTTAATTTTTTTTTAAAGTGTTATTGAATTCTGGCAGTTATTCTACTAGTTTTGGGTGCAAGAATGTCGGGTTGCTGGGCAAGGCAGTATTGCAAGCAATTTGAGCACAACCAATTTCTCACCTTTGCTTTATAAGCTGTTTGTTACTATCCAGGAGTGACATTACTGTACTCTTCACTATGATAGTTGTGTCCCATATTCCAGAAAGCCTCTTTCATGACCACTAAGTTTCCATACATTCTGAATGTTTGTGCTGCAAATTCTCAGGGTTCTAGTTTGTTATGCCTCCTTCCACATTAAGAGATATATAAGGCGGGTTCAGGAAGAATAAGTCTCCAGAGCTTTCTTAAACCAAGAGTTCTGTGCACTCAAATAAAGAGCAGGAAGGTGATACTCTGAAATCCTTCTTTTTCACTTTTGAGTCATCTGCTCTGCTGCTTATGGGAGCACCTACCTGCTATTGCACAATAGGAACAAAAGAGATTTATTTCAGTTGTTCCAGTAATACCTCTACAGTTTTGTTTCCTTATAGCATCTGTGGCTTAATGATGCTCAAGATTTGAATATGCTAAATCATCCCAGACTCTCAAATGTAAAAGGACAGGTATTGCATATAAATATGAAGGCTGCTATTAGTCTCCATATTTATGTGTTTTATGTTAGTAAAACTGCCATTGCATTGTTTGAAATTGATTGTATTGATTACACTATTTTTAATCTAGGTTTTCTAGAAACAGAGTACGCTTCTGGGAGAATCAGAGAATCCAGAATGAACGTGCAGCAGTAAGTAATTGATAATCATTTCTACCAGTCTAGAACAACATTTTGTGGTTAATAGCAATAGCAAAAGCACTTAGACTTATATACCGCTTCACAATGCTTTACAGCCCTCTCTAAACTGTTACAGAGTCAGCATATTTCCCCTAACAATAATCCTAAAATTCGGAATATTTTTTCTTTCCAAAACTAGGAATATTCACAGAATTAATTTCACTGGGTTAAGCATGGTTTATTCTTTTGGAAGTTCTCATCTTCCTACCCTCACAATATTCTAGTTAAATATTCTGCTAGAATAGAAAATTATAGTAAAAAACAAAAGCATTCAGGGAGGAGTGAGGATTTATACAAAGAAATCTGCTCTAAGCATGATCGGAATGAAGAGCTTCGAGAAAGAGAAGAGGGAAAAACATGTTTTGAACACAGGAAAGCAGCTATTATCATCTGCCTGATCTAAATCTCACCTGGCAGAAGACAATCCTCTTTTGTTCACTCATCTTCAATGTGCAGTAATCTTCTGGTTGGCATGGAATCATATGTCATATTCAATATAATTTACGCTTATCAAATAACAGGTAACAAATGTAAAAGCTGAGTAAGATTTCTAAGACATTCTTAACTGGGCAGGAACCGTTGAAGGAAGTTAATTATTTCATTCTGGCTTTTGAAGTCATATTTAGTACTTTAGTGGTCTTGGCCAATGAATGGATTCTCCTCACCAGGAAGGAGACAAGAGGAATATGCCTCAATTGATCTTCTGAATTTATCAGCAATTTGTGGCATCCAGAAATATGAGGACAGGGTGAAATGGGGATTTTGTTTCTTGGGATTGTGTCCAAAAAGCCTGTGGAAATCTCATGTTCAACATCAGGAATTTAATAGAGACCATGCTTTTTCATTCATTTGATTTGATTTTTGATGCTACCCAACTCCAGCTGACTCTAGGTGGCTTACAGGATAAAAAAGTTTTTAAAATAATACAAAAACAACAAATAAATAAGAACATAATCAAAATCAATCCCCTCCCCAAATTACAAAACAGTTACAAAGTGACAAACCCACATATCTGAAATGCCTGGAGGAATAGCCAGTTTTTCATATAAAATCACCTAGAAGTGATAAGTATTTTGGGTAGAGATATAGCACTATGCTGATGAGACCAAATATGATTCTTGTCATCTGAACAAGATAAGTGTATGAAGATGATGAAACAATACCTCAGAGAACCACGAATATGAATCCTACAAGATAGTTGTTCTTTAACTGATCCTTAGTTCCAAGAGTTAGAGGCATAGCCTGTTGTGATGTCCCATTCATGCGCGCGCGCGCACACACACACACACACACACCACGGGTGTAAAGAGACTTTATTGAGGTTTCCGAACCTGAATTGATATTCCCCAGCAATTCCCTGTGCCGGCACAAGCTCAACCCCAATGAGTCTCTCAAGCTACTCAAATGAAGCCAACACTATTCCTCAAGGCAAAGGCAAGTCCAGTCCACTAGGCCAAAGCAAGTTCCCAAGGCAAAGGCAAGTCCCAAGACCAAAGCAAACCCACAAGCAAAGGCAAGGCAAGGCAGAGAAAACAGCTGGAGTCACAGTCTGAAGTTCAAGGCAAAAACACACAACAAAACAACAAACACGTTGTTCCTAGCATCATCTCCATCTGTCTGCTGTTCTAAATAGTCAACTTCTGGTGCAGCCTCAAGAAGGGCAAGGCTGCCTCCTTGTGAGTAATGTGGCTGACCTTCGCTGCTCCTGCCTTTTATCTGCCCTATCTGTTCTTGGATTAGGTGCAGAAGGCAGTTCCTCTTCCTCATTGCTAATCAGCTGCAGCTGTATGCTTTCCCCACCTGAAGCCTCATGGATGTCCTTCTGCGGCTGTGCTTCAGCCAAATCAGTCTCAGATGGCTGCTTGGAGCCATTGACCAACTCTCCTCCTGTCATGCCTGGAACTTGGTTCATCTTCCTCTGAGCTGACATCTTGAGAAGTATCTGGGAAAGCATCCGGGGAAATTATCACACATGTCCTGAATAGGGTTGTACTCCACCCAAAAAAGAATAAATCTCTTGGGAGTAATTTTGATGCAGCCTAGTTATTGGGAGGCCTAAATGGCTAGTGTGGTTCTGAAGACAATCCGGAAACAACTAGCAGTGTGGGGTCTTTGATGCTCTCTGAGCTTGGTTGTTTTCTTAGAGACATTTCATTACCCAAACTGGGAACATCATCAGTGCCAGTGAACTATCAATGTTTTGTCAGGAACTATTGTCAGAATCCACATATTTTCGGGAAAGGCTTAACATAAACTATCTAAAATGAATTAGAGGTCCTTATGTTAACCATCACAAAATCCTACATCACTTGAGAGCTGAATATCTGAAAGATTGCCTCAAGAAGAACTACAACAGCTTGCCTGGGACCTTAAATCCTCCTATCTCATCATGAAGAAAAATATAGCAATCAGTTCTACTATGAATGTGCAGTGTTCTCTTCTGAGAAGTATTTCTATTCCCAATTCAAAAAAATTTGAGCCCCAACCTATTTCTAGCAACTTTTGCTAGAAATTCATGAAAAGTAAGTGGAATTTGCTGCCCTGTTTTTTAAATCTTGTGTTGGTTTGATCTACCCTTATTGAAGTAAGACTGTTTGTTTTTGTTTTAGAGTTGTTGTTACCTTAAATGCAGTATGGCTTGTCAGGCAGGATGCAAATTTAATGAATACAGTATGTAAATAATCATTGACTTCAAGCAATCCTCACTGCCAACAAGATGTGTTTCAATGAGAGATTATTTGCAGTTAGAGGTGTTTAATATGGGCTCAGAGGCAAAGTAGGCATCATGTCTAACAACTTTGTTTAATTTTAAGGCCAGTGGCAACCAACCATCTGCTCCTTCCTGTGATTTGCTTGACCTTGAGTCATGTCTTCCTGCTGCTGTGCCACAGCCTATGAGAACTGACCTTCCCCAGTCTTCAGAGTTAAGTAAGTAAAATATATAAACGCCAATATTTTAACAGAATTTTAGAAGCTATGTAAGAAAAAAAAAATAAGTTCTTTGGGATCCACTTTGCAGATTTGTTTGAGAACTGTGCTAAATGGAAATGTATTTTTAAGCGTAATTTTAAATGTGTTTCAAGTAAAGGTGGTGGCTTATCTTCCTATCAGTATTTAGGATTTTTTTTTCAAATTCTACCAGAGAAATTCTGCTGATATTCAGAGCAGTAGCAGTAGGTAGGCTGTCTTAAGAGGTTGTCTTTGGAGATTCTCAGTCATCTCAGTCATCCAGGTTTTCCCAAATGTGCTTTTTTCCAGAAAGTCCAGTTGCCTCTTGAAAAAAGCACCTTTAGGACTTCTTTAGAGGTTGTTGGTTTGGAGGAGTTCTGCCCTCTTCCTGGCATGGCAGCAAGAAGATAGATTGCTCTTGAAGTTGCACACAAAGGTGGCAGAAAATTTGACTGTTACACTGCCTAGCTCCAGGCTTATGGGATGCCTATCCCAGTCTAACATGTCAGGTGCACAAGTAGTCCTTGACTTAACAACCGTTTGTTTAGAGACCATTTGGAGTTACAATGGCACTGAAAAAAGTGACATATGATCATTTTTCATGCTTAAGACCTATACAGCATGGTCCCATGATCAAAACTCAGACACTTGGCAACTGACTCACATTTATGATGGTTGCAGTGTACCAGGGCCATGTGATCTTCTGATAAACAAAATCAATGGGGAAGCCAGATTCACTTAACAACTGTGTTATTAATTTAACAACTGCAGGGAGTCATTTAACAATTGTGGCAAAGAAAGATGTTAAAATGGTACAAAACTCAATTAACAACTGTTTCACTTAGCAGCAGAAATGTTGGGCTCAATTATGGTCATAACTCAAGGATTACCTTTATTGGTTACCATGTAGAAGGCAATATCAATATCTATTATTAGTATCTCATATGCATTTAGTGTGCCTAAGAAAAGTGTGCCTCAGAAAAGGTTAAATACTAAGCTCGTTAATAATAAGTTTTTACCAAGTGCTGGCCAGATTTGTTTCATATATTTGAATACATGTAGGAAAATTCTGCCATTCACAATCACTAACTTGCCTCCTTTTAGATTATCCGGCCCAAAGTATGGTTGCTCCACATCCTCATTCTGCTGTGCCATCAATATACCCTCAACTAAATTCACTTGGAATTGTGAATGCTTCGCAGTCTTCGTAAGTAGCAAAGTTTAAAGTCATGTAAACATTTAGACAACCTTTGACAGTTCATTAAGATCTCATCATTGGAAGTTTATCCAATAATTAGGTAGGCTTCTAGCAGATTTGATTTTCATTAATCCTTCATTTTAAAAGCTAATTTATGTAAAGCCATATAGCTATTGGGGTTGAACCAACAGACCAAGAAGCATAGCATTGCCTAATAAAATAGCAGTAGCACTTAGATTTATATATCACTTCAGAGTGCTTTACAACCCCCTCTAAGCGGTTTACAGAGTCAGCATATTGCCCCCAACAATTTGGATCCTCATTTTACCCACCTCAGAAGGATGGAAGGCTGAATCAATCCTGAGCCTGGTGAGATTTGAACTGCCAAATTGCAGGCAGCAGAAGTAGCCTATAGTACTGCATTCTAACCACTGCGCCACCATGGCTCTTCTAAATAGCTGAATAGCTAATTGTCCTGTTTTGGGCACAGAGGGAAAGCCATCATATATTCCATTCTATTTCTATTGTATTTTGTTGGTGGATTCCAATGCACTGTTTTTCTTCTAAAGATTCCCAACAGAAGCACAAAGGACATCCCAGGTGATTCCAAATGATCCAATGTATATCAATGTGAGTATCAAACTGTGTTCTGGTTTGTTTGTTTATTAAATTTATTAAATGTATTTTCATCTTGAGCTACTCTAGGCGGTTTACAACTATAAAAACAGAGAAATGAAAAGAAAGTGTAAATAAGACAGTAGCAAAGTAATGGAACAATAGAATAAACAATGAAAAAGAAAACAATGAGAATACAGCGATATGAGAAAAAAAAATAGCCAGGTAGGGAAGCGGGGGGGCGAGGGTTTTTTTACAATCAGTCTAGTAGCCACCTCCAGTGTGGTAATCCCCCATTGGGTTCCCTACCAACCAGAAGAGTCAGGTTTTCAGGCTCTTATGGAAAAATAGGAAGCTGGAGGCAGATCTCATCTTGGAGGGCAGGGTGTACAAAAGGCTATGCCCAAGGCAGAGAAGACTGTTTTTCTGGATCCCAAAACTCGGAGTTCTCAGTAGGCCCCCTCTGCCAGTGCGAGTGGGGCAGGTTTGTCCTAGCAGGACAAGACAGTTCATCAGACCTATGCCATTAAGGGCTTTAAAGGTCATAACCAACACTTTGAACTGCATCTGGAAGCAGACAGGTAGCCAGTGCAGTTTGTGGAACAGAAGTGTAATGCAGGCCATTCTAGGGGCGCCAAAGATTGCTCTCATTCTCACTTTGAACCAGCTGAAGCTTCTGAAGGGATTTCAAGAGTTGCCCCATGTAGAGCAACATGCCCCATGTAGAGCAGTTACAGTGGTCCAGATGATAGATGACCAGGCCTTGAGTAACTGAGTGAAGGGAGTCATGATTCAGAAAAGGTTGTAGCTGGTGCACAAACCAGAGCTATGTAAAAGTTCTCCTAGTCACACCCGTCACCTGCTCTTCAAGTTTAGTTTAAACTATTTGAGCTTAGTCACAAGCATCAGAAAAACTGTACATTTATTTTATTTATTTATTTATTTTATTCAATTTGTATACCGCCCTTCTCCTAGTGGACTCAGGGCGGTGCACAGCCAAAACTAAAACACATACCAATACAAAATTTAAAATTTTTAAAAGAATTTCATGACTTTGGCCCCAAAATTTAAAACATTCAAACTAAAACACATTGACAATTTAAAAAAACTAAAAAAGCTAGAAAAGGGGGGGGGTGTTTCACACCAGCCCTGCTTGATGGAAAAGAAAAGTTTTTAGGGCACGGCGAAAGACCCGGAGATCCGATATCCTTCTTATCTCTGGGGGCAAATCGTTCCAGAGGGCACGAGCTGCCACAGAGAAGGCCCTCCCCTGGGGGTCGCCAGCCGACATTGCCTGGCTGACGGCACCCTGAGGAGTCCCTCTCTGTGGGAACGTACTGGTCGGTGGGAGGCTATCGGCGGCAGAAGACGGTCCTGCAAATACCCAGGTCCTATGCCATGGAGCACTGTAAAGGTCGTGACCAACACCTTGAAGCGCACCCGGAAGACCACTGGAAGCCAATGCAGCTCACGCATTGTGCATGAGGTGTCACATGGGAGCGCCCCCTCGCTCCCATAAACCCCCGCGCAGCCGCATTCTGCACCAGTTGGAGCCTCTGGGTGCTCCTCAAGGGGAGCCCCATGTAGAGAGCATTGCAGTAGTCCAGGCGGGAAGTGACGAGTGCCTGAGTGACTGTGCGTAAGGAGTCCCGATCCAGAAAGGGACGCAACTGGCGAATCAGGCGAACCTGATAAAAAGCCCCCCTGGCCACAGCGGTCATATGCTCTTCTAAAGACAGCCGTGCATCCAGGAGGACGCCCAAGTTGCGAGCCCTGTCCATGGGGGCCAATAACTCGCCCCCAATAACCAGCGATGGCACCAGCTGGCTATATCGGGACGCCGGAAGCCATAGCCACTCGGTCTTGGAAGGGTTGAGTCGAAGCCTGTTACACCCCATCCAGATCCGCACGGCCTCCAGACACCGGGACATCACTTCAAGGGCGTCGCTGGGATGGCCTGGGGTAGAGATGTACAGCTGAGTATCATCAGCGTACTGATGAAACCCCATCCCAAAGCCATGGATGATCTCACCCAGCGGCTTCACATAAATGTTGAACAGAAAGGGTGAGAGGACCGACCCCTGCGGCACCCCGCAAACAAGGCGCCTCAGAGTCGACCTCTGCCCCCCCTGCCAACACCGACTGTGACCGGTCAGAGAGATAGGAAGAGAACCACCGCAAAATGATGCCCCCCACTCCCAGCCCCTCCAACCGGCGCAGCAGGATACCATGGTCAATGGCATCAAAAGCCGCTGAGAGATCTAACAGGACCAGGATAGAGGAGCAACCCCTATCCCGAGCCCTCCAGAGATCATCCACCAACGCGACCAATGCCGTTTCCGTGCTGTGCCCAGGCCTGAAGCCGGACTGGAGCGGATCCAGATAGACAGCTTCATCCGGGTACCCAGGAAGCAGTTGCGCCACCACACTCTCGACAATCTTCGCCAAAAAGGGAAGGTTGTACATACTTTAGTTGTATTCATTCTTTTGTAAACTATGATTTATAGGTTAGTGAGTTGTGTCGACACACCCACTAAGCATGCACTGTGGAAGAGAAATTAACCCTAACTTTTTCAGATCGTTGCTAAGGATTCCTAATCCCTAGTGATCAGTTGTAGCCAAGAAATACAAAAAGGCACATAGGCTGAATTTATTTCCTCAAAGCTCATTGTTTTGTAACCAGCATATGCCACATGAATGCAAGTACAAATAAATTTTAAGAAATCACCAGGGTGGAATTGATTTTTTTAAAAAATGTATTGTCCAGGATGCAGAGTCTGAGGTGTCTGATTCCGTAAACCAAATGCAGAATGTTTTGAATTCTACTGTCTTAATTCCATGGGGTTAATGCAATCTAAACAATCCTGTAGATCTTTTCTAAATGATTCATTCAATGCCATCTAATTTATAGAGAGCTAACAAAAAGCTGATTTAATGTACTGTTTATATTAATAGAATCCTTAATTGCTTTTATTATAACCTTATGTAGTATAGACAAAAAAGAATGAACCATCTTGTTATGCTAAACCATTTTTTACCAACGCATCTTCTTGCATATCTGATTTAATTCACTTAATTTCCTTAGGTAAACACATGTTTAAATCCAGAGCCCTTGCATGCAGTAAACCATCTAAGTAATGGTACAGGAAATGCACCACCGGGAGGTAAATTTTTATTATTGCAATTAGAGTTTGCAATTGCATTATTATAATTACAAGACTATAGGTAATTGTAATTGAGGCCAAAATTACAATCGTAATTCGTAGTGGTCATTAAGCGGGTCACCGCATGACTGCGCCTGATTTAAGACTTTTTTTGCAGCAGTTGTTAAGCAAACATTACACTTGTTATCCAAACCTGTTTTACTCAATGAATGTTTTTTGCCAGAAACTAAAATGCTGATTTCCAGCAAAACTGCCCAAAATCACAATTGTGTGACCATGGGATGCTGCAAATGTTCATAAATGCAAGCTGGTTGTCCAGCACCCAAAATAGGAATATGTGACTGCAAGGGGGGTATGGTTGTCAGAACTCCAGAACTGGGTTGTAAATAGCTCTGGGGAGATTATTTGTAATCTTGAATGGCTGCCAAGTGACCAATAGATTCACTTTGAATGATTTTCATTTAGAGGACATATGTATTGGAATAGCTAGTTCACCTCATTGCCAGAGGAATTCATTCAATCATTCATTTAGTCGGTCGGTCAGTCAGTCTAATAGCCTGCCGTACATTCAGGAGTTCAAGATGTACCTATCCCTCCCCAGTCCCGTTTCCTCTGACAATAACAACTCTGAGAGTAGGCTGAGCAGAGAAAGAGAGAGCAATTGTACCAAAATCAACTAGTCAGCTTCTATGGATGAGAGTGGACCTTTTGCTCATAATTCCTAGTTCAACCTCTTCACTGCTATACATATTATGTCCACTTGAAGATGGGGCAGGAAGGCAGTAGCAATTGCTCTGTATTCTCCTGATATTTTATTTAAAAAGTGAGTTCAAGTGTATAGAGTCTGCTCACTCCTGAACTTTACTGCTGGGAGAAAATGTGGCCCAGACCGTATTCCCTTCACACCCCCTTCCATATATAATTTTTACCTTTTATCTTAGAATTGGGGTAGAATATGTGATTCAGTATAAATTTATTTTTGGTTTCTTAATACTTTTGATTAGCAAAACGAAACTTCTTTGTCTCTGGCTTTCTTTTTCCAGATATATCAAAAACCAACTCACATCCTCCTAAATATTATGAGCTAATGGAATTTGATCCTTTGGCTCCTTGTGACCCAACCAAGTAAGTGATTTTCAAAATGACTCAATTGTTGCTTATTTCTTGTCCAGGCTGACACAGACAGAGTTTCTTATACCAGCACAGCAAAAATATCATATTGTACATATTTTAAGTCATCAGTGATAGCCACTAAAATCGAACAGACACGTGGATTTATTTAATGCTTCGTTTCATGTTACTGAATTGCATCTAATAGTACCCATCCACTAGAGTGCAGTATCTCTTGTCATTCCCCCCAATTTTCTTAGCAGATACTATACGGGGGACCGCAGAAAAGAGAAACGTTTTGCTGAATGAGCAGTTATCTGTTTATGTGATACTGCATTTTTACCATTATAACAAACAATACTTATATACATACACTATTCTCTTTGGGTTAAGCATTATTAATGCAAAGCATAGAACAGCTAAGTTAACAGTCAGTAGCTTGAAGCGTGAAGTGTCTATGCTGGCCTCCAAAATGGCATCTTTCTCTGAGATAGAACAGAGTAGAACATAGAACAGACTCAAACTGAATAAAGGAGCAAACACTTCAGCCATATACAACCAAGAAGAAAGTGCAGAATTACATCCATTCAGCACAACATGTTGAGTGATTAAAGAGTAAGAGACGGCAAAAGGAGAAAGATAAATTCACAAGAGTACTGGAGAATATTTAAGGCCATCTAAACTGGGGCTAGGCTGGGCTATCAGGAAGTATAAATAACAATCTGAATTCCCACATAGGTTGTTTAAGACAGCCTACAGTCTACTCACTTCAAATTCCATAGCTCAATTTCACTTGTCCCAAAGAACCTGACCCTCACATTGTAATCAGGGTAACTTCTTATCTTCCCTTTTTGGGTCCATAGAAAGTGACCTTTGTTGTTCATTATATTCATTTTTCTGTTCAATATTGTTATTGTTTTAGCCTCTTGCAGTTCTCAAATGCACATGTGTTTCTTGTTGAGAACTCATATGACCTCAAAATGTTTGAGGAAATCTCACCATAGCTTTACATCATATTTGATAGTTAAAATCTCCTATTCACTAAGCCTGCTGATCTTCAAAAAGGAAAGGAAGTTGAGGAGTAGACTAAGCTAAGCACTATATAAAGTTATTATGTGTTGAGAGGCAAGTTCATTGCCATTGATAGAAACTCGATTGGGTAAATACATGTCATGTAGTTAATTCTAGCGTGTTACCCCTAGAGAAAGGTGGGAAAATTTTTTATCCTGACCTGGCAGCCCTGTTCTACGTCCCAGAGGTTTCCATAATCTGTCAAAGGTGCATTTCAGAGGGAAGATGAAAATAGTGTATTCCACCTATTGTGAGCAAAGTAATAATTAGACAACTAAGGGAAAGGATATGAATTTGCCTTCCTGATGAGCCTAATGGTTAGGAATTGTGTCAGGTATCATAGTAGTATTGTTTGTCAAATATGTAAGATAAGTGTATCTGAATCATAAATTGAACATATTTTAATTACTAATGAAAATATGAGGAGTTTGATGAGTATTTTAACTGTTGCTTAGTTGACATGTGGCATGACTGGTTCAAAGAAAATTGTTTGGCAGATATGCTGCAAGTAATTTTTTTTATTTTAAGGACATGACCAGGAGGAATGTGAGGTTAGTAGTGTATCTGTCCTGAACACTCCTCCTATGTGCAAATGTTGCTTTAGTAACAAATTTTTATATTACTCCTCATCACGAACTTTTATTATCTTTGATTTCAGACATATTTATGAAGAAATTGATCCACATCTCTTCAAAACACAGGTTAACATCAAATGCTAGAAGCAGATGCCAATAGCAATATTTTAACAAAATGGTAGATTCTGCTGATTGCTTCAAAATGTGTCATGTAAAGACAAAATCTACTCAGTAGGCTGAGATTTGGGATAAAAGTGTTTTATAAAACTGTTCAAAAGAAAACACTTCAAATCTAAGATGTGTATCCTACACACCCTACCTAAGTACATTTCATTGGGTTCAACTCATTAAAAATACAAGATTCACTTCTGCAATCTTTGGACCAAAATTTACAATTGATACAATGAATGTTTTTCTAACTTTCATTCTTATAGCAAGTATAACATTCAGAATCTTGCATCTAAAGGTCACTTTTATTGGATCCTTTAATAATAAAAGCAAAATATTTTCCTATGGGAACTACACTGCATATTGCTGAATAATTGACTGGAGTCTTATAGAACTGTTTATGTTCCCAATCAAAGAACTTGAGTGTTGGAGCGATGACTACACCTATAGAGGCTTAAGTTCAAATCCAAATTATTTGAATGCAAGGAGATTTAGCTATTAATTAAATCCTGCAGTCAGATTTCCTGACAGGCTGTTTGGTAGGAGAGACCTTACAGTTTGTCTTTAATGTTGGTCTTTGGTGAAAAATAATCACTAACTAGGAGGTTGAAGTTAGATTTCCTTGCAGTACATTTCCTATTCTTCTGATAGTTAGCCACTCTAACACTTTTCTCAGTTATGAAATGCACTTTAAAAACAAAAGTATGCACAAGCCACTACAAAACAGAGCATATGAATCAGTAGCAATTGTGACATGCTGTGGTAGCAGGTCTTATTCCACATTGTCTTAATGCCGTTTTATCTGTTTTCCTAGATTATTTTCATTCTCTCTTAACAATGAAGCTAAATATGTATGAAGCAGTAGCTTTCATAAGTTATGGAGGGTTGCATTGGGAGCTGCTGAAACAAAAGCACTGCCAGAATGCATGGGGGCAGCAAAGTATAAAACACGCATTGTGGGGTATTTGGAATGACTTTGATTATATTACCACTGTTACTTTCTATTATTCCCAACAATTCAGGATATCTTGAATAACACTTACTTGGTCATGAGATCGTATAAAAGTATGATTGAAATAAGTGCCTTTTCTCTATACTTTCCCAAATCTAGTGTTCAAACTTTTAATAAATTGGTACCCTTTAAGTCTTGAGTAATATGTATAGCATCTGTTTTACAATGGCTATTATTAACATACAATCCAAGTAAAGAATCAAGAATGGAAAACTGAATTAAATTTGAACACAAATGCTCCCAAATGTTTTTTATGGTTTCTTGTTTCTTAAGTAGTGTTTTGTGATGCATCAGATCCGCTCTACCAGATTTGCTTTGTACTGTTGAGGGATCTTCCATAAATATTAGGGAGATGCATAGGGAAGTGCAGGGGAAAATAAAAAATTAACAAATGTTATTTTCTGGGCAAATAAGCTTTACAATAACATTGTTAAACCTATAAAGATTTTATATGGGGGGAGGGGAATCTTCTGCCCCTCTTTTTTCCACTGATTTCCACCACACTGTAGAATTTGTGGTGAACAAATTGCTTTACATTTGTAATGTAATATATTTTAGATATTGTTTGACACGGTTACTATACTATACCCTAACAGTGATATTAATTTCTTCTTTTGGAAAAGCAGTTTGTCAAGTTGTTCAAGGCAAGGATCTAATCAGATTTAGGTTAGAGGCACATGTTAATGGAATAATTTTCTCAATCTACCGACCAACCCCACAGATCTATTTAGGAGAAAATCAGAGCACCATCTTCTACACTGAAAAATTGGTGCAACAAATTTAACATGGTTACTGAATTTTAATCCATTTTCTGAGTTTACAAAAAAAAGACACTGGATTTGTGCAACATGCTAAACCACAGAAAAGGGTAACTTAGTCAAGCTTAGCATATTATGCAGATACAGCTACCGTATTTTCCGGCGTATAAGACGACTTTTTAACACATGAAATCTCCTCAAAAGTCGGGGGTCGTCTTATACGCCGGGTGTCGTTCTCCTGTAACCAGGCAGACCAGCCCGAAAGGCTCTGACGAGCCTTAAATGGCTCTGGCGATCCCGGCTCTGGCGATCCAAGCTCTGACGATCCCAGCTGAGTTCTCTGCAACTCAGCTGGGATTGCCAGAAACCATGTAAAAGGAAAAAAGTTTTCCCTCTCCAGCTTGCTTACCTCAGCTGCTAGTCACAACGCTTGCCTTGCTTTCTTGCCTGAATCTATTCCATCAGCAAGCAACTCCCTGCCTGCAATCAAGCAAGCAGGGAGTTGTGGACTTCAACTCCCAGAATTCCTCAGCCAGCAAAGCAAAGCTGGCTGAGGAATTCTGGGAGTTGAAGTCTACAAGTCTTAAAGTTGCCAAGTTTGAAGATCTCTGTTCTATTGGGTAAGTTTTTTTCCCCTTTGGGAGCTTTAAAAAAAATAGTCAATTGGGGTTATAATTGGGGGGTTTTTTAGTTGTTCTTTTTCAGACCTAGCCATTTAAAGTTTAGGAAGTTTTAAATTTAGCTTTCATATAAAAATAAAAATAAAATAAAATAATATTTGTGCAGCTTTCTGAGATTTAGTGTGTTTTTGTAGTATTTCACTCTAACTACACAAACACACAAAATCTCACAAAGCTGTATGTGGAATTTTGTGTGTGTAAAGTGTGAAAGTTGTTTTTTTGACTTTTTGTGGCTGTGTGAGGTTCCTGCTTGTTGCAGGGGCCATTTTGGGGTCTAGCACAGCTGCTTTTACATTGTGGGTGAGCCAGTTGTGTTGTTTTGTGTGTTTAGAGTGTGAAAGTTTTTTTGTGGGGGGCTTTTTGTGGCTGTGTGAGGTTCCTGCTTGTTGCAGGGGCCATTTTGCGTCTAGCACAGCTGCTTTTACATTGTGGGTGAGCCAGTTGTGTTGTGTATGTGTAGAGTGTGAAAGTTTTTGGGGGGGTTTTTGTGGCTGTGTGAGGTTCCTGCTTGTTGCAGAGGCCATTTTGGGACTAGCACAGCTGCTTTTACATTGTAGGTGAGCCAGTTGATGTTTTTTAATTTTTATTTGGTGTGCATTGGAAGAGGGGTAGTCTTATATGGCGAGTATAGCCCAAACCCTATATTTTAACAGGAAAAGTTGGGGGTCGTCTTATACGCCCAGTCGTCTTATACGCCGGAAAATACGGTACTCCAATCTTTATTTGACCTTTACCAAGGTAAGAATGAAAATAGAAAGAAAAGAATCAAAGTATAATTGTATTACCCTGAAGAAGAACTCAAGGAATGTTTAAGTGAGGATACTATGGGATGCATAAAAGCAGCATTTTGTTTTTTAAAAAAGGTCGCTGTTATTATTCTTCATTTATTTTGGCTTGTGGGTAACTCATGAAAAATAATGTAGCTTTTAACATAAAAAGCTGCTGCATGGAATAACTAAGTTTTAAGACAGTACACTGAATGATATCTTCTGCACACTTATTTAAAACAGCTTACAAAACTTACCAGATTTGTGCTGCTTCTGATTTAAGGTAGGCAAGTAAAGTCAAATCTAATATTTATTATTTTACTGATTGCTTATTACTTTATTAGGCAGACATCAAATCTCCAAAAATAAACTATTTACTATTTTCCCCTTTGACACATTAATCTATTAAATAACATTTTAAATAACTCTGTGGAATAAAAAAAAAAGCTTTATAAAATGACAGTCATAAATTAGCAATTGGATAGATCTTCCTGTAAATGAAGAAAGAGAAATGAACAAAATAAGCTATTTTTGTATATCATTTCTTTGTATTCTTAATTTGATTTTAAAATGAAAATTAATCACATCTCCAAAGAGAAGACACATCAGTGCATATTCAGCAAATAAAACATAATGCCTGAAATATTCAGAACTTTTTTCCTGGGCTAAAGTAGTTATTTTTACACAGTCAGTGGATTATCAATAGAGTACTGAAGAGAGAACTCCGATGTAGAGTCAACATACTGTACTGTTAATTATAACCTGGAAGCGGTGGTTTATATCCTATTTTGGCTTCAAAAAAAGTGTAAGAAAGAGTAATCAAATTAACTTTCTCCATCCTTGGGTCTTCTACAAATTCAGGATCAATGAAGAAAAATACTGGCATGTCCACTTCCTCATGAGGATTGAGTCTTTGTTCTTCAAAACAAAAGCACTGAAAGAAAAAAAAATATTTTCCAAAATTGAATAGTCAGATAAATTTTTTAATGTTTTGTCTTAATCTTTAATTCAATATATTTTTTAAAAAAATCTATTAAAAGCAAATCCATTTTCAAACTCACTTTGTCAAGTAATTATTTTATAAATATTTTAAAATCTGTCTAAATATGAAGCATTTAAAGAAATATTAACATCGAAAACTAAGGAATACTGGTTTTATTCATATTTCAGGGAAAACTGAGCATTTTGAACTATTGGAAATCTCATGATTATTATGTTATAGAAAAGTAAGATAGCAATCCTTAAAGAAAAAAAATGAAGTTATACAGAATTTAAGAGGACAAGAACAAGTATTGACAGCATGCCATAAATCTAATTCTATGACTTGCTGCAAATATGAATTATCAAACAGACTCTAGTTTCAGTTATAATCATAAATATAATAAATAAATATAATAAATATTTGAGGAACTTAACCAAAATGAGCAGCACTTACCTGTATTTTATTGAAATATTGTCCAGCCTCAGGTGGTAGTACATTGTAGGTAGATATTCCAATTATTGGTCTATCAGTGGGATTTTTTGCTTTATAAAAGGCCAGTGCAGTTTCTCCTGGAACCACCTATTTTAAAAAGTTACAACTGTTAAGTTTTTAGCTTCTCTTCATACTTTTATTTCTTACAAAATGGGTTTTCAAACAAAATCTGTGCACCAAGTTACATTAAAGCAATTTTTCTCAAGAATTCTCCCAGAATTCTGAGAGTTGGTGTTCACACATCTTTAAATCTGTTGAGGTTGAAAAACATAGCATTAAAAGGTCGATAATTTGAGGTGGACTCTCTCTGTTGGCATTATATTTCAAAATATTTATAAAAAGCCATTTCAGATTAAAGAAACTAACCAGAATTTGCTTCACTCTAATACCAATGACAGACCAAGGCTAGATTTACTGATTAAACTGCAGTTGTGCATTTGGCAATAGGCAGTGGCACTAGGATTTAACCTGGCTGTCATTTATATTTGCTAGTAGAATAAACTTAATTCTAAAACTAATTTTGCTAATAGAAATTAGTAAATCAAAATTTATTGTTTGATTGTATCCCATTTACCTAATTGAAAAGGAGCCTCTTAATTAAAAATTCTCAGTAGGCTACAACTACTCACATTTTTGATTATTTTTATAAGAGCAGCATGTCATTTTATTGTAAAAAATGCTTATAAAACTTCATGCAAAATTCACCTAGCAGATTTTAATTACTTACATAAACTTCAGTTTGCTGAGGCTTGAAGTTCCACTGAAGACTTGAATGTACATCTGAATTGAACATGATTTTAATGATGCGGTCCTTTATAGGCTCCATAGTCTCAATCTGTTCTGAACTATGACCATCTAAAGCTGACCCACCAAGCCCAGTAGCCTGAAAGGAAAATAAGATATAAGTGAAAACAATCTGCTTAAAAACAAATTATTTTCATGGCAGTAAGAACAGAGTAGGGTTTTTTTTCATTAGAGATTGTTTACTTAAAATTAGCAACACTTACAAGAGCTGTGCAGTGCTTTAGATTCAAAGGCAAAAAGACGCCTCAATGTTTGCAAGGATGCTCATGGGATATTTCTCTGCAGCTTCTTAAAGCAGCTGTGTCTTTTCTCAGGATCATGCAGTTGTCTTCTATCTGTAGCAAGATCCTGGGAAAATATGAGTTTGGTTTAAGTAGTTGGAGAGAGGAGTAATGTATGCACCCATTAATGCTTCAAAGCAAATTTCTGAATCTGAAGTACTCCACAGCAATAAACTGAGCAGCACTTGTGGGTCCCTCCCCCAAAAAAGTCATGGTTGATCAAAAGGTTTATTATCAGTGTCGTATTTTTCAAGGAGACCAACTAAATACTAATGGGGACTTCACAAGAAAGACATTAAGTAACTAAGGAAATTCGTATGTGCACTGCATCTGTTGCTAGAGATAATATATAATTGCCACAGTTCTCCCACCTTCATGAAACTGTAAAATCCCTGTAAAATTACATGGCTCCCTTTTGGCAGATGAGCACTTCATGTAATGGTGAAGCCAGTTCAGTAAAACTGGGAAGAATGGGAGCACTGACTAAGTTGTTGCTAAACAGTTAAAAGTGGAAGGGATAAGTTATTGTAGACAAGAAATTCAAACATAAAAACTGGAAGAAAAGAACAAACCATCTCTATATTATTACCAAGGCAAGCATGTGGGCATGGCTAGAGCATTTAGATAAATGGTGGTGGCACCAGATAATGAGAATTCCTTTGTTCCAGAAGTCATGAAATAGTTGTCTACTAATCAAAGAATATTGAATTTTCATATAGAGATCTGGATGTGATGATGTAATCAGATTGAAACCAGAAGGAAAGGCCAGTAAAATCTTTGTTGCATTCAAATGTCCACTCAATCTGAATTGCCATTTGAGTCCATTGACATCACTCTAGTCAAAAGTATAATAAAGGTACCTCATATAAATTATATAAATTTATCTTTGGCCTGGATTATTTTGGGTACAATAGACATTAAACTGAGGTGAAATCTGGATGCAGTTTATTATTTGAAGACTACTAAATTGAAGTTGTTAAACTGAGATTTTACTATACTGAAAGAGTTCTTCCCTTTACAAGGACAAGAACAATTGTGAACATGAAAAGTGTGAATGAATGAATCAAGGGAAACTAAAATTGTCAAAACAGAAACAAAGTACTAAATTAGGAGGGATAGAAAGTGACAAAAGCCAAGAACATTGAAGATGATTAAAAGAAAGTAAAAATGGAAAGTGCTGAGATAATTAGAGGAGCATGTTTGACATCAAGAACATCAGTGGAATAGCTAAGCAACTAGGGAGAAGTAGAAAATGGAACCACTAGGAAAATTGACAAGTGAGATGACCACCTCAATATATATGTATTATACTTCTAGAAACACACAGTAATCTAGTTGGCATCTTACAGGCTATAGAAACAAAAATTAAAATATTTATGTAGAGGTTAAAACCAACCAAAACAATCATATTCATCACAATAGTTATATCAGTTCCTATCAAATAAATATAAGAACATAAAAATGAGTCAAGGCAATAAAATGGTAAAAAGAGATGCAAAACAAATGCACAAATTACTGAAATCATGGCAGTAGTTTTTCACACAATTATGTTTAAACTTAAGGTTTTATTAAAAAAGGACCATAACTGGAGAGAAAAAAATTAACAAAGGAACACAGTATTTTTGAAAAGACACGGGAGCATGAGATAGAAAACACAAGATGGATGATAGAGCAGAATAATATGTGGATGTTTACCTCTGATTTAGATTAGAATATTAACCATAAAGAGGCCTTAGAATGGCAAGACCATGCAATTATTTCAAAGCTAATGGACGTATCAGAACCACCTATTTATTCGTTTGAAGAATCTTTAAAGTGACAAAAACCAATGTAAGAACTGAATTCAGAGAAAAGGGGTAGATCACAACAGGGAAGGGAAAGAGACCAAAATACACATTGACTCAATGTTTATTTCATGCATTCAGCATACCTACTGAAAGAGTGGGACTGGAAGAAGAGATCAATACAAGTCAGTGCCTACTATACACCTGAGATTTGCAAATGCAACCATTTCGTTGGCTGGAAGGAAATAAAAATTTAAGGTGCTCATTACCAAAGCAAAATCAGAACACCCAAAATCAATTTTACTACTCAATTTTAAGTCAACCGTAATGCCAACCAACACACTTCATGTGCTCGGGAGTTGATGGAAAAGGTCATACATTTGTTTTCTTGTGCACAAACGCAAATAAGACAGCGCCTTAAGAGAAAAGTAACTGGGAATAATACATTTAGACAAGCTTGTGAAGAATAAGGACACTCCAATAACAAGGAAGATCAGAAGAGTTTTAGCAATTAGCGATCTGTTCCTAAGATCACCAATTTATTCTCCTATCACGTATCATGGGACCACCTGTCCTCACCCCCTAAAACACAGTAACCCTACGGGGCGGGCAGGCAGGGGGAAAAGCATCATCGGCTGCAGGTGGACTCCAAGCCCGCCTCCTCCTACCGCCCCTCACCTGGCAATAAAGGCGGTACAGCGGCACGGCTGCGTAGGATAAGCCTGCCATGCCCACGATCCCGGCCGCCAGATAGGTGAGCACCGTCTTGTTGCGCTGCTTCCATTGCTGCTCCTGCTGCCGGCGAAAAGCAGCGACAGCCTCGGGGCTCTTCTCGCGATAGTCCCCGCGGAATTCCTGGCTGTTGCCACCGTGACAGACCCTAACCTGCTTGCAGCCCCAGACTCTCACCGTTCGGGTCACCAGCACGCAGCCCTTTGCGCCCAGACGCATGCTTCTTCCTGTCACGTGAGCACTCCTTTTCTCTTGGGCTGTCTTTCGCAGGCGGGCGGGCGGGATTAGCAACTATCGCGAGAAGTACCCAAGGTCGAACCCGCCGGCGGCGTCGCTTTGATGCTGGCAAAACTTTCCAGCGCTGGGGTAAGAACGTTCTGACTACGGCGGCCGTAGGGGGTAAGTTCGCGTTTTCGTTACCTGCCGCCTCTTTGCTCCGCCTCCGAATCAGGAGCGATGCTAACTTCCCGCCAAGGTTGCCGGTGCTGGTTTTTTAAATTCAGATCTGGATTTTTTTTTCAATCCAGATTTGGGTTTTGCAATCCTTGTTGGGTTTCTAGGTTTTTTATTTAAAAAATTAATGAAGTTTTTCTAGACATTACGTTATACATTGTAGGTATTACATAAGTAAAGATGGTTTAGTTTAAAACGCACTTATGATGTGTTTTGTCACCTGGGCTTTTTTTTTTTTCTCTCTGTAGGATCTGGGTTTATCTGAGCACGAAATCTGGTTTTAGGAATCCCCGCGGGCAATAGGTAAAAATAATTTAGTTTAAAACTGATTTATTGTGTTCTTTTGTTATCTGTTTTCTAATGTAGAATCTGGGTTTATTTGAACGCAGACTCTTAGGATTCTTGTTTTGTTTTGTTATTGGAAACTCCACTTGCAACCCTGCAAATTTTAGATGCCCCAGGCTAAGCTTCAAAAAGGGGCGGGTGCACTGCAGATTTATTATCCAGACACACCCTGGAAATCATAGGAAAGCTCTGGGCTTTAAAGAATGCAGTCTAAGGGTTAAACTATTTTGAAAGTTTCAAACTTCATTAGGAATCAAAGGAGCTGGCCCTTTGATATTCACACCAAAGGACGTGAGCAGGATGAGGGAGCTGGACTCCTTCAGCCACCACAAAGCTTCCTGTGCGACCTGAGACGAGGCAAAAATTTTCAACTGACCTATTCTCAAGATTGCTTTGAGGATAAAGTGGGCAGCAGGTGGAGTCGTACTGAAATGCTGTTTTGGGTTTCTGAAAGAGAATTTTTTAAAAAACAAAACTCCAAGGTTAATTGTTCTTTCCCATTATATTGCCTAAGTAAGTGCATAGTACAAGTAGTCCTCGAGTTACGATCACAATTGAGCCCAAAATTTATCTTGCTATGTGAAACATTTGTAAAATGAGTTTGCCCCATCTTATAACTTTTCTTGCCACGTTTGTTAAGTGAATCACTACAGTTGTTAAGTTAGTAACATGGTTGTTAAGTGGACCCCCCATTGACTTTGCTTCTCAGAAGGTCACAAAAGGGGATCATATGACCCCAGGACACTGCAACGATCATAAATGTGAACTAGTTGCCAAGCATAGGAATTTTGATTATTTTGATGACACCATGGGGATGGCTGCAATGGTCGTAAGTGTGAAAAATGGTCATCAGTCACTTCTTCCAGTGCCGTTGTAACTTTGAACAGTGACTAAATGAACTGCTGTAAGTCAAGGACTACCTGTATTAAATGGCACACAGCATTTTCTTTTATTGATTTATATCCCACCTTTTTATTGTTATAAATGAGGCAGTGGACATGCTTCTGCCTCATACTTCTTCTGCATCCTATTTGAGGTGGGTTAGACTGAGAGAGTGATTAGTCCAAAGTCTCCCAGCCAACTTTTCATGCCTTAGGTTGGACTAGAACTCACAATCTCTTGGTTTCTAGCCTTGTGCCTTAGCCACTAGGTCAAACTGACTATTCTATTAGTTGCTGTCTGTAGTCTAGTTTGGTAGGGACAATATTACATTGAAACTAAGAAATACAAACAATTGCGTCCATCTGCCATCCGTTCAAAATCCATTCTGCACATAAACATTGATCTGGACTGCAATCATAGAAAAAGTGTGGTAGCTAATAAAAAGAGGAAGTCAGCATACTAGCTGGCCAATTTGCTGGCTTCCCCAGGAAAGAATGGATATGGGAGTGACTCAGTTTTTGCAGGGTGGTTATGATTGGAATTGGTACCCCTATTTAAGGGCGGTTTCCATGGAAATAAGAAAAGTGAACTGATCTCTGCAATGATTGGTCAGAAGAGATATGTCTGGAAGTGCAGAATAAGCCATTCCTGTATAAAAGGGACCATCACTTGAATGCCAATCCCCATTTCTGCCCTACAGCTTCAGTACTTGGTCTTGGTGGCCAAGACTGTTAGCATTCTCTGTCTTAAGCTGTTAAAGATATGGGGTATTTTATTTTTAAACTAAGAAATATTCAGTAAATTCAATACCAGCTGTATCAAACAAACCATTGAAGGATGTATGTTTGCATTAGTTTGAAGGCAATCCATAGTAATTGTACATATAATACCTAATGGTGTTCTCTTCTGCTTTACAGCAAATGTTCAGTTTTAGTTGTGAGCCTGTTAGAATATTCCATTATTAATGACCTATGTCAACAGAGATGGCATCCCCAGACTCAAATCACCCTGATATGTAAGTCATATATAATGTTTACAAATCTTTAGACCTATAATAAATTCAATATCTTTGATTTATATTATCAAAACAGTTCCTAATAAATGTATATTAATGTTAGCATGATACATCTAGTTAGTGCAGAATATAATAAAAGAAATGTGCTTTCATACGTGTTATACATACATGCATACATTACTGTGTTCTGACATGCTGAGCTAATAAGTTTCCAGAGTGATCTATCTTTTGTGAACATTGAGAGTAAATAAAGTAAAATACCAATAAAAGAGAATATATGTAGTTCAGAGGTGAACTGTGAAGTCCTTGGTGCTCTGTAAAGCTTTAAAGGAATAAAATTCGCAAGGGAAGAAGAAAACAACACAATATCCTTCCTGGATATCTTTTTCAACAGAAAAAATAATGGAAAATTAGAAACACAACCCTGTTGAAAAACAACCCACACTAACCAAGTGCTCCATGACCAAAATAACAATCCAACCTTCCACAAGAGTAGCTATGCAGGAATTATTATTCAGAGGAGGTAATGGAATGTGTGGATAAGAGATGCTGCCTAGGAAACCGTCAGACAAAAGCAGCAGGAGCCCCCAGTGGCTTAACAATCGGAAAGAAACCTAGAAATGACCTGTAATTATCTACATATACGGTTGCTGTAACAATCACTACGTAAGACAGATAGGCAGAAGACTAGTAGAGCACATCCATGAATATCAGCCAGATGCCCAGTGAAACTGAGCATCCTAGACCAAACCAAATCCAAAAATGCTAGGAGATTCCTGGAAAGCTGACATTCAGACATCAATAGACACATAGAAATAAAGCATATTTACACATTCAGAAGAGACAACAAAAAACTAAGAAGGAAACAAAAAGTCCAGCACACATCCTCTCCCACAGCCAACAGCCACATAAGCAACAATTAACACCAGAGAAACAAGCAGAAAACAATTCCCTACTCAAGGAATTAGCAAGGAGAAAACCTCTTTCCAATCAACACTGGCAGTGCAAACTACTGGGAGCAAAACCCACACCTACACTGATGATGTTACCTAGTTGGATAATGAAATGTCTGCAAGCAAACAACCAAGCTCAGAGAGCACCAAGGATTCCAAAGTAAAATACATGTTATGGTACTGTCTGCCATTCCACTTCTTGCTATCTTGTATCTGTGGAACCTCCACAGAGTATCTTGTATGTCTATGGGTATTTTGAAATATTGCTGCATCCTTCTATCAGTAAAAGTTGATATTTTACTTGCAAATTAATTAGAACATACAGTTTGCCAGGACCAGAATGCTAACCACTTTCTCAGCATTATCTTATCCTCATTGCAGAGCTTCGAAAAATGGTAGATAAATAGGTAAACTAGATTAGAAACCTAGGCAATGTGTCAATAATCAAATCTAAAATCTTAGCTTGAAGAGTTGGGAAGAAGAAATAGGCATGCGAAAGTAGATGAATCTAAGCATTCTTGGTGATAAAGAAATATGAAGTATATACAATTCATTGTTTTAATCTTTGTGCGTGCACACACCTCCGAATCAGTATTTCCTGGACATGTCCCTGCAATTCTGTTGGCAAGATTTCAGAAATGGTTTGCCTGCTTCCTAGAGCTGAGGAAGAGTGATTGGCCTATCGCCCAGCTGACTTAATGCCTAAAGCAGGATTAGAAGTCACAATCTCCTAGTTTCTAGTTTGGTGTATTAACCACTACACCAAACTCTCTCATAAGCATAGGATATATTGACAGATGTTTACCTCCTTCATATACAAATGTAAGCACAGACTTTTAACCATTGACTGCAAAAAATAAAAATCTGGTGTGGTTGCAGTTCTTGAGGAACAGTTTTGAATGGAATCAGCAAGAATTTTGACCCGAAAACTTCTATTAGATTAAGCCCATAGGTATCTAGCCCAATGTTTCAATTTTCAGAAAAATTGAAGTTACAGAAAACTAGATATGCCTGGAAGGAAGACATAAAGGAATATGCATTCTGTGTAACTTTTGTTAATGCCTAGCATTGCCATTCTGAATGTAAGGAATTAGTTTGTAATTTGTCTATAGAAACATATTAGAAAATAATTGCCTTGCGATACCATTCTGAATTTATCCTGCTGTCGTCTCCTGTGCCACTATGTACATGATGGATAGGTACTGGGGAGTTTAAATGATTATAAATTGGTGAGTAAGGAGTTCTATTTTCTACATGTGCTGACACAATCTGATAGACATATTGTTTTAAACAGATAACGGTAATTGAAGTTTTATGCCAAGAGGATTATAAAGAATGAATCCTAACACAAACAAAAGAAACTATTGTTTATTATAAATCTTTTAGTGGAGTGAAAGATAAAAATGATATATTAAAATCTAGAGAAAATGCAAGTAATCGCTATACTTTTAAAAAATACAGTTCTTCGTACTTATTGAATTGCAATGGGAGACCTAATTTTTGCTGTCACATGTGAATTATCTTATGTGAGAAGATTAACTGGTGGGAGAGATAATCTGATGTTTTAGTAACTTAAAGTATGATGGAAGTAAGCATTTCTCCTGCTGCTGAATATGAAACCTTTCAGCGCTTTTTAGGATTGATTTATTTCATTTGCAACAAATATCTTTTGCTAGAGGATGAATGAAAACCAGAGTATAAGATCTATAAAGATATGCTTCATGGTTAGATTTTAGATAACTATTCCCAGCCATTGTCTAAAATCTTATGTAAACAGAGGTATTTTCATCTCTGCAAAATGAAAGGTTATTGCAGGCTTATTCTGGAACAAGACAGAAAGGTGATAGGCAGGCAGGCCTTTTACTTTAATGGTTTTATTGCTGTGTTTTTTGTGTACCTTACACAGGATAAAAAGAAGTGATTCATAGCCATTGTTTTTTTACGTAATTAAAAGGACTTCTTCATTTACTGAAATTTCTTTCCAACCCTCTCCTAAATCTACATACATGTAATACCTGATTTGTGGATGTATTTTATAGAAATCCATAAGTAAGAGTTTTGGGGGTCAGTTGTTTTCTTTTGTTTTGCCTTCCAGAACCTTAAACATATATTAGCAAAATAAAAAAAATATTGATTATCAGTACATTATCATTCAAGAAACCATTTATCTTAAGCTACCAAAAATGATCTTTGGGGGAGAGGGGCAAATCATAATTGATTAAAATGTAGTCACAACGTTCAGTAATGCAGTTTCAGATTATTCGCTATTTAGTAACAAAATCCAGCATATGTTATCAATTTCCACCTGTAAACATTTCTGACAGAATAGGCAAAACACTAAAATTCCCACTTCTGAAATGCAATTTATTCCGGTTGGAATATGAACCTATGTTCTTTAGAATAATCTTGTACTAAATTACTATTATTATTATTATTATTATTATTATTATTATTATTATTATTATTATAGTAGGAACCCTTTAGAACAACCTTCTAGTTTTTTGAGGGTAGGCTGTTAAATACGGCAAATAAAATGCTGCTAGATAATAAGTAGATTGTAACTACACCATGCAATTGTATTCTTGCCCCACTTTTTCACAGTTCATCCTGATTTTGTATTTTTACAAAAAACTCTAGTAACAGTCCAAGATGATTTACCTCCTCCTGTCTTTCAGCTTAAATCTGGAAAGTTATAGAGAAGAAAGAAGTGACACCTGTGCACTACATAGCATTTTTACAGATCAGCGTGATGACAGGTAGCTGACAGCGTAGATCAGATGTACACAAGAGTGTCCTTTTACATTCATGGTATAACAGGCTGCCTATTTATCTACTTTTTGTCATTAGAAGAGTGCTGCCAAGGTGACAGTGTCCTAAGGAAATGTATCACATTTCTTTGATCACAAAGTATGTGGGAAAAAGTCTAGGATAGCGTGATCACAATCTAATTTTTTAATTTTCTTATCTTGTTGCTTGTTTCAAATTGCATTGTACTGTATTCTTTTATTGTACAATATATGGCTTAATGACTGCCCTGTTTGGCGATTGTTTGAAGTTACAATGGTGCTGAAAAAGTAACTTTACAATTAGTCCTTACACTTACAACTGTTACAACATCTCTCTGGTCACATGATCAAGACTCAGACATTTTGCAACCAGCAGGCATGATATTTGCAGCAATCCATGGTCGTATAGTCATCATTTGTATGTTTCACAGCTGGCTTCTGACAAGCAGAGTCAATAGAGAAACTGACAGTAAAATTGCAAGTCGCAGTCACATGATGTCCCACTTAATGACCACAGGTGATTCACTTTATGACCATGGCAGGGGTAACATTACATATCTAGTTTGGCCATGTGATGTTTCTGCTTAACAATCACATTGCTGGGGGGGTTGAAAAGGGAAAAGAAAAAACTACTAGGCTAAGAATAAGGGGAATAATCACAATCCTTGTTGTGATGTCCCGCTGCCTGGAGGCCGTGTGGGTCTGGATGGGGAGAAATAGGCTCAAACTCAACCCTTCCAAGACTGAGTGGCTGTGGCTTCCGGCGTCCCAGTATAGTCAGCAGGTGCCATCGCTGACTATTGGGGGTGAATCTTTGCCCCCCACAGAGAGGGCTCGCAATCTGGGTGTCCTCCTGGACTCACGGCTGTCTTTAGAAGAGCATATGACAGCCATAGTCAGGGGGGCTTTTTATCAGGTTCGCCTGATAAAAAAGTTGCGTCCCTTTCTGGACCGGGATGCCTTGCATACAGTCACTCACGCCCTCGTCACCTCCCGTCTGGACTACTGCAATGCTCTCTACATGGGGCTCCCCTTGAAGAGCACTCGGAGGCTTCAACTGGTCCAGAATGCGGCCACGCGGGTGGTTATGGGCGCACCTCGTTACGTCCATGTAACACCTCTCCTGCGCAAGCTGCACTGGCTCCCAGTGGTCTTCCGAGTGCAATTCAAGGTATTGGTTACCACCTTTAAAGCGCTCCATGGCATAGGACCAGGGTACCTATGGGACCGCCTTCTGCCACCAACAGCCTCCCACCAACCAGTTTGCTCCCACAGAGAGGGACTCCTCAGGGTACCGTCGGCCAAGTTATGTCAACTGGCGACACCCAGGAGGAGAGCCTTCTCTGTCGGAGCTCCTGCACTTTGGAATGAATTGCCCCCGGACATTCGTAACATCTCTGACCTCCGGGTCTTCCGCTGTGCCCTCAAGACCCTACTGTTCCGACAGGCGGGGCTGTCTAACTGAATGATTTTAAATTGGGTTTTAATTTTGGGTTTTAAAATTCGGCCAAAACTATTTAATGATTTTAATTAATTTTAACCATGATATCTGTATATTTATGTTTTAATTCTGGCTGTACACCGCCCCGAGCCCTTCGGGAGAAGGGTGGTATATAAATAAAATAATAATAATAATAATAATAATAATAATAATAATAATAATAATAATAATAATAGTAATAATAATAATAGTAATAATAATAATAGTAATAATAATAATAATAATAATTACTATTATTATTATTATTATTATTATTAACCGTATTAGTTGAAGAACTACTATGAAATATTGCTTTAAAAGGAAAATTTACTTACATGTTGTATGTTTTGTAAATGTTTTTATATGTGTTTTATATGTGTTTTAATAAAGTTTATAATTTTTTTTTAAAAAAAACCCAATCACATTGCTTAACAATTCAGTTGCCAGTCCCAATTGTGATTGTTAAGTGAGAACTGTCTGTATTGTGAACTGGCCAGAGTCATCTGAAGTAAGAGACCGCCTAAATCAAATTAAATAAATTAACTTCCTCAGCGTCAGGAAATTCTCAAAAGAATAAGAGCATTGCAGGAATTGAACCTGATCTTGTAAACAATGTTTTATGTTAGCACACACCATCTAAATAAAAACTAAATAAAAACATCATCTTATAAATGGTGGAAGGAAACAATAGAAGGAAACAAATGAGTTCAATCACTTATTGATAACTATTTCTAAAGATACCTGTTTTTCTTACCTTGGGACCGACATAATAGGCTCCATGTTTCATTTTTTAAAAACAATTATTTCATAAGTTGCAACCATTCTGAAATCAACCTTCTCTTCTCTATTTCAAAGGACCTTTGTAGGCCCACATGGAACTCATCGAACTATACACCATGTTTCATTTTCAGACTGCCAAAATGGATTAGGTAATCAGATTACATATTCACTTTACTCTAATAAAGTTGGAGAATTGCCATACTGTTTTGGGCAGGTGGTCCACTCTGATGTAGACAGGATTTATAATATATGCAGTTATTTAGCAATTACCATGATATGTTTATCACAGTGGGGAAAATACGAAAATAACCTATTTACATCTTGTTTGTTTTAATTGCTCAACAGGCATTAAAATTATTGGAGGCTGTCAAGATCAATCCAAAGAAGAGTATGGAATTTTCATAAAGGAGATATTACCCAAGAAAATAGCTGCTACGGATAGTAAATAATTACTTGATCTTCACTGGTGGCAATGCTGCTTTAACAAAAGAAAAATCTGTGACAATCCATATATTGATCCATATATTTTTTAAATTAAAGATCCACACATCTAAACCATCTTCTCTTTCCTTCCCCTACAAAACTCCCTTGTTCTGTTCTAGAAATTCCAACCTTTTAGAGCAGATTACACAGGAAAAGCTGGGGTCCCCATATCCATAGTTCCACTCATGGAAATAATTTTATCATTTGAAAAAAAAACAAGTCCCTGGATTTCATCCATTAGATTCAAGTGAGAGAATTTTAGGCATACTATATACCTGATTTAATCTGGCCCAGAGTGAAGTTGCAAACTTTACACACAATAAACCATGTTGATGGATGGATTATCATGTTGTGAAAAAAGGATAAACTTAATCAGCCAGGAGATTAAAAGAATTTGCTTTTAGCTCCAGGTAGCCATGGAGTGCTTTGGAGGAAAATTAAGTCTTCCTATCAGCTGTGTTGACCAAATAGAGGAGAAAAGCTTCTCTAAATCCACCTTCCCTGTCCCTGTTTTTCTTCCCATAATATGGACAAAGGACACGAAATGTCGAATGAGTAGCCTCCCCCTGCCATCTCTATCCATGGGGGCTCCAAAACTTGTTGGATTACTATGGATAGTTTTTGGTTTTACTTTTTTACTTTCCTCCTTACTGGAAATGCAAATTCAGCTTTTTATTCACCTTCCAACCTCTTAAATATTAGCTGGCAAGACTGCAAAACTATCAGTTCCCTCTTTGAGTAGAACATTGTTAATCATACATTTGCTGGTGCACAAGGTAGGTCTTTACCAGTAGGGAATAAATAACTAAGTCAGAAAAGCAGGTATTAATATTTAGTTCACTAATTCAAGGCAATAATATGGGATCAAGGTATTAGATATGTCGGATAGTAAGATTCATATGATAGTTAAGTTACCCCAAACGACAATGTTCTTTTATATTAGAAGGGCATATAAAAATAGTAAAATAAGTAAAACATTAAAAATGGCGTAAAAGATAAATGAAAGATTGCCTTAAATCATTACTATGAAGTCCTATATAAAGATATAAATAAAATAAATGTCATTCAGCAGTCAGATAGAAAGTAGGTAATTATTAATCTTGTAGATGTGTCATTTTGCTGAAAATGTATCAGAAGTAATTCTGACATTTTTCTGACCTGATGTTTTTTTGTGTTTTTGTGGATTTTTTTCTTTTGAGTTTGTGTGTGTGTGTACAATTTTTTTCCCCTAAATATACATTTTGTTTTCTTGATGTAGCTGATTTGTAATTTATGATTTTTTTTTTCTTTTCAAGATCAGCTGTGTATTGGAGATTTGATTTTAGAAGTGAATGGCCAAAAATTATGTGGTGTAACTAATGAAAGGTAAATTCTAACATTTAATTATAAGCATGAACTGGAATGGTTAACATTTGTATTTGCCTGTTAGTATTTTAGATCAGATTAGCTACAGATATAGAAAGAAAAATCAGTTACCTCCAAATGCTTGGGTCTTCTTTAACATCTTCATGGATAAGATGCCATACAATAGGATAAAGTGTCACTGACCTGTTCCATGCCAATTCAAGACAAAAAAGGAAGCTATCTTTACAGTGTTCACTGCCATGAAGAATGATTGCAAAAAGGACATTTAAGGAGAGCCCTGCTCTATGTTTGGGCAAAAAATTCCTTCACTTGTGTTTTAACAAGTGTGACTGTCTTTTTATTCTCTATAATCATGAATCATGGCCTTGTTACGCCAACATTTAATAATGTTTTAAAAAATGAACATGTAATCAATTCAACTCATAGAAAACAATTAGATAAAATGAATTATGGTGAAGGTTTTGTAACACCTCTTTGGAGAAAATCAGTACATTTAACTCTTCATTTTTAACTTTTCAGAGCTGTTGACATGTTACAGATGGCATCAGCAACCAATCACGTGTCTTTGCTTATTGCCCGAGATGAAGATGCAAAGTAAGAAATGTTTCCCCAAGTCCTAGAAAATTATACTAGACCCAAGACTGAGTGTAGACCTTATCATTTCTCCATTATAACCAAAATATGCATACCAGGTTAGCTAGCAATGGTAGAGAAACTGCTCCTATATTGAAGACTTTATATGGATAGGATTGTGCAGGATTTTAAGCTAGTTTTCTTCTAAGGAAGTCTTTTTCTGATTTTAAAACATGGCTAACCCCTTGTAGTTGAAAACAGCTTTTAACAATGGAATGCACAAATTCTTGTTCTCAAAGATTGGGAAAAATTGCTGGATTTGTAAAATCTTGAACTGTATTCAAAGAAATAATTAGAGACATTTAGGAAGCAAAAGACAACAAAATTAAAAATGTAAGCATTGGAAATAAATATATTTTGTTCCTTCCTATAATGGAGGTTGGAGCACACTGCCGTTTAAACTCTGGAGTAACATTTTGCATTGAGGAAATATTGGCACTGTTGAAAGAAAAATGGCCAATTTCCCCTAATATGTGAAATAACACTATGCTTCTGGGCACACTTCATTGTGTAATTGCCAATTTTACACAAATGGTTTTCTTCTCTTGCTGTTCTGTAGATTGGAGATTCCTAATCTGCTTCTAGCTAAAAAATGCTGGCCTGTTTTTTTAAAAACCACTGTAATCATCTTGAATAATTAAAACTTATAATCAATTCTGGCATTCCAGCAGATCTCAGTCTAGAACAGAATTAGACTCCCTCTTGCTAATTTATCATTTTGTTTTATTGGGCTCATACTAACATGTATGTTCAACTCTCTTTAAATTTATACTGGCATATTATCATATAGCCTACATCTGTCTGGTCTTGGAGTCTTTTTTCCATCTTCCCATTTTAGTCAGGATGATTCTATTCACTACAGTATTATATTCCTGTAATAACAGGTGAGTACAAGTAATCCTCGACTTAACCACAGTTCATTTAGTGACAGTTCGAAGTTACAACAGAATTGAAAAAAGTGGCTTATGACTAATTATCACACTTATGACCATTGCAGCATCCCCATGGTCATATGATCAGAATTCAGATGCTTGACAAGTGCTTCATACTTATGACCGTTGTAGAGTCCCAGGGTCATATGATCCCCTTTTACAACCTTCTGACAAGCAAAGTCAGTGGGGAAGCCAGATTCACTTAAGTGTTTGACTAACTTAACAACTGCAGTGATTCACTTACCAAATGTGGCAAGAAAAGTCGTAAAATGGGGCAAAACTCACTTGACAAATTTCACTTAGCAACATAAATTCTGGGCTCAATTGTGGTCGTAAGTCAAGGACTATTTGTACAGTCCTAAAGAGGTAGACTAAACCAGCGGTACCAACCTTTCCAGCTTTAACGACCTGTGGCGGGGGGGAGGAATGATTTTGCATGAGTGGTAGGCGAGTGCACGCATGCCACTCGCACAAATGGAGTTGCACATATGCTCTGCACCACTTGCGCAAGTGGAGCTGTGCACATGCTGTTTGCGTGGCCTGGTTCTGAACGGGCCATGGCCCAGGGTTTGGGACCCCTGGGCTAAACCATATTGAACTTAATCAGATTTGCTTTTGAGTAGATCTTCAAAAGTTAGTATGTTGTCCTGAGTTTTATGGAAGGGACTTTCTGATCAAGTACACCTGGATCCCCAGGTTTCTAGGTAGTTATGGAAAACGTGTCTTTTCTTTAGAAAGGATTGGTGCATTTGCTACTTAAAATCAAGTCTGATTTCCAGAATTGGGCTGTTTGATCTCTCTGATCATAGATTTGTTAAATCTATGAGAAAACCATAATATAACCCTGGCTAAAATAGAACATTTCTCTTCCTGTTTGTGGACAGAGAAATTGATCCATTTTGCTATTCCTAGTGATACATTGAATGGTGACAGATCTCCAGATTTGAAAAGACAGGAGACAACGTGGGAAAGTTACTAGTAAGCCTTAAAAATCAATATGGAGAAAGCATGGGCATCTTGACAAGCTTAATTTTGTGTTGGAATTTGCAAATTAAAAGAGTCTTTAAGAAAGTGCATCAAGAATTCTTGCTGTTTCAAGTCTGTCTTTGACAATGAATCAGTCTTGCATGTTCCGTGCCACACACAACTTCCAGCCTGTAATTATGCAACTGCAGTTGAAACATGATGGAAATATCTGACAGAAAATTTATTTAAGTTATCTATTGTCTAATCTTTAATACCATTATTCTTGCTTTCCATAGGATATGAATGTATATTGGTACATTTCTTAACTGCTGCATAAGACACAAAGCAAACCCCAGGAATTAGCTCAGCAGCAGCAAATAAACTAAATATCTATTTCTTGAAAGGTCTCAGATCAACACATTCTAAGCGATATTAAATGATGTATTGCATCTTCAACTTTTTAAAAAATATATATATTATTGTAGGAAAGAATTTCTGGCCTTGATGGAGAAGTACAGTTCACACAGTAACTCCAGTAGGAATTCCCCAACGCAGCTCCTAACTGGTAAGAGGTTGCTTATGTTTTCACTCTGCAATATAAGAGAACAGTAGAGAATACTTCTTGGCCTGATGGCCTCCATTAATATTTCAGGTTGGTAGAGATGCTTTCACGAATTGGAAGATAGACCTTTAACCCAGATTTTATGGGCTGATGTTTGATGGACAGAAAGGACACTTCAGTTCAATCAAAATTCTATATATACGGTCTATTTTTCTTTATGAGACTGAACAGTATAGTAGTAGTGTCATACTGCCCCCTAGGGCTTCATTTGTACATTTCCAAATGTTTGGTGGTTTGAGAACATATTGAGCCTATAATTCCAAAGTGTGCCAGGTAAATAATTAACTGTACTCTCAGGCGATCACTGGCTAACATTGCTGTGTTATGATTGTGCCACAGTGAGAGGAAAAATACTAGTAAGCCAGCTGTTCAGGACCGTTTCAGGCCCCAGAATCCCGTATTACACATAGGTTACCATGTCATGTGTCAATTCCAATCAATTAAAGCCTATGCAGGGCCTTGCACTGTAATATAGGAAACAGTTTCTGGCTTAGTGTTTAAAAGGAAAATAACTTAATTGTTGCTAACTTCTATTTTGTCAAAGTGCTTGCAGGTTTATTTATTGCCCATGTGAATAGAAGATTAGAGTTTGAAGTACTTACATATTATAAGCAGCTGAACAGAGCAGATTGCTATTCATTGTAAAGGATGGTTTGGGGCCTATCAGCTTGTTGTAGTTAAATTACATTTGCCCTTTTCCTTTTTCCCAAGGAGCTCATGGTAGGATGATTTTTCTCACATCCTGTTTTCCTTCACCGTGAGGTAGGGTAGGTTGAGCTTTATGACTGAATGGTGATTTGAAACGAGGTTTCCCCAGCCCTAGTCCAGCAGTCTGTTAAATTATAAGTCTGTCTGTTTTATTGGGGAGGCATTTCTGCCCTAATTGGTAGACAATTTAGTCTGAGAACATTTGTAGATGAAAGTACTACTTTCAGTACTCAACTTACAAGTACAATTAGGAACAGAATTTCCATTGCTAAGGAGAGCAGTTGTTAAATGAGCTGGACCCGATTTTACGACCTTTTTGCTGCTGTCATTAAGTGAGTCATGCATCTGTTAAGCGAATCCAGCTTCCCCCATTGACTTTGCTTTTTTGAAAGCTGGCTAAGAAGGTCACAAATTGCCAGGGCACTGCAATCATCATAAATACCTGCCAGTTGCCAAATATCAGAATTTTGATCACGTGACTGGTCATAAGTGCAAAGGCCAGCCGTAAGTCACTTTTTTCAGTGCCCTTGTAACTTTGAACAGTCATTAAATAAATGGTTGTAAGTTGAGAACTACCTATAATGAGGTATCTTAGTTTTAACTTGAATTCAGACATTTACCGTATTTTTCGGAGTTTAAGACGCTCTGGAGTATAAAACACACATTAGTTTTTGGGGAGGAAAACAAGGAAAAAAGCCTCTGTCTCTGCCTACCAGCATCCATTGGTATTCATCTGGCTTGTGTCCTTGCAGCAAACAGCCTGGTCAGCTTCAGCACGTTATCACAGCCTGATTCAGCACAAGCAGCTGATTAGCGGTTGGATTGGCCTCCCAGAATACTGCCAATCAGCTGTTCCAGGCTGCGGGGATCACCACAGCCCATCACCACCTCCGCCCATCGCGTTTTTGGCCTCTTCACGCTCTGTTTTAAACCCGTTCCAGGCTGCCAGGATCGCCACAGCACATCTTCGCCGATCGCTGTCTCCGCGCATCACGTTTTCGCCCTTTGCATGCCCTGTTTTTGACCCATTCCAGGCAGTGGCAATCGCTGCCACCGCGATCCCCACCACCTGGAACAGGCCAAAAACGTGATACGCAGAGGCCAAAAATGAAACATGTGGAGGCCAAAAACGCAACACATGGAAGTCGAAAACACGATGCATGGAGGCAGTGATCAGTGGCGGTGTGCTGTGGCGATCCCCGCAGCCTGTAACGGATCTAAAATGGAGTGTGCGGAGGCTGAAAATGGCCAGCGGGTAGGCGGGGCTTTGGCAATACTCGCTGTATAAGACGCATAGGCATTTTCACCAACTTTTAGGGCGGGGGAGGTGCATCTTATACTCTAAAAAATATGGTACTGCAGTAAAAAAATAGCCCTTTGTATGAATTTAGTGTTAAGCAAGTTGTTCCAAATTGCCCATGCTTTTGCCCATATTTTATGGTAATCTGCATCTTTGTATATGGAGGATGGTGGGGAATGATGTTTCTCATCCTTCCAACTGCAGGTTTTCCCCTTTCTTCATTCCATTCCCACCCATGATGAAGACAGATGCCTTAAGAGAAAAACAATACATGAGCAGCTGTGGCGAATTGTCAAGTCGGGTCTATGACAATTCGCCACAGCCAACTCGCTCCAGGACAACTTGCCATGGCCATCTCACCACAGGACAACTCATTGCGTGACAAGAGTTACACTAATACCAAAGAAATGGTGGAATAGAATCTTTAAAGAAAGGATGCAAAAGGAGGGGGCAGAATGAAATGTGAATGGCAAAAATTAAAATAATTTTTATTTATTTTAAATAATTAAATAGAATTATTAAACTGCCCTGCAGCGAGTTGTCTCAGGGCAAGTTGGACGTGGCAAGTTGTTCTGCAGTGAGTTGGCCGTCATGAGTTGATCGCAGTGAGTTGACTGTGGCAAGTTGTCCCATTCCCGTGAAGGTATCAGCCTTTCTAAGTAATTGGAAATAAATGATGGAAACAAAGAAAAGGCCCAGACATAAATGGACTGGATAATGGCATAGTGGGGGGAGGGGGGGCAATTATACAAATGGTTGAGATCGGGAAATGCTTCACTTTCTTTTAATTGACAGAGTGAGCTTTGTTTGCTTAATTCAACTTTAGCACTTAGACTACAATTTCTAAATATTTCCATTTAAAAGGCAAGTAATTATGCTTCCAAATTGGGAGAATTAGGGATGCAATTGGGGGTTGTTCCTGAGGCTGTAATACATGAGTATCCAACTGTGGCAACTTTTAAGATTTGTGGACTTCAACTCCCAGAATTCCCTAGCCAGCTATTTATGCTGGCTGGGGAATTCTGGAAGTTGAAGTCCACAGGTCTTAAAGTTGCCAAAGTTGGACTCCCCTGCTATAAAAGATGTTTGAAGTTAGATTTGGTTACATTTGGAATTACCAGTCTCTTCCTTTTCTTGATGTCAGGTGAACTCACTTAAGATACTCCTAACAGGGCATTGTGACCCTTGGATTGGACCTGATTCTTCACCCCTACTTTAAAATAATAGAAGATTTGAACAAAAGGCAGCAATCTTTGTGGTGTGGAGCAGTTGCTTGCTGTAGTAGATATCATTTTTTGTTTCCTTTACTCTTTTTTTTTTCTCCCTGCAAAGGTGTTGATAGCTTTTCTTCAGGAACGTCTTCAGTGAGTCCTTCACTATTTCATCCAAAGGACGCTTTGACAAACCTCCTGGGAAGGCCTGCGGCGGTAACTTCCCTTCAAGCCATCACAAAGTAACTATGCGAAGTTTGTTTTTCATGGACCATTTGTGGAAAAGACAGGATGCTGGCCTTAAATTAAGCACAGGAACATTATCGTTTCCAAAGCCTACCCTTTTAACCTAAGATTGTGAGCTGTCAATACTGACAGATGGTCCTCAAAAGGGCCTGGGTTTCAATTTTTGGTTTATATGCTGTTTCTCTGCATGGAAAATGCTAAGCATAGCCAAGCTCTGCTGCCATTTTCTGTACTTTGCTTGCAATTATTTTTCTTAAATGGTCTCGGTTTTTAAGGAGCATAGGATCTTGTCCTATGTCAGTTCAGAGATAATCCTTTGAACTCATTCAACAGAACTGAAGAAGCCTCTTGGATGAGAAGGGAAATGTTTTTAAAGAAAAAAAAACAAGAAGGTTCAGTTGCCTTTTGGAAAAAGCTCAAAGGACAACCATGACCCAGATGATTATGAATCTCCATACACATTTTTCCATCCAGTACTGTCAGGCTTTTGCTGTGACCTGCTCCAAATCCTTTAAACTTGAGACCCTGAGGATGCATCCTGACACTTCCCCAAGGCCTTTCTTGATTTGCTTTTTTTCTTTTTTAAAAAACAACCAAAAAAAAAAACCCCAAACCCTTGTCATTCTCTGAGTAGATTCTGAGGGTTTAGAGACACCACAGCTTCCAGGCTGGGAGCTCTCACCTATAATCCTTTGTAGAGGAGGAAAAACTTTGCCTGTCCCCATTTTTCAAAACCTGGAAAAGAAGTAATGATGTGGTCACAGTTGCTTAGCAACTGTGCTTTTTTTTCATGGGCCCAAGTAAAACTCCCAACTTTGTTCAGTGGCAAGCAGACACATATCCAGGAGACAACTGCAAGGCCACCCAGCCTGCACATTTTCTGTTGTAGTTACTGATCCCGGACATATACATTTCTGAAATTATGAAGTGAAAATCGCCCAACAGCAGGAACCCTACTGGGTTCTAAGCTTGGCCTCTGTGACTGCCATGCTATGGGGACAGCATCTTAAAACAGCCTGGTTGGAAGTGGTTGCCTTGCCAGCACTCAAAATAGAATTGTCTCCTATGATCCAGTTTTTATTTTATTTTATTCTTATGTTGCATTTATTATTTTTGCAAATAACTTATGGCAGCAAACATATCCCACACATCTTCCTCCTCCTATTTTTCCCATAACAACAACTCGGTGGGGTAGGGTGGGCTAAGGGAGAATGACTGACCCAAAGTCACCTAGCTGACTTTCATGGCGAAGGCAGACATTGAACTCGCAGTCTCCTGCTTTCTAGCCTGGTGCCTTAACCACTAGACAAAACTGGCTCTCATCTTTAAATTTAAAGCAATATTATTTAAAAATTTTGTATCCCTGCTCCTTTTCCTTAAAAGGTTCCTGGGTCCAAATCTTAATTTTTTACTGTCTGTCAGGTTTCATTATGCTTATATTATGGACCACAGGTTATTTTCCTGATGTCTTTAGTATGCTATCATTGAGTTGACAGAGAAATACATAACATGCCTGTTTTCCTTGGTCTTGGCTCACCAGCTTTTAGGCTTGTAGAAGAAAGGAAGACAGCAATGACAAAAACACTTCCATGTTATTGCCAAGATAACTCATGAACTTATTATGAGTCAAATCAAACTTAAGAGTTTAACTTGACATATGTTTAATTTGCATATTATTATAGTATGAATATAGACAGCTGTTGATCAATTAATCTCCATTTTCAAAATTTGCAGATCTCTCTGCAAGCAGAACTCTCTGGTTATTTTTCCCCTCAATACATTAAGATAATGATCTTTTCTATCAGTCTGGTTCAGAGTTGGTGCCAGAAATATATAAAATGCCTGTTTTCCCTGGTCTTGGCTCATCATTAAACTTACAAGTTCTACACAGATTGATAAAGCTCAGCTTTTAAACATGTAGACATCGGCATTGCCCCAAGGCGTTTGCTGCCTGAGGTAAAAAATAAAATGCTGTTTTGCCTGATTCCACATGAGGTGTCCCTCCGGCCAGGCATTGAGTCCTGGCAGATGGCAGTGTTGTTAGATGGAGTAGGACAGACCAAGTGCTTTTGCCAGGCAACCTCATGTTCCGTCTGCTCATCTAAGAGCGATGCCTTATAGTCTAATGGAGCCCAGAGACAGGTTGCATTCTGGCATGGGTTTGGTTATACAATTGCCTTGTCTGAAACAGCACATTAAAATGGAGAAGAGGCAGTTCCAGATAAATATCTTTTATTTGCTACTTTACTTTCGGTTCCTAGCATTTTTTTAATCTTTTTTTTTTTAACCCTCAAATTCTATGAAGCAAATGAAAAAAAAAAGAGAGAGAGAAATTCTTCCAGATATAGCAAGCTGTAGGACCTAGAATAAAAAACTAAGTTTTTTTTTTTTTTTATTATTTAAATCAAGTACATGGTATATTCATTCATCACATTCCACATTCCTAAGATTCTGTCTTAGCCAACTGGGGAAAAATAGTCTTCACAGAAACAGAATTGTATAAGAGGCCCCATGCCAAAGTTTCCATTTTGCACATGACTGCTTGATTCAACTTTCCTGTTCTTTTTAGAGGAGAGTGGCCGGGGGTGGGGATGGGATCTCCTGCTTAATATTTGTAAGCATAACAGGCATCAAAGCATGGCTGTAAGAAAACAAAAGATTTTGCTGCAAGGTGTTCTTCCTATTTGTTTTGTTTCCCAGTCACTGACCTTTTAAAGCTAACTTTGTTTCTATTTTTCTCTAGTGACAGCATATTTCAGATTATCAGTGTTTCCAAGGAAACGGGTCTGGGCCTGCAGATTGTAGGAGGCATCGACAAGAATGAAGGGCCCTTGGTGTATATTCTGGCAGTTATTCCTGGAGGGGACTGTCATAAGGTAGAGAAAGCAGAGAAGAGTTGGGGAAGAGGGTTTCTATCTCTGCTTTTCTCTTTGCGACCCAAGACGGATGGGAGTGTCATTGATTGGTGTCTGCTTATGTTTTAGAACTCTTTCAGAATTAAGATGAACCTCTAATTTAGAGGAGCAGCAAACTTCTTGCTGGATCCCTCTGAATTTTGCCTTCCTCAAATAAAAATGACCGTAGCTTCATTCTCACTACCATAGTCAACATCTTAATAACTGACAGTATCCTGTGGACACCTCTGATGTTAGATGTTCTTACAGATATTTGAGACAGGAATGTATCAAAGCTGGAGTATAGACTGCTTTGATCCAGGAACTGCCTGGGATCAGTCAGCTGTCAGTGCAGAGTCATCTTCTTCAATGCAGAGGTTTTACCAATGAAGTGCTGTTTGCTTTGATGCTTTCAGATTTCTTGTTCTATTGCATTTTGTATTTTAAAGTTTCATGCAGCACTTTTAAAAGAAATATTCTTAATCAGCGTTTTGAAATTCCCTTAATTTTGATATTGTGTGCACTGATTTCTCTGTGTCACCTGGATGACATCCAAGCACCTGAAATGTCTCATTAAAATATGGCACAGGTGATAACACTAGGCTGATTTTTTCTGTACTAGAAAGCCAAGCAGGGTCAGCCCTGTATAATTCTTGGATAAGAGATTGTTAGGTAATTTTAGATTATTATGGGCTAGACTGGGGAGTTGAAAAACATCAAGGAAGAAAGCAGTGACAAAAGCACTTCCATGTTATTGCCAAGCTAACTCATGAACTCATGAGTCAAACCGAATTTAACAGTTTCACTTGACATATGTTTAATTTACACATTATTACAGCAGGAATATAGACAGCTGTTGATAAATTAATCCCCATTGCAGATCTCTGCGAGCAGAACTCTCTGGATATCGTTTTTTTAATACATTAAGAAAATAGTCTTTTCTATCAGTCTGATTCAGAGTTGGTGCCAGAATTGGACAACCTGGTGCACTCCATATGTTTTGGGCTTCATTTCCTATAATTGTTTTCAGGTGCCTTATGTCTGCAACTGGTAGGTTTAATTTCTTACATTCAAATAGAGGATGTTCTATTTGCAGTCACTGCCACAAGATGTCACCATTGTTGCTTGTATCATAACGCATTAGCACAGCCTTCCCCAACTTGGTGCATTCAAGATGTACCAAGATTGCAGTTCCCAGGCTATTTGGAAATTCAGGAAGTTGCAGTCCCAACATATTTAGAGAACGCTCAATTGAGTATTAGCAAAAGAAAGCTAATCAAAAGGAATCTTAAAGAACCATCCAAATGCAAGTGCTCAATAATACTGTAGCTGGAGTTATAAATCAATGTTTAAGAAGGTGCAACCAAGTAGCATTTTATGGACTACAGGATTAGAGGAATCCTGTAGTGTAATTATTAGAGGAACTGCAATCTTGGTACAGAATGTTATTAGAGGGAAAAATGTTAAAAAATACTAATAGTGGTTTATTATAGACATTGATCTACATACCAAGAGGTACTTGCATTGTTTTCTGTGAACCTTTCTTTTATTCCAAGTGTTTCATACTGACAGTCCCACAGCTCCTGTTATTCCTTTTTTTACTCTTTGTGGATATAATTTCCTTTATTTCTTTTGCAAGGTCTTATGTGCTGCATGCACACAACATAGAATCTCTTTAAGATAGAAACCCCAGACTATCAACATGGTACCTTGCTGACAATAAAGAATTCTTCTGGTACTACCCTGAGAACTAGCCAGCAGTAAACCAGCTTCCTCGGTCTGATTTTAACTTCAGATCCCTGACTGAAGGCTGGTGAAAACTTCCTGAATTTATTTATATAAAAGTCAGTCCATCATCTTTGTATCTTTCGAATCAATTTGTTCACTGAAATATGTCTGCGGTAGTCATTGACAGCAGAGTTTTTATTCTCATACCTTTGATAATAAATTAATCAAGCTCAGGGTTGGATTAACTACTACAGAAATTCTCACAGGCTATCTGTGGCTTAATTCTATAACAAAATTAAACATCTGTAGTTTAATGTAAGCTAACCCCGGATCTCACAGAGCTGTTATTTAGGCAAAAATAATAACAATAGCAAATCAGTTCCCCAAGAGATTGATATTAATTTTCTCTTCAAATGCCCCACCGACTTTTATGAAAAACCCCTTGGACATTATTTGTAGGTGGTCCCCAGCTATGCTGGATAGATTAGAAAGCGTGGAGAAAGCCTACACAAAACATTATTCTGAGCTTTGGTGAGTTTCTAATCTCATTTTCTTCTCTAAAGGCATAAAGCAAGAAGCTGGTACCACTTCTGTATTCTTATGTATCCCACACCAGACTGAATACAGTCTGTCTGGCTTCTTATTCAAGAGAAACTAACAGTATTTTGGATGTCTGTTATTACAGAGAATTAAGAGTATTACTTCCTTTTAAATCAATAGACAAAACAACTGATTCTAAAAGAACAAGACATATATGGAGTACATATTTTTTTCAGAAACATATGCAATATGGCGAGATTTCTTTGATTATCCTTCCATGTGATGTAAGCATAGTGCCCTTCAGTGCCAGAGAATGATGAGAGTTATTTCTCACATCTTCTCTTTGGGTGGAGAATACAGTTCAGAGGGGAGTATATAGTAAGAAGTTTGTTTGTTCTGTTTTATGAGCATACTGCAGAATTAATGCATTCAGATCAATAAAATGGAGGCTCCATTACATCCCTTTAGGGGAAAATATAATTCTGTTATCATTCCCTTTTCCTGCATACATTAGTTATATATTGCAAAACAGCTAAGTCTTCGGAGTGGGCAATGGGCTTGTTTGGACAACAAGTCCCAATTGCTCAGAGATGAAACAATATTAGTTTCATTATATGAATTGCTTTTTAAAAACATTTTTGCTACTTTACTACCAGAGGGCATGTTATATTATTTATTAGATTTTTATCCCATCTTTATTACTTTATAACAGGGGTCCCTGACCCCTGGGCTGTGGCCTGTTGGGAACTCGGCCACCAAAGCAGTAGGTGAGTGCACAAAACTTCATTTGAGCATGTGCGGGATTTACATTGTGCGCAAAACCTTCCCCCCACCGCAGAAACTGCCAAAGCTTCTGCTGCTAGTCCATGGAACCAAAAAAGTTGAGAACCCCTGCTTTATAAGTCAGCAGTCCCCAACCTTTATGGCTTGGCGGCCTAGCAGGGGGGAAGAGGAGAACTGGCCCGTGCAAGTAGTCAGCTGGTTTTTACGTGCATGCGCACTCCAGCTCATCACTTGCGCAAGTCGAGATGTGCTCACACATGCCAGCCTGCCACTCACGTATCTAGAGCTGCATGCACAAGTGCCAGCCCACCACTCACGTGGTCCCAATTCCAAACCGGTCACGGCACAGTAGTGGGCTGCAGCTCAGGGATTGGGGACCCCTGTTATAAGTAACTCAAAGTGACAAACATACTCCTTCCTATCTCCTATTTTCCCCACAACAACAAGCCAGTGAAGTGGGATGGAGTGAGAGTTACTTTTAGCTTTCATGCCTAAAACAGAATTAGAACTCAGTCTCCTGGTTTCCAGGCCAGCACCTTAACTGCTAACCAAACTGGCTCACTGTCTTACATGATAGCTTGCTATTAAGTTCTTTCCATGCCACAGTTTATTGGGAATACCTACCCAGGGTTAACGAGTTAAAAGAGAATGCTTTGGGAATGTGAGCATGGAACAGAGAAAAAAAATGAAAAATTGGCTGTTAAGGCAACTTCCCTTTTGTTTAGCTGCCCTCCCCTGCCGTTTCACCCTTCCTCAATCTGACTGGTAACTTGGTTTCCCTTCACAGTTAATAGATTTATAGAAGTTTTCATTAAGCTGTTTGAACTGATGGTAAAAATCAGTGTGAAACCCTGTCCTCATTATTCTTGTTAGGATGGTCGATTGAGACCTGGTGACCAGCTTGTATCTGTTAATGGGGAATCATTGATTGGAATCACCTATGAAGAGGCAAGAAATCTAATCAACCAAACACAGCCGAGGTAACCATTTGTTATAAAACCAAGCATCTCAACATTCATTTTCAGATTATGTTTATGTATTTAGCTCTCTTAAAATTGTCAAAAAGAGTTTTGGACACGTGCTTCTGAAAATGTGTGTGTGTGCTCCCTCCCCCAAATTTCATCCCTTTGGCTGATAAGTCTCAATTTAGGTCCCTAAACCTGGCTCAAGCGAGTCTTTAAAGTATGTAGTAAGGTGACCCGCGGCGATTTGGCGTTGAGTGAGTGACTGCTGCTCCTCAATACCATCAGTCACCGTGTTTTGGGGACCCCCTGAGGGGCGTGGAGCCCGGAGAGCCCCACGGACGAGAGAACGAGCCGGGTGAGCGTGAAAGCGGGCGCAAAATGCTGATCGCAAGACCGGGCGGCTCTGTCTAACCCAGCACGCGTGAGTCGGCCAAACTAATGGCTGACGCGAAGCTGTGGTAACCAGCAACCAGATGGAAGCAAGGGAGATCGGATGCTGCAGTGTGGATCGATACACACCTTTCCTGCATTGAGGAGAGAGGACATCAGGAAAGGGGTCGGCGAAATCGGGCAGGAGAGCCTTACAGATGAGAGAAGCGGCGATTGAAAGTTTCCTGTGTATTCTGGCAGAGAGAGAGCCCGACAAGCCGGCATCGAAATAAGAAAGAAAATTGTACTGACAGTGTGCGTGCCAGAGAGGATCGGTGAGAAAATTTAAGACCAGCACTTATTTCCTTTTTTTACTGTGAACACAAGTAGACCCAGCGGAGGCTGAAATTGGGTGGATCGAGTTTGGCTTTCTTTTTTGCACTGAACAGGAAGCTCAGCCATTAGAGTGACTTGACGGAGGAATAGCCTGCCTAGCGGTGGACAGTTTGGCAGCAAGAATACGATAGAGTGCTGAACCTGGAGGACTTATAGAAGATCAGAGACTGGGCAAAAAAGAATAGACTATATCCCAAAAAGGAATAATAAGTACATATATATATATATATATAAAAAAAATTAAATTAACAACAACACTTGAACCTTTAGATAATTTGTCTTCAGTATCCTGATTATTAGATCTGTATATACCTTGATAAATTGACTTCCTTTTTTTTTGACTAGATAATATAATACACTCTTAAGTTTTGATATTTTAAATCTTTCTATATATATATTTAACTGTTTAGCATTTATAGTATTTACCAGTATTTTTATAGTATCTAAAATTATAATTATACAATTATAATCGTATTTAAAATTAAGTATTCAAAATTTCTATTTATAGTATTTATAGTATTTTAAGCATTTAAAAAGTATAATATTGAGCCAAATTAATTGCTTTATTGATATATTGATTGTGAACTGCTGATTAATTGATATTTTGATTTGTATAGTATTGAACTGTCTAACTTATATTTACCAAGCCAATTTAACATCAAATATATTTAAATAACATTCTGAGTATAAGATATTGTGAGGAAGAGATTAGAACCATCATATAGATATTGATATTGATTGCCCACCGGAAAACTAGCTATACTTGTTTACGAATTTAGAAGGAAAAATTAGATATAGTAATATAGATATATAAATATATATTTATATATATATAAAAAAAAAGATAATAGAGGCGCTAAGTGGCGAATGAGAATTTGGAGTAACATCGACAGGATAATTAAAGAGCAAAAGAAAATCTTAAAAGAAATGACAAGCATGGCATCCACTGTGGGGAAAACAGGAAAAAAGACTCCCTCTAACCCCACTATAGCGACAACCTCTCCGGCAACACAAAAATCAACAGAAAGCCTGGCAATGCAAACTCTGCAAGCATCATTAACCCTGATTCAAGAAACGATGATGGCAATGCAGGAAAAATTATTAAATAACCATGTCGAATTAAAATCAGATATACATGCATTGGATCAGAAAATGAATGATATCCAAACATCAATAGTCAATAATGAACTACGAATTCAAAAAGCCGAAACAAGAATAGACCAAACTGAAAAGAAATTAGACATTGTGGATCAAGCACTAACGAGTCAAAATAAAGAGATAGAAGATACAATAATCCAATTGGAGATGGACCGGGCTTCCTTTTATTTGCGATTTCAGAATGTTGTCGAGGACAAAGAGGAAGACCTAGGAGAAAAAATGGCGGAGCTGATAGCCGATGCACTTCACCAAGACAAACAGGCAATAATTAGGGAGCTGGACGACGTATATAGGGTCCAGACTAATTATGCAAGAAGGAACAAGCTTCCTAGAGAAGTTCATATCCGCTTCACACGGAAAAAAGTTAAAGATATTCTTTATAATATGGCAAGAGACGAACAGATTACATATCGAGGAAAAGAAATAATAATCCTAAAACAGATACCAAGAAGAGTCCGGGAGATGAGGAAGGGATATAGATTTTTGGCTATACAGTTGAACAAAAGAAAGATACTATTCAGGTGGCTTCTCCCAGAAGGGATGCTAATAACCTGGCAAGGAAGAAAAATTAAAATAGAAAATCTGAGTACAGCACAAGACTTCCTTGACCAGTTAAGAGGTGTGGAAGAAGAGCAGGGGAGCAAGGAAGAACTAGAAACAGCAGCAGTGGAGGAGGAAGCCCTACATCAACAGAACACGAACGAGGCAACTGTCGAGGAGAAGACAGAAGAAGAAGGAGAAGCCAAAGAGAAGAAAGCGAGACCAGTAAGGGCCGTAAGAAATAAACAAGAACCAATAATCAGATAGGGGTTTAGAGATGAATGGCTTGAAGTTAATATCCGTAAATGTCAATGGACTAAATGATTACAAAAAGAGGAAAAGAATATTAACAAAACTAGGTAAACAAAATGTTGATATAATGTGTTTACAAGAGGTGCACATAAAAAAAGAAGAAAGTAAATGTTTAGAATATAAAAAATTTGGTCAAACATTTGATTCGCTGGCAAAGAAAAAGAAGAGGGGGGTGGCTATCTACGTAAAAAAAGGAATTGAAGCAGAATTGAAATTTAAAGATACAAAGGGTAGGATCCTTATGATTGAAATTAAGAGAGGGAATTCCAAGGTATTATTAGTGGGCATTTATGCCCCGAATAAAAAACAGGGAGAATTCTTTAAGAAACTGCATGAACAATTAGTGAAAATGGCATATACTGAAATCTGTATGATAGGGGATTTTAACGGCATTGTAGATCCGGAGAAGGACCATAAGAGCAATCAAGTTAAAAAAAATAAAAGGACAAACTTACCGAGAGCATTTTTTGAGTTAGTCGATGAATTAGATCTAATTGATATTTGGCGTACCCTGCACCCAAATGACAGGCAATATACCTTCTTTTCAAATGCACAAAAGTCGTGGTCCAGAATTGACATGGCATGGGCCAGTAAAAATTTGGGGTTGGAAATTGAAACTGCAGTAATTAACCCAAACGATTGGGCAGATCATAATCCATTAGAAATCAGATGGAAGTCTCTCCAGAGAAAATACCAACGGAGATGGAGGTTTAATGCCAAATTACTGGGCGACAAAGACTGTATACAAAAATTCAAAGAAGAAATAAATTTCTTTTTCAAGGAAAATGAAAACAAAGGCACATCCCGCGCAATAGTTTGGGACACAATGAAGGCCTATCTGAGAGGAGTCGTGATTTCATATATTGCACATAAAAATAAAAAAGAAAGGAAGACCCTGGAAGAGTACTTAAATCATATAGGAGAATCAGAAAGAAAACTCCAAGATAATCCAGAAGATGAAGCAGCCAAAGAAAATTGGATGATGTGGAAGCATAAAGTAAATATCATGGAGCAAGAAGAGTTGGCACAAAGAATGAAAAGAACGAAACAATATCTTTTTGAGAATACCAACAAATCGGGGAGGTGGCTGGCCTATAAATTAAAAAAGGAAAATGAAAGGGGAATAATCCATACTTTAGTAGACTCTAAGGGCAAATTATTGATTAACGAGGAAGAAAAACGGGATAGGGTGAGAGAATATTACGAATCCCTATATAAAGAAGAGGAGATATCGGATGACAAAATAGAACAATACTTGATAAAAGCAGAGCTCCCACAAATAACTGATGATGAGAAAGAAATGCTTAACAGAAAGATTACAATTGAAGAATTAAAAATAGCCCTTTCCAAATTGAAAAATAATAAAGCGCCAGGACCTGACGGATTTCCAGGGGAAATATATAAAAAATTAGAAGAAATACTCCAACTGAAATTAGTAGAAATTTTTAATGATGCACTGTTAGACCACAAAATTCCAGAGTCATGGAAAGAGGCGCATGTCACACTTGTGCCGAAAGAAGGTGCCGACTCAAAACAAATTCAAAATTACAGACCAATCTCGCTCCTAAATACGGACTACAAATTATTCATGGGCATAATGGCAGAAAGAATGAAAAAGATTTTAAATAATTGGATATATAAAGACCAGAATGGATTCTTACCGGGGAGACAAATTAGGGATAATATGAGAATTGTACTAGACACGCTAGAGTATTATGAGGAACACCCTGGAAAACAGATGGCTCTGATTTTTGTTGATGCTCAAAAGGCATTTGACAATCTAAATTGGAAATTCATGATTAAACAAATTGAGATGATGAAATTTGGAACAAATTTTGAAATGATGATTAAATCCATTTATAATAACCAAAAGGCGAGTATCCTGGTGAATGGGGATAGGACTAAAACATTCCAAATTAGTAAGGGAGTAAGGCAAGGTTGTCCCCTATCCCCTTTATTGTTCATTCTGGCCCTAGAAGTTCTTCTAAGGAAAATTAGATTTAACGATGAAATAAAAGGATTGCAGATCAGGAAGGAGATTTACAAGACGCAAGCATTTGCGGATGATGTAGCCCTAATCCTTGAAGACCCTATAGAGTCGGGACCTAAAGTATTGGAGGAATTAAGTAAATATGGAGAGGTGGCAGGCTTCATACTGAACAAAACCAAAACCAAAGTATTGATCAAGAACACAACTGAGAGCCAGAAAAACGAGATAGAAGAAGTACTAGGATTACAGGTTGCCAAAAAAATTAAATACCTAGGAATTTGGATTACATCAAGATGTTCGACCTTGAAAGACGATAATTATATTCCCCTAATCAGGAAAATAAAACAAGACCTAGATTGCTGGAAAAAAAATAAGACTATCACTTTTGGGCAAGATAGCCACAATTAAGATGAACATCCTCCCCAGAATATTATTTCTATTTCAAAATATACCCATAAATTTAGATAAAAAATTCTTTTTAGAACTAGACAAAATTATTAGAGAATTCATATGGGAGGGGAAGAAACCGAGATTTTCCATTAAAATTTTAAGGGGCAAAAGAGATTTGGACTCCCGGACTGGGAAACATACTACAGGTCAGCCAAGCTAGTATGGATAAAAGATTGGATCACCCTGGAAAATAAGAGAATTCTTACCTTAGAAGGCCATGACCTGCAAAAAGGCTGGCACGCCCACATCTGGGAAACGGAGAAGAAAAGGAAGACACATTTTCATAGACACAAAATTAGAGATTCCCTGATACAAACATGGACCCAGATTAGGCAAAAATATTACAAAAAAATCCCAAATTGGCTCTCAACGATGGAGGCCCTGACCCACCCAAATAGGTGGGAGAGGGAGAAAATGGGCAGATATAAAGATATCCTAGATGAAAGAGGGTGGCTTAAACCAAATGATATCTTACGAGAGCAAGGAATAACTTTAGATTGGTGGACTTATGCACAAGTAAAATCCAGATATCAGAAAGACAAAGAACAATATGGTTTAGAACTGGGATCAAACGGACTAGATAAAGTCTTGATGGGAACAAACAAAAAGATTCTGGCAAAACTATACAATTATATATTAAACGATGACAAGTTTGAAGAGGTCACGAAGAATCAAATAATTGCATGGGAGAAAAATATAGGGCGCAATATAAATTTTGGGGAATGGGAGGAGGCATGGAACAGAAATCTTAAATTGACTAGAGCGGTGACATATAAGGAAAACCATTACAAAATGTTTCATAGATGGTACTTAGCCCCGGCCAGACTAGCGAAGATATATCCCAATATACATCCCAATTGTTGGAAATGTGGCCACGGTCAAGGCACCTTCTTTCACATGTGGTGGACATGCCCGGAAGCAAAAGGATACTGGAATAAAATTAGGAGATGGTTATATAAAATAACTGATGAAGATATTGCATTAACACCAGAGATTTTCCTCCTGGGAATAATAAAGAAGCCATATAGAAAGGAAATGATGCATTTAATGATCCATATAATTACAGCCGCTAGATTGGCATACGCACAGTATTGGAAAGAGAAAACTCAACCACCAGAAGAGCTTACAATTAAGAAAATACTCGAGTGCGCAGAGATGTCTAAATTAACCTATGAATTAAATGATGAAAAGTCAGTTTACTACATGGTGTGGGAAAGGTGGTACAAGTGGTTGCATGATAGAATGAAAGAAAGATCTAAAGGTGTATTAAATAATGGTTAAAAGTGAGTTAAAATGTCACCAAGTATTATCTATGGAAATAGTTAAAACACTGCACATCCGATACAAATTGAAAAGCTATATTATGTATATGTTGTTTTATGTTATTGTTTGAATGTTTGTTTGTTTTTTCTTCTTATTTCTCTTTTGTTTTTGTCCTTTGTTTTTTGTTTGTTTTTTTTTAAAAGAAAACCTCAATAAAGTTTAATAAAAAAAAAAAAAAAAAACCAAGCATCTCAACATTCATTTTCAGATTATGTTTATGTATTTAGCTCTCTTAAAATTGTCAAAAAGAGTTTTGGACACGTGCTTCTGAAAATGTGTGTGTGTGTGTGATAATTTTGTAAGTAACCATAGGAAATTAAAGTGTATGAATGGATTTCATTGGGGGCTTCATTGAATTGTGCTGAATGTATTTTGATCATACCAGATGAGTTGTCTTCGTTTTTAAACATTGCCTGAGTCATAGAACGTTTAAAAAATTAAGGTTTTCACAACTAAACTACAGGTAGTCCTTGACAATGTAGCCCAGCATTTATGTTGCTAAGTGAGATATTTGTTGAGTGAGTTTTGCCCCATTTTATGACCTTTCTTGCCACATTTGTTAAGTCAGTCATTGCAGTTGTTATATTAATAACACGGTTGTTAAGTGAACCTGGCTTCCCCATTGACTTTGCGTATCAGAAGGTTGCAAAATATGATCACATGATCCCATCATGACCTCATGACCATGACCTCATGACCCCATCATGACCATCATAAATATGAGTCAGTTGCGAAGCATCTAAATTTTGATCATGTGACCATGGTCATAAGTGTGAAAAAAGGCCATAAATCATTTTTTTCATTGCTGTTGTAACTTTGAATAGTCATTAAACAAACTTGTAAATCAAGGATTACCTGTATTCACCTCTTACGTCAAAAGCCAGTAAAAACAGTGTAATAAATTTTAATCTTATTGAATTTGTTCCCTGAATAGCTAGAAAGCAACAAAAAATCTTTTTTACTTGGAAGGAATCAGCATATGATACCAGTTTACCATCTTTTTCATTCATTTAGATCAAATACCTCTTGGGAGATAACTTTCATTCGACATGATTCTGGTTCTGATGAAGTGGAAAATATGCATCCATTCTCCAATCTGCTAAATTCAGAGAGATGTGGATTACAGAATGATCTACCCAGCCTCAGTCCAACATTGTCTTCTAATGAGAATGTTGCTGCCGAGAAATCTGTCCTTGATATGGCAAGTTTAATTTGTCAGACAAAATTTTTGCTTTCCTTAAAAAATCGCTATGCTTTGAGTGGAATCATTTTACTGAAGCAGTACCTAATAGATCCTGGCTGATCTCAAAAACCTGAGCAGGGAGACTTACTTAGTACTTTGATGAGAAACTATTAGGAAATAAGGCTGTAAACTAATCTCGAGGAACAATAATTTTAAAAATCTTGGAGGATAGCTGTGTCAAACAATCTGCTCAGCCATAACCATGGAGTCACCAGGAGTTGACCTCATTTCAAAGAGAACTTTACGGTCTAATTTTGCAAAATACATGACCCCAATCAAATGTAATTTTTAAAAAATACATAAAATCAGATTTCTTGCAATGTTGTTTATGCATTGACTATTTTTATGAATTTAGAAGTGACTATTGTCTTCTGTAAGGGCATACCCAAATATTTCCAAATATAGAGCAGTAGGTGAGCATTTATTTGCATAAGACAATTCCTTGGCAAGACTTTAAAGACAATTCTTTTGGGTCTTCCGGGCAAACGTGTAAGCTGCATTTGCATATGTGGCATGCACGTGCAAAACCATCCCCTCCCCCTGCCGCCACTTGGGAACTGAGCCATTTGAATGGTGGGCAAGCACATGAAAACATCCCTTCGCCCCCGCAGCCACCAGTCCGCAAAGCCAGAAAGATCGGGAACCGCTGTTCTAAATGGAAGCGATTTTTTTTCAGTTATTTTAAAACTTATATGCCATTCGACTCTCAGTGATTGCTACAGTAATAGTTAATTGGAAAAAAAAATAAATGAAGTCATAAGAAAAGAAGGTGGGATTAATGATTGCAAGGTAACAAAGTTTGGACTCCCTGTAAAGTTTTATGAATGAGGCATAAATATTACATGAGAAGCAGTTTGTTTGCAAACATCCACTGTTTATTGCTTTATCTGTCTACTTTCCAGCACTTTTAAGGCAATTTGCAGTTTAAAATTATGCATGCTAACATAATAATGCATACTTTCTGCAAAGAAGAAACAAGAAAAACAGAAGTTAAGTAATCAAAGAGAAAATAAAGTATTTAAGAGCAAGCTCATTATTTCCAGCTGAATAGGACTGGGTGTCATGTTTAGTTTCACCAGATTGCTACTTCTGTTGTACTCTTTTTTTTTCTTATGCATAAAGCATTCAGTTTAAAGAAATTGTGTACATGGCCATTGCTATTGCTGAGGAGAGTATGTCTATCAAAAACCTAATGAGCTAGGTAAATTATACATCTTTAACTTAAAGCATCTGGTTATCTACTAATTAGTACTATCACAAATAATTTCTTTGAACTCCTGGCTTGTACATGGCACAACTCAAAGAAATAACTTGTTCTAGTTGGCTTGACTCTCTCCAATCTTATGTCCTCTGTATATGTTGCCTTTCAGCTCCCAGCAGGCATGCTTTTTATCATATTTCTTGGATATTACATAGGGTATAAATTCAACATATCACAGTGCACCAGGCTGGAGAAGGCTGTTTTAGATGAACAACATGGCAGCCTGAATTTTTTTGCACAAAGTGGATTCATATTTACCCACTTTAATTTGCTTTATGAAAAGAAATAAATCTCTGAAAAACATCACTCTTTCTTTTGAGGAAAAAATCATTTTCATTTATTCTTAAGCTATAGGAAGCAGCCTTAGTCTGAGAAGATAATTAGTATTCAAAATAATTGATTGTCTATATTTGCTATTAAATTAGATTACACTTCTCCTCTAGACAGATATTTAATGCAGAAGAAATATTTTTAAATAGCCTAAGGGGGAATATATGTCCTAGGAGATGTGGGCTGGTTTCTCCATTATCAGCATACTTCCTTTATGGAGAAACCTATTTATGAATAGAACATGATTGCATCAAGGCCTCCTGGAAAAAAAAAATCATGCACAAAAAAATAGTGCACAAAAATCATGTTTCTCTTTGAAATAAACACTCAACTAAAAGCATGCTGCATTTCTCAGAGAAATTTCAATACCCAGAATAATGTGGTTATACAAAACCTTAGAAAAAAGAGTCTTTGCAAGACAAGGTCCCTATACAAAACAATCCTTTTTAAAATGATAAAGCAGTTGCATCAACTATAAGATTCATGGCACTACTTCAAAAGCAGTTCCTAAATTTGTGTAGATGCACAGCCGTTTTGCTTCATTATTTTGCCCTGACCTAGAGAATAATATTTTGTTCCACTGAGTGGTTGAATTTGATTTTGTGTTTCTTTTTGGTACAGACTGAGAAGGGACTTGCCCTAGGTTAGACTATAATTCTAATTAGAATCCAAAATCCAGGAACTGAGCCCTATTGAATTGTTGGAAGCTACACATATGCTTGTACATTAAATAAATGTACAATCATGTACATAAACACCACCACCAAAGGAGAGAACAGAAGTGGAGAGAAAGCAGAATGGATGTTCTACAGATTTTTAAAGCTATATTTGAGAAATTCTGCCTTCAGTGTTTCTAAACCACTGCCATGCAGTTTTAATAAAATTTGCATAAGTAATGTAGAAACTGGCAATGTCTATTTTTAATGGTATTAATAATTTCTAGCTTGTTAAGAAATTTCATGAAACAATGAAATCCTCAGTGCTACAAGTTTACTTAGAAATGCCTTCATTTGGCAAGTTGTAGATTACTTAATGCAGAGTTCTGTATGCACATATTTGGGAAGAGGGGCAATGAATTATATTCAGTGTGTTTTGGATCACTGGTACTCAAAATTATCATTTAAGCATTCTCTGTGTGAAATAACCAAGGGAAAAATTATACGAACTAGTTCAGATTGAAAAGCAGTGGAAGAATCAGTATCATATAGTAAATTGACTGAAAATGTTTTTCAACATAGCATCTGACAGATTGATGTGTTCTTTAACTAGGATCCCTCAGTGAAGACTACCATGTTACAAATCCTGAGATACTTATACTTGTTGTTCCTGTGTCTAATGCAGCTTTTGATTTTGTGGCTCTTGATTTGATTGGCTTGGTTATCATTGATTGACACAGGCTTCTGATAAAGTTGTTTGTAGTTTGCTCTATACTTACTCTGCCCCTTCTTTGGGGCCACATTATAACTTTAGATTAAAAACATTTGCAGAAATACCCGCTTGTTCTAATCCTATTTGAGAGGGGAAAATCAATACTATCGAAAGGTTCTGCTAATCTTTATTCTATGGACTAAGATGACTATGGTAAAAGTATTATTTGGCACACCTTAATAGTTGTTATAATAAACTTGTTGGGTGTTTGGCAAAATGTAAGCACGTTTTTCTCCATAATAGACTCTACATGGGGCTCCCCCTGGGGTGCATCTGGAGGCTCCAGCTGGTCCAGAATGCGGCCGCGCAGGGGATTATGGGAGCGACGGGGCACTCCCATGTGACACCTCTCCTGCGCGAGCTGCACTGGCTCCCGGTGGTCTTCCGGGTGCACTTCAAGGTGTTGGTGACCACCTTTAAAGCGCTCCATGGCTTAGGGCCGGGGTATTTACGAGACCGCCTTCTGCCACCAATAGCCTCCCACCGGCCAGTACGCTCGCACAGAGTGGGCCTCCTCAGGGTGTCGTCCGCCAGACAGTGTCGGCTGGCGACCCCCAGGGGGAGAGCCTTCTCTGTGGCAGCGCCCACCCTCTGGAACAACCTCCCCCCAGAGATACGTACAATATCAGACCTCCAGATTTTTCGTTGGGCTCTGAAAACTTATTTATTTCAACTAGCCGGTCTGGCTTGATCCCACAGTTTTGTGTTAAATTTTAATTGATTTTAAATTGGGTTTGTTTTAAATCGCGGCCAAAAATATTTAATCATTTTAAACTGTTTTTAAATTTTGTATGTTCTGTTTTTATTTTGGCTGTTCACCGCCCTGAGTCCTATTGGAGAAGGGCGGTATATAAATTGAAACAAATAAATAAATAAAATAAATAAATAAAATAATAATTTGGTTAATAAAAACTTAACATCAATATTTAGTCTGGGACCCAACCTACTTTAATAAATAGTACTTCCTAATTTTTATGTTTTTCTTTCACAGTTGAAAACTGAATTCAAGAAAGGAGAGCAATTTTCTGCATTTTGTACAGACAACAGTTCCATTGATGTATCAGCTGGGGGTAAATACTTATGTGTTTGTTCACCCTCTCTTTGTTGTTACTACTTTTCACATGAGTAATATGTAATTTGTTTCCTTTTCTTTAAAAAAAACAGTATGTGGGCCTTTTCTTTGACAATGTTAATGAAAAACTGAAATGAATGAATTGTTGAGGTATCTTTTTCAGTGACAACCAAATAAAAGTTGATTGTCCTTGTTTGTAACATTTGCTTGTATAGTATGGTTGTTGTATGGCACTTAAACAGAGAGATTGTGGTTGTAAATCTCAGGGTACTATACAAGGAAGCTGCAAAGACTTAGGTGAAGCAAGTAGACCTTTGTGTTCAGAGTATGGATAAGAATCCTTCTAGGAAACCATATATGCTGCTTCAAGTTCCATGATGAAAATATATATATAAGGATGTAAATATAAGGCAGGATGAAGGCCTCTTCCACATGTTTCCAACCAATATGATCCTGAGCTCTCTCTCTCTCTCTCTCTCTCTCTCTCTCTCTCTCTCTCTCTCTCGTGTGTGTGTGTGTGTGTGTGTATCACTCTGTGTGTGTGTGTATACACACACACACACATACATATATATATACTATACACACACACACATATATATATGAGAGAGAGAGAGAGAGTTGTACCGTACATACACACACACACACACACACACACACATATATATATATGAGAGAGAGAGAGAGAGTTGTACCGTACATACACACACACACACATATATATATATGTGTGTGTGTGTGTGTGTATAGATATAGATATAGATATAGATACACACACACACACACACACACACACACACTGTTTCCCCAAAAACAGGACCTCCCCGAAAATATTTAAATGCATGCACAGCCGGTCTAGTTAGGGTTAGGGAGACAGATCTGGAAATCAGGTAAGACTGCAAGAGGAGCCCCATCTTGCTCCCAAAATAATAAGACCTCCCCAAAAATAAGGCCAAGCGCTTATTTCGGGGTTCAAAAAAATATAAGACAGGGTCATATTTTCAAGGAAACACGGTATATATATATATATATACGTACATACATACACACACACACACACACACACACACACACACACACACACACACATATTCATCAATGTCCCAGTAAAAATTTATCCATTTTAGAAGTTGAAATGACAGTATATATACTGTAAATACCCAAGTTATTTTTGATATCTGTTTTTTGAGCAGTAGCTCCCTCCTCCTACTTGTGTGACCACCTATTTTAAAACAAGGAAAAAATTAAGGACAGTTTGTGATACAGCTATTTTGAAAGAGGAACAAAGTCTCCTTGGATCATATCTCAGTCTTTGGAAAGCTTGAAGCAGATCGCTGGCTCCCATTCACAAACATCTCTTGTTTAGTGAAGGGAAGAACAAGGATGCAAATTATTAAAGGTTGCAAGTTTCCCAGGCCCTGTGTTACTCCAGATCTGTATCGGGAAGAATAACATATTAAGAGGCCCTCCCTATGTCATGTCAGTGCTGATGCTGGGTGGAAATTGAAATTATAAGCCAACATATAGTATTTTGAAGCCTTGTGTCATGGGGTTATTGTGATTTTGAAAAATAAGTGATTTGCCAAAAGAGTTTTTTTCAGGACAAAATAATTGCCATAGGGATGATTTTCATAAGTATATTCACAACCAATCGGTCTCCTATGTCTTGTTAAAAAAATGTATCACAGGTACAAGCCATGTGTTTCTATCATAGTATGACATTTAGTTTTTAAAGAATACCTTTTTGTTCCACTTTGTCTTTGTCAATTAAACCCCAGATATATGTGATTGTATTTCCCATCCCTCTTAATTTCTTGGTGGGTAAATATAAAGGGGCTATAAATATAAAGCATGTGTAAGTTTCCATTTTAATAGCATCTTGCTTAATATTTAAAGGGAAAAAATAATCAACATTTGGCATTCAAGTGATTAGCTGAGTTGTTTGAACAGCAGGAGTTTAGAACATATCCTTCAGCAGAAAAAAAATCCAATTAGATTTCCAATTAATACGCAACCTGTTGTCTCATAGCTGTTAGCCCCTCTTGGAGAATTGATTATGGACCACAAAGGAAGATTTCCCTCAATCCTTCAGTTCGCCTCAAAGCAGATAAACTAGAGATGGTAAATATCTCATTTTAATGTTTATTCTTAATGTAATGTGATAGCTTTCAGAGACGTTTTCAGAATTTATTTTAATGTTACTTCAAAATAAAATTACTATTCCACTTGAGTCAATAATTAATTAATCAAGCTTACGAACATCTATATTAATTTATGATGCTGTATCTGTATTGATATGTGGTGAAATTATTTAGTCAGAATTGAAATGGTATAACTGTATCAATCTGTTTAGGAATTTGATCCTTCAATTAAAGCTGTGATTTCATTTACTAGCTTTGGAAATACTTAATGTTTGTTTGTTGTTTTGCAAGCCATATTATAGGATGTTGATTTATTCATTCTGGTCCATCCTGTTCCCCCTCCCATCAAACAGTTGGAAATAAGTTGCAGGTGCCTTCGAGTGACCTTGCATGTTTTCTTTTGGTATTCTTGCTTCAGCAGCTGTTATATTTTAAGATGCAAGCCATTTCAGAAAGCGTTAAATTGCCTTTTCAGAATAAGAAGCTAGTGCAGCAAATAAAGTTTTAGCTATGCCAGCAAGAGCACATAATTTATAGAGTAAATTTTAACTTACAGTTAGAATCCCAAGGGCCAAGTGTGGTTTTTCATGCCTTCATGTTTTGCTCATCCTTACCTAACCAACATGTTTCCATCTTGTCTTTGGCAGGGCAGCCGGGTAAAAGTCAGTTGGTATCAAACTTGCCATCCTTTTTAGTCAAGATGGAACAATAAATTGTCTTAAGATTGTAAGAGCCGTAGGGATCAGGCCAAGAACTTTTCTAATTCTGCATTTTCTTTGTTTATTATTGCATTTATACCTTATATGTATAAAGGACATATAGACATCACTTTTTATCTTGGAACTCAGGATGGTGTATATATAGAGGTTTTGCCTAATTTTATCCTCAGAACAATAACTCTATAAGGTAGAGTTTGCTGAAAGAGAAAGATTGACTCAAAATCACTCAGTAAAATAGGGGCATGAACCTGGGTTTTCCCAGTCCTTGTCCAGCACTTGAAATGCGATATCACACTGGCTGTTTCCACAGTGCCTCTCTGATTTCATAGCCCACCTCAAACTCATTCTGAGCATTTTGGCCAAGGAGATTATAATATGTTACCGTTCTGCAAACTAAGATATTTTGAGAGGCCTGATAAAATCATCCAGTTCTGTGGAGAATTATCTGTTTCTTGTTTCTATCCAGACTATATATGTTACTGACTTTCCATGCCAACAAATTTCACTTGCATCTATTTTCTCCTTTAAAACCAGCTCATTCATTTTGTCTCCAGCTTCTGGCATTTGCTCAGAAAGAGCTCTATATAGGATCTATTTCCCTGTGTGCTTTTTTCCCTGTTTGTTTATTTTATTCAGTTTTGTTACTGCCTAAACTCCAGGGTAGCTTTTTTTGATAACTCATATTTTATACTTACTTTTTACTCTTTCTCTCTTTTGAATGTGCCACAGTAGCTTTTATCTTTATTAGATAGAGATGATCCTTCTTTGAATCAGATGCTCCCTAATTTCAGCCATGCTTTTCTGAGTTCGTATGAAATGACATTGTGCCACAGTTTAATTTTGGTGCCAGCATTCTGGTCTATTTTGTGAAGTCCAGATTTGTTAAGAAATGTTTTGTAATATCTAATAAATCTAACCTTTTTGTCTTTAGCATCCCTTTTCAGTCCACCTCAGTCAGCCATAGTATCCTGTGCACAAAACATAACTTTTCAGAAAACAATATTTTTGTCTTTCAAACTTCGCAGCAACTTAAATTAGATTTTTGTTCAATTGTGACAGCATTTCTTTGGCTTTCAGCTCTGGTTATGTTGGCCAACAATTGTGAGTAGTTTGAGATTACAGTATGTCCTGCTTGCCAAGTTGCCAAACAAATTCATGTCAACAAGTTTTGATTCAAGACCTCACAAACAAAAACAAAGGGAGATTTAACACGCAGGGGAGTTCCCATCCTAGTGCAGTTGAAGAAAAAGACTACATCTTTGAAGCCAGATTCAGTGCGAAGTAGCAAAAATACTCACTGCAGAAATGAATCAGCTCCATGTCTTTTGTCAACCTGTAGTTTCAAGGATTCCTCTGAAGGTTAGAACATGATGTGCCTTTCTATAGCATTTTAGTTCTCCAGAATTTCTGAGAGATTATTATAGTTCTGAGGCCATATTAACAAGTTTGCTAATTCTTTAGAATGAAAATAATTTACGCTGAAGTTTTCAATTCTTTTACGATCGTTAGAAATTTCCTGACCAGCTTCTTAGGTTTCAGTCCTCAATCACCCCCGCAGTTGTCATGAGTCTGCATTCATTCAACTTTGAAGATGACAAGGGCAGAATAGAAGATCACCCATTCTTCCTTCACCCTGTTGTATATTAAAATGTCGTCATTATTTCTTATGTTCTTGCTTCAAACATACCTGAAAAATGTATTTTAGTTGCTATACTCAGTTTATTCTAAATCGTAGCTTTCCTTTCCTATCCTATCCTATCCCAATCTATTCTGTCTTCAATGTTCTGGTGGTTTCTTGTTTTCTGATCCTCATTAAACTTTTCATTTGTATCTTTTTGTTGCTAACTAGAATTGTTACTTATTGTATATCTAATAATCCACCTTTTCAAAAAATATTCTTCCAAATCTTAGGCTTTTTTTATAAGCAAAATCTCATTCAGGTCATTCTCAATTCCTCATAACCATGAACAAAACCATCAATATGTGTTTTTGTTATTACAATATAGAAGTAATTCGCTATTATTTCTTCTGGAATATTTTTTAGAACTTCCCAATCTAGTCTACAGCCCTGATAATTGCTGGAATTCTTCCATTCTGGTTCCAACTAAACCAAACTGCTTTTTTTCCAAGCTCAGAGAAGGTCAGTCTGGTAATGGCACTTGCTGAGACAGGCTTCTTTTAGATGCTAGTATCTTTACATTGAATTAAACTGAAGCATTTAATTTTGCATTTGACTGAAAAGGCTCTGGGACAAATTTACAAAAATTAACAAGACAGCCCTTGCCCTCAGGCTTGTGACTTAAAACAATATGGCACAAATTGAAATGAATTGGGCAAGGAGAGAAAAAACAGTTCTCAGAAGTATTCTTTCCCACAGGAAAACTTAAAGCGAATTCCTTGAAGATGCTGAAGTGTGGAACCACTTTGATCTTTCCTTGGTATATTGTTCTCGGAGTACAAAAGATGTGGTGACACAGTAGTCCTTGATCTAGTAGCATAAGCTGAAGTCTCAGGGTAATCTCTTTGAACTGGATGGTTTTTTTTCTAGAAAACAGAGATAAATCAAGCTGCTGTTCTCTGGTTGGTAGAATCTAACCTAGCAATTCTCTAAGCTTGTTAATATCTAAAGAACACCCTTGAGTATAGTCATGTTTAGTTTTTTCATAAAATCATGGATTCCAGTGGTTTCAGCTATTTCCCTCACCTTTAGATTCCTGATATTTTAATATAATTGACCAGCCCTTCTTTTTTGTCTAGAATCATGTGAAATGTAGTCAGTGCCATTCTTCCTTTATGCATTTTTCAAGGAGTAAGTTGAGAGAAACATATAACAAGAATTTCTGAAAAATGCCATACTTAGTGAATGGAATGGAATGGATTTTATTGTGATCACTGATCCATTCATGAAAGAAGAAATTAAAAATAAAACTCACAAAACTACCCAATTATAAAGGTGATGTCAAAGTACAAATTATTTAACAAATAGTAAACCAATTATTAGCCACATTGAGAAGAATGAAATTACTGTACTTTTCGGAATATAAGATACACTTTCGCCCCCCTCCCCCCAAAGAGGGTGGGAATGTTGGTGCGTCTTATACACCGAATACAGCCATTTTTGGCCTCCCAAAGCCCCGTGTGTCCTGTTTTTGCGAAAACCGGGCCCATTTTTTGCAAAAACAGGGCACACAGAGGCTTTGGGAGGACTGCAGAGTGCTCCTGGGGGCAGGGAGGGCAAAAACTTTTTTTTTTCTTGCTTACCCTCTTCGAAATCTTGGTGCGTCTTATACACCAGTGTGTCTTATAGTCCACAAATTACGGTATGTTGGCCACGTTGATTGTAATTGGAATAAACCCAGTTAGCCTAAAAATTTCACATGGTGAGTAGTGAATCTCACTTCTCTCTCTAATAAAGGCAGTTTAGCAAAACATGGCAATGTTTCAATAACTCTTCACTGAGGAAGAATCTTTGTTCAAATGGAATATCCTGAAATTATACCTCAACTGTTGGAAGGGCATTAAATCTTGCCAGGGCTCTTCTGACTTTGGGAAATGTTATTTGGTTTAAATATTTTGCCAGCTTGAAAAAAGAGAAATAACTGCCCAGGGGCACATGTTTAGGCAGGACAAATAGATCTAATTGGCTTTCCAGATCTGTGGCACACTGTTCAAAGGCTGTTCTGTAAGCTCACGTCCCATCATTAGAATTGTTTCAGGTAAGAAACCACATACTTTAATTTCTCATTTGTCCTATTCTAGGATGAGACAAAAATCAATTAAAATCAAGAGGCCAAGCTCATGATGGGATGGAAAAGTAGTACCAGTATAAGAAGAAGCATATCTAAATATGTGCCTCAGTTTTAGTCAAGTGTAGCTCTAGGTACAAGCCCACGTTAGGAACACTTAAAACACTTTAAGTTTCACCTGTGAAACTTAAAATATATACCTTAAAAATATAGATTGTATCCTCTCCAAGGGAGTAAAGAAGCTATATGGTCCCAATTAGGCTCTGGACAGAAGTTGTTTGGTTAGTGCTTTCAATATTTAGGGAAATTTCCACTTGATATTTGAAATGTTCCCATTATTCCTTATACTTCCTTTCTTGAAATATCTACAATTTGAGAAAAAAATGCTTGGTTGTCAGTAATGTAACTCCCCCCACCCCCCGCCCAGCACTTTTATCAAGATACTTTATTACAGTCCACCGTTATTTTTCAAAATTGTTCACAAGAGTAATTTATTTGCCTTTATTATAGTTTCCTTTTTACCTTTTAATAATATTGACTGAAGAAAAACCTTGGATTAAAAGTGAAGGTCCCTTCACTTTTAAGACATATTATTTTGGTATATGGTATCTATTCAATGAAAATTTGTTTTTAGGATTTGTTCTCCCTTTTGTCCTTTGTTTCTTTTAGAAGTAATAATGTTGTTGAAGAGTTGCCTCAGATTGCATCAGCTGTTTTTTCAGAAATGTCCCTCTTAAATCTATGTTTATATGTGGGAAGGCAGTTAGTAAATGGCTTTTCTACATAATTTGCAAATAGGCCTTAGGCCAGTGAAGAGTATGATCTTCTCGCCATCACTGGTCTGAATTTTTCATCAGTTTCAGCCAGAGCCTGCTGAAAAGAATGAGATTACAGAATAATTTGGGTTTGATTGAATCTGAAAACTGAACACTTTTTCTTTTAATCTGCGGATAGTGTGAGAACATTACATAGTGAAAACAGTTTCTTCACATAAAAAGGTTCACTTTCTATTTATGAAAAGTAGAGCTACCACACAGGTTTTGTTTCTAACCCAGAGCTATAAAGCAAAGCCAAAGACACCTTTTAAATTAGAAAATCCGAAGCCTCCTTACTTTGTGGTTTTTGTTTTTGTTTTTATTTTCTTGATCAGGCTTTGAAGTATCTTGGGATTCAGCCTACAAAAGAAGAGCAAGAAATCCTAAGGCAACAGCTACCAAGGGATTCTGAAGGAACAGTTTGTTTTGGAGGTAATTAAGTGAAGGGATTTTTAGGAAACTATAAGGGAGATTTCAGAATTTTACATACAATTCTTCCTAACAGAAGTCACTAAATGTGCTTCAGAGTTGATTCAATATTTGGTCAAGCACTCCATGAAGCCCCTATGTATAATGTGGTATAATGTGAAGATTTGCATTACCATTTTAAAGGTATTTGTTACCCAGCACTTTCTTACTTACAAATTAAAACACTTGTTAGACAGCCTTATTCCAATATACTTAAGAAAAAGACTAAATATACAGAACAAATTATAAGGAGCAGGAGGGTTAGTGAGTCAAATTTGCAGATGAGGAATAAAGTTGGTTAAGAAGATCTTACTTTTCCTCGTATTTTTGTTGTGAGCTTTCCATAGATATATGGGTAACCATTAAGGGAACAAAATTTAGACAGACCTGATGCAGATATTATATTTTAGGATAATGAAAAATTAAGGCTTGATCCTGGGTTTTTCAGAATGGTGTCTTCACAAATGCATCCTGGGTTCTTCAGAGTGGTGTCTTCACATAACACATTTTCCTCATTTTTCTTATCCTGCTCATGTTCACCATGAAGCAGGAATTGAGTTCTGCTCAGAGCTTATCTTTTTTTTTTCTTTCATTGCGTAATGCAGTGTTTTACCTCAAAAACACAATGCAAATTGAATTTTTATTAAATATTAAGCAATTAATTAGGATTATGAGACTTAAGATTGCATTCTTAGCCATGGGCCCATCCCATCTTCAGAGGTAAGGCAATAGAATTCCCGTTCCTGTTGGTGTTTAAATATCTGCACTGCAATAACACAATAGCAAATTTTAGAAGAGCTTCCCAACACATAAGAGCCCATGAAAACTATTTGCCTTTGAATCATTCAAATAGTCATGTTTCCTCAGGTTAACACAGTTGCCCAATAAGCATAGCTGCATATGTGTACGCACACATTCACTTAGCTTTGCATCTATACTTCCTCTGAAGGATTTGCTTCAGTTATCAGATCAATTAGAACTGACTATCAATTAGTTACCTCTTTAATAAAAATTGTAATTTATCCTTACATTTGGTCTACATGACAGCAATGGTGTGGTGTTTGCTTTTCAAATATGAAAAACTAAGGCTGTGCTGCTGCACGCAATTTTAGTTTGGAAGGCAATCGCAAGACCATAGCTTTCCATTTTTATTTCATTCTAGTTTACCTAAATGAGTCTGAATGCATGAGGGGGAGAGGAGGAAGTGTCCAGGCTTTAGCACTTGCTCTCTTTTTTGCCTTCTAGTCAGTCCTGACTCTTGGTGACCATATAGAAAAGTTCCTACAGTTTTCTTGGCAAGGTTTTAGTTTGGAGTGAAATTGACATTCTGAAATACTAAATAACTAACAGGTACTAGGTTGTTTAATGAAAAATATAAGTTGATTTTTCTGTGATTGAAACTATAGTGTTGTTCTGACTTAAATTATATGTTAGATTTTATTCAGGTGGCAAGAGATTTATTTTCTCAGCAGCTGGATGAGACTGGTCATAGCCCTGTACATGAAATTGCTAAATTACTAGATTCACAGGTAAATAATATAATTCTTACCCCCAAACAAAAGTGGTGAAATTTTGATTTAAAATTCCTTGAAGATTTCCACCTCACTGTGGTCTTTCAAAAGGATGACTAGAAAGGATATTAAGGAGCTCTCATAACAAAGTGCAAATTACTTTCAATGCTGTTATATAATCATGGTTTTCCACACATTGTAGCTAATTATTGTGCACAATGTACATTTGTTTAAAATAGTCTTCCCAACTTCACTTGAGGGCAGTAGGTGGAGAAAGCTTATATCAAATAATTGTGGATGACAAATTAGGCATTAATAGCAGCAGGATTCTGATGCCCTGGAGTTACAATATCTTCTAGGTGGCTGGCTGCCCACAGGCAAATTAAAAACTTTTTCTTTAAAAGATCCAGCAATTATTGAAAGCTAACCATTGGATTATAATCTTCACTTGCTTTCCTACTACTGTCTTTCGTGAGTTATTTGTCTTGGTGCCATTTTAATTATAGCTTGTGAGAGTTTAACTAGACCAGTTGTGTGCATATTTATTTATCTTCCCTTGGGGCTCCGGTTGGCCCCTGACCTTCGCACCTTCCGCCGTGAATTGAAAACCTGCCTATTTACAGTTGCAAGAAAAAGTATGTGAACCCCTTGGGATTACGTGGAGTTTTGCATGAATTGGTCACAAAATGTGCTCTGAACTTCATCTAAGTCACAACAACAGAAAAACACAGTCTGCTTAAAATAATACTACACAAACATTAGATGTTGCCATGGTTTAATTGAACATAACATGTAAACATTCACAGTGCAGGGAGGAAAAAGTATGTGAATCTTTGGACTTAATAACTGGTTGACCCTCCTTTGGCAGCAATAACCTCAACCAAATGTTTCCTGTAGTTGCAAATCAGACCTGCACAACGATCTGGAGTAATTTTGGACCACTCCTCTTCACAAAACTGTTTCAGTGTAGCAATATTCTTGGGATGTCTGATGTGAATCGCTCTCTTAAGGTCATGCCACAGCATTTCAATCGGGTTGAGGTCAGGACTCTGACTGGGCCACTCCAGAAGGCGTATTCTGTGCTGTTGAAGCCATTTTTTTGTTGAATTACTTGTATGCTTTGGGTCATTGTCCTGTTGCATCACCCATCCTCTGCGGAGCTTCAGTTGGCGGACAGATGGTTGTACGTTTTCCTGCAAAATGTCTTGATAAACTCTGGAATTCATTTTCCCATCAATGACAACAATCCGTCCAGGCCCTGAGGCAGCAAAGCAGCCCCAAACCATGATGCTCCCTCTGCCATGTTTTACAGTGGGGATGAGGTTTTGATGTTGGTGTGCTGTGCCTTTTTTTCTCCACACATAATGTTGTGTGTTCTTCCCAAACAACTCAATTTTGGTTTCATCTGTCCACAGTATATTTTGCCAGTAGTGCTGTGGAACATCCAGGTGCTCTTTTGCAAACTTCAAACGTGCTGCAATATTTTTTTTGGGACAGCAATGGCTTCCTCCATGGTGTCCTCCCATGTACTCCATTCTTGTTTAATATTTTCCTTATTGTAGATGTGTCAACAAAAATGTTAGCATGTGCCAGAGATTTCTGTAGGTCTTTAGCTGACACTCTAGGATTCTTCTTTACTTCATGAAGCATTCTGTGCTGTGCTCTTGCAGTCATTTTTACAGGATGACCACGCCTAGGGAGAGTAGCAACAGTGCTAAACTTTCTCCATTTGTAGACAGTCTGTCTTACCGTGGACACATGAACATCAAGGCTTTTGGAGATAATTTTGTAACCCTTTCCAGCTTCATGCAAGTCAACAATTCTTGATCGTAGGTCTTCTGAGAGCTCTTTTCTGCGAGGCATGGTTCACATCAGACAGTGCTTCTTGAAACCAGTAAACCCAAAACAGGTGTGTGTTTTTAAAGGGCAGGACAGCTGTCAGCAACACATCCAATATCATCACCCTGATTGGAGTCAAGGTTGGCTCACTCCTGGCTCCAATTAGCTCTTGGAGAAGTCATTAGGCTAGGGGCTCACATACTTTTTCCTCCCTGCACTGTGAATGTATACATGTTATGTTCAATTAAACCATGGCAACATCTAATGTTTGTGTAGTATTATTTTAAGCAGACTGTGTTTTTCTATTGTTGTGACTTAGATGAAGTTCAGAGCACATTTTATGACCAATTCATGCAAAACTCCACGTAATCCCAAGAGGTTCACATACTTTTTCTTGCAACTGTATGTCCCCCAGCCTGGACTGATGGGGTAGTATATTTTAAATTTTTTTTAAAAAAATTTAAAACTTTTTATATTTTTTGTGTATATTTGTTGATTTTAATAGTTGTTGGTCGACTGAGCCGCCCTGAGTCCTTGGAGATAGGGCGGCATACTAAATAAATAAATAAATAAATAAATAAATAAATAAATAAATAAATAAAATAAATAAATAAATAAATAAATAAATAAATAAATAAATAAATAAATAAATAAAAAATAAATAAATAAATAAATAAATAAATAAATAAATAAATAAATAAATAATAAAGCTTGCTTTCACAAATGTAAAAAGCATTGCAAGTTAAACTACTGCAGGTAGTCCTCAACTTATGATCACAATGGAGCCCAGAATTTCTGTTATAAGTTGTTGCAGTTGTAAGTTAAGGCACCATGTGACTGGACCTGATTTTATAGCCATTTTTATGACAGTCATAAAACAAATCACCACTGTTACTAAGTGAACCATGTAGTCTTTAAGTGAATCCAGCCTATTCAATGGGCACTTTTTGCCGTCTTCTACCAGAAAATGGCAAAAAAGTCACAAATCTCAGTCATGTGACTGCAAAATGCTGGTAACCAGCCATAAATGTGAGCCATTTGCCAAGCGTATCTATAGTTTTGTATCTTTTTATAGCAGAAAGAAGGTTTTATTTGGTGGGCTGAATTAGAAAGCTTAAAGTATTTGGTTAAATAACAGACATGTAATTATTTTTCTGTTATTTGTATCCATGTATTACCTCAATGTCTGCTTCTGATTTTTTTTATTTTTTTTTTTACTGCATACAGCTTGTATCTTGTGATCATTTGGAAAGACATGAAATAGAACAACTTAGGAAAGAGAAAAATGAAGCTTTGAAAGAACTATGTCAACTGAAGGTGACATTTTGCTTTAATCAATTTAAACGTCCGCACTAACCTTTGCTTATTTTAAACCTATTGCAGTACTTACCACTTAGTAAAAGGGTGAGCTAAGTGTAGAATGATTAGATAAAATTAGTATTATTTGCTTTCTTTATACCGTAATGTTGAAACTTCTTAGCTATGATGCAGTTTAATTTTGTTCTTGCTAGTGTCTCAATGCCATTTTGGACAGGGAGAAGACAATATGCAGCAGTGACTTGTTCTTCTATAAAATGCCATAATATATCCATGTAACACCTGCTCCATGAGCTGTATTGGTTGTCAATTAGCTTTTGAGTACAATGCTTATAATTTATAATCCTTTGTGACATAGGGCCTGATTATCTGTGGGACTGCCTAGCTCTGATATTTTCTACCCATCCTGTATGATGGGTGGGCATGCTCCAGGTTCCATCAATCATACAGAGTCATCCGATGACACCAGGAAATGGCATTTTTCTCTCATGGTGCCTTCATCCTTCCAGATACTCATATGGCCCCAATCCCACCTATCATTAAAAAAAAATCTCTGAAAATCTGTTTCCCCAAGCCTTGGGTTAAGGTGGATGATAAACCCGTTTTAAGATGCTAGGATATATATATCCCCTAGCATCTTAAAAGGAGTTGGTCATCCACCCTATACCAGTAATTATTTCTAGTTGCTTTTTAATTTATATATTAATATTTTTTAATCCATTCCCATTGATCCATTGTATTTTTGGTATACTGCCCTCAAACCTTGGGGTGGGGCGGGATGGAAGTTGAATGAAAACACAACTTATTTTTAAAATATCTTCCCTTTTAATTAGGTAGAGGTAAAGTGGCTTGCACATTAAACATAACCTTTGGAGACTACTTGGGAACATCTATGCAGTTTTTTTAGCAACAATATGTTGTGCTTTGCTATTACCTTCTGCAATATTTTTTCGAGTTCCCAATCTAGTCTGTAAGAATTCCCTGGTGGCTTCTCTTCTACCAACCAGACCCAACTCGGCTTACCTTCACAGCTCAGCCAAGGTCAGCCAAGTGCAACTACATACTGAGGAAGTTCATTTGGGAACCCTTTTGTTTTATTGTATTGTGTGGGTTGGTTTGTTTAACTGATAGTGCAACAACTTCCATTGTTGTTGCTGTTCTTAAGAGCTCTGAACTTCCTAAATGATGGCCTGCTGAGCCCTGCTCAGTAGATTGACTCAATATAGCTTGCAACATAGACATACTCATTTAACTTTCATTCAGAAACAAAACAAAACAAAAATATGAATCAAATGAATTGTTTCTCAACAAGTCCTGCTACAACGTAGTGTTTCTAGATACTGTGCAGCAGCAAAATTCATCAGATGGTGACCTGTGCTATAAACTAGATTTAATGAACAACTAATTTGCCATATTAGAATGCCTTGTAACTTGATAGATGTACCGTATGCCAACTTTTTATGCTCCCCTGCACCCATCTAAAGCTGCTACCTTTCTTTTATGTTTCTCACTTTTTAGTATACTTTGTTTTTCATTCAGGTGTCTATTGTATCTTATAGCTTTTCATAATCTTTTTAGATATTTTTTTTTTATTTTTACTCCTGGTGTATCCTTTATGCTTTTTTAATGACTGTACTCCACCTTTCCTATGCTGACCTATGACCATAATAAAGCTTCTAGTCTTTTTTTTTTCATGTTTTATTTATTTCATTTATAATACTTTTCATCTCCATTGAACAGTGCGTGAACTAGGTACAATTCTTTAAAAATTCATAGTTCGCATATTTGTTGTTGTATTCATTACAATGACATTAATAATATAACTTTATCTTAAACATGTGCTGGGCTTTAAACCTTTTTAAAAGTGTTGCTTAGTGATTTTTAAAGGCTGTACTGGCAGACGGTTTCTGGCGTCACAATTTTTGTTTCATTAGTTCTCTACTAAGTTCATGAAACAATCAATGTTCCTGTGTGATTGCCTGCACTAAGAGTTAATTTGTTAAGTAATTAAAAAAAAACATTTGTTCGATTATGTCCTTGGATATGTCCCCAGGAGAAAATTCTCTGCAGACTTCCACAATATGTCTTCAATACTGGCAACGTGTAATTGCTATTACTACCTATTCCAGTGATGTATTGTTGGACCATGTGCATGCTTTAATTTGTAACTGCACTGCTTTAATTTTGATTATTTTTAACTATGGGCCTCACTGAACTTATTTATGTAAAGCTTTGATTAAGTGGAATTAAGAGGGATTGTTGAACCAACTGAATTAAATGTGATGAAAGTAAATAGAAGTCAAAAAGCACAGAATCTCATATGGGGAGGTCCCCTGAGATTGTTTCTGTAAAGATGAGAAATTTCTTGCCCCCAGCCTCCCTGATTGAGGTGGCACACAGTGATGTCAAGCTGTCAATTTACTGCTTTCAGATGCCATTAGGAAGGAAATGTCAATAAAAATAACAAGCCTGCTCCATTTTTTTTCACAGAACCCAAATATCTTCCCTCATATTTAGCGTTGCAAGATACCTATTTGTGCTGTTTGTTTCATTGAACAATTGCACATCCATAATTTTTAAATAAGCACAAACAGCTGCAGGGGGCATTTTCAGAATGAAGGGGGGGAAAGAGATTGTACACACAGGTAGTCCTCCATTTACAACACAATTGAGCCCAAAGTTCATTTTGCTAAGCAAGACAGTTGTTAAGTGTGTTTTGTCCCATTTTACAATCCTTGCCACAATAGTTCAGTGAATCACTGCAGTTGTTAAGTTAATAACATGGTTGTTAACTGAATCTGGCTTTCCCATTGACTTTAATTGTCAGGAGGTCGCAAAAGGGGATCACATGACCCTGGGACTGTCATAAATATGAGTCAGTTGCCAAGTGACTGAATTTTGATCACATGACCGCGGGGGTGCTGCAACAGTTGTAATTGTGAAAAAATGGTCATAAGTCAGTGCCGTGAAACACTCATTAAATGAGCTGTTGTAAGTTGAGAACTACCTTTAATAGCGGATCCCCAACATTGTGAAAAAGAACAAACCAGCCAATCTGATGAATGACTTTCTCCTCCTAAAAAGCTGAGGCATTTCTAAGCTGCTCTTCTGACTGCTACAGGTTACTCTTGACTTGATTGCTTTAGAAAGCCTCCAAAGAAAAATAACTGATTTTGATTAGTGGTCAGGAGATCTTGGCACCCCCTATATATAGTTGTCCTTGTAGAACAAAAGGAGCCAAAATGCTGTTTCTGTATATTTGGGTATTATGTCTGGCATGCTCATATTGTGAGTAAGCAGAATTTGAAATATCTCAATAGAATGAATGGGGGGGGGAGAGAAAAATAATTGAAAAAAACATGAGCTTAATTGAATCTTTGTATTTCTAAGAAAAAAAATCTTGGTTCCTGAAGCAACAGGAAATTTTCCTTAGACATGTTCAGAATTTTAATTTTGTCACCATTATATGATCCTGGATAAGAGGAATACCGAGTTGCAGCCCTTGTTTTTATTTTTTTTTACCAACAGTCACTGGTGGAACAGTACTGTTAATAAAGTTAGATTGAGTAGAGTGGAAGGAAAAGTAACTGGTCCTTCTCCCAAATAAGGAAAGGAGGAACCTGTGCACCGTTTCCTTGATAGTAGTATAGGTGGTTCCTACTTATGTCCCTGACAGAAGCAGGTTCTGGCAGGTGGTCGATGAATGATATAAGTGGATAATGGATTTTTTTTTCATTTGGTTTATGGTGGGTAGACTCAGGGAGCTGATGAGTATTAATCAGAAGCAGCCCCCTGGCCTGGTGGGATAATTAGAACTGGATGGTATATATGATATTGGATAGGAGGGGTTTCTAGGGATTTGGGAAGATAGGACTGATGTGACTAGGAGGCAGATGGAAACACTCATTGTCACAGAAAGAGCAAAATAGAGCAGGTGCTTTTTTTTCTATTTTTCAAGAGGTAACTGGACTTTTTCCTTGAAGACGTTTCGCTTCTCATTCAAGAAGCTTCTTCAGCTCTGACTGGATGGTGGGGAATGGAAAGATTTATACTCCTTCCAGACAGCTGGTCATTTGCATTCTTTTAGCGGGGGTCGTTAAGGTCACCTGGAGGTTTATCTGTGTAATCAGGGTCACCTGAGTGGTGCAAATGGGTGTGGAGCCTTCTTGGAACTGTTGACATAAGGACATAGATGATGTCGTATCCCTCCCCCTCTGTTGAGAGAGGACTGTTCAATTTTGACATAGATGGCCTCTTTGACCCCTCTTTCAAACCAGCGATCCTCTCTGTCCAAAATATGGACTTTGTTGTCTTCAAAAGAGTGCCCTGTGTCTTTTAAATACAGATGGACTGCTGAATCTAATCCTGATGTGTTTGTTCTGAAGAAGCTTCTTGGATGAGAAGTGAAACATCTTCAAAGAAAAACCAGAAAGTCCAGTTGCTTCTTGTAAAAGAAAAAAAAAAACACGTTTGGGACAACCATGACCTGGATGACTGAGAATCTCCATAGACAAGACAGAGCAGGAAACAGGGGCAGGACCATACTTTGAGAAGAGAGTTTCAGATTCCTGGAAGCTTTGGTCTGTTTTCTAGAAAGCTAAAATCATTTATTAGTAGTTGTTTTAGCCAGCCAGATTTTCTTATATCAAAATGTCATTGAATGATGGGAGGTGGTGGGGGAAAAAAATCTCTAAATTTAACTGCTTATCTTTTCTCTGTGTATGTTTTAGGAAGAATTGGCAAAGTCAGAATGTGTGAGAAAACAACTAGCTGAAGAGCTGCAGATTACCAAACAAGTGGGTAGAATATCTGTAAAATTAAATTAAGCCATTCAATCTGTTTTTTGCCCCCACTGAGAACTATTCCTTGTTTCTGAGATATCCGTTTTCCATATTTCATAACTTGATTATGTAGTTTATAATATACAGATAGTCCTCAAGTAACGACAAGTCACTTAAGGACCATTCAAAGTTACAACAAATCCTGGAAAAGCTACCTACAGCATGGATTCAAAGTTCTAACGTCTGCCTCTGTGCCCGCCCCAATGGTCATGTGACTGTATTTGGGTGATTGGCAACTGTCCTGCATTTACAGCATGTCACAGTCACATCACTGCGATTTACGACATTTTTGCAAAATATCCCATAGCAAACAAGGGGTTCACTTAACAACCATGGCATTTAATTAACAATTGTTGCGTTCATTTAACAACTGTAGTGTTCACTTAACAACCTCCATGTTGTTGGTCACATGATGACCTGCTTTACGACTGTCACAATTTACGATCAAAATTATGGGCTCAGTTATGGTTGTAAGTCAAGAACTACCTTATAAGTATCATCATCATCATTTTAGCCATTATCTATCAACTACAGGATGAAGGCCTCTTCCACATGTTTCCAACCAATATGGTCCTGAGCTTTGTTTTGCCATTTGGGCCTGTAATACTTGCTGAACATATAGTTATAAGTATATTGCTTAATAAAACTAAAGTCTCCCTTTTTACCCACAGAAAGAGTTTGTAAGTTATTAGTTTCTATCCATACCCAAACAATGAAGGTGAAGTAAATAATTATGAGATGGCTTTCCCCAGAAAAGCACATTTGACTTGAATTCTGTTGTCTTTTCAGGGCCAGCCGAATCTTTTTTTTTTTTCTTTCTTGCCAATCCTTGAATTGTTAGTTTTGTGTGGCAAAATGTTCTGCTAATTATTTTTATCTCTTCTGTTTTAATTTCTTCTATGTAATGTTATCGTTATTTAAGTTAGTAATTATTTAGTAGTTTGTTGACTTTAAATCTTTAAATTCCTTACCTTCCTCGTTTTCAGAATTTTGTCAGCTTCTCACAACCCATCAGATTATATTAAGTGTATTAAGAATTTTGTTCATGCAAAGTTGGCAATGTGATTTTAATGAAGTTACTGCCAAATAAAATAATAATTTGCCATTTTTCCTTATGCCTCATTTTGTCTAGTAGTTCTTATTTATTTATTTATTATTTAAATAAATATGCTGTGGTTAGAATGCAGTATTGCGGGCTAACCCTGCCCACAACCAGGAGTTCGATCCTGACCAGCTCAAGGTTAACTCAGCCTTCCATCCTTCCGAGGTCGGTAAAACGAGGACCCAGATTGTTGGGGGCAATAGGCTGACTCTGTAAACTGCTTAGAGAGGGTTGTAAAGCACTGTGAAGCAGTATATAAGCCTAAGTGCTATTGCTAAATGTAAATGGCCATCTACTCAATACATAATTCTGGGTACTAGCAGTCCATTAAAATAGCTAATAATAAACAAGGATAATTTAAAAACAGCACATTGTAGCAGGGTGATACAAAACACACAAAATCACAGTGCCAAGACAATCTCACCAAATAACTTGGCCCAATGCTCAGGAGAGAAACCAAGTCTTCCATGCTTTGAAATAAAAAGACCAACACAGCGAGGCCCACCTGAATCTCCAGGAAAGGTTCCACAGGGAGCACCACAACACAGAAGGCGCGGCACTGTTTAATAGAGAGGATGCAAAGCCTGTCCACCCTAAAAGAAGGGCAAGCAGAAAAAAGAGAGTGGGAGTTGGCTTTGGGAATTCTCCGGCCTTTTAATTTTTTTTCTTGGAGCCACTCTTTCTGCAACGGTTAACAACTCATGTATTTGCAATGCTTTGGGTCTGTTTTTCCGAGCTGTTTCTAAAGGAGGAAAGATGTATTCAAAGTAACTTTACACAGTCAAAACAAAATGAAAGTATCGACTTAGCTTGAATGGTACATTTTAAAAATAGAATTTGATTCCCTGTAGGAAGCCAAGGCATCTGTGGAGGAGGCGAGAACCTTGCGAAGCAGAATCCATCTCGCAGAAGCGGCTCAAAAGCAGGCTCGTGGAATGGAACTGGACTATGAGGAAGTAATCAGTTTGCTGGAGATAGAAATCACCAGGCTGAAGGCTCAGCTTGCTGATCACGGTGGCCAAAATAAAGTAAGCACCTCAGGAGTCTCTAGTAGAGTTGCCATGGTTTCCTTGCTGTTGTCAAGTATCCTGTTTTTCATTTTTCTTCCATTTGTTCTCCTAAAATAGGTCACTGTTTGTCTTGTGCGGTTCAAGAGCTGGAATTAACGTGTTGTGAAGGGAAGAGGGGCACAAAAGCTATGAACTTTTTTTCTTGAGAGAACTGTTTTGAGTGGCAAAATATGAGCTTTGGCTTCATTTGGGTTGCTGGCCAGTATGGCATAGCTCAAGCAAACATATGAGATATGAAGCATATTGCATATGTATTTGATCTATATTTTAACCATACAATGGATAAAACAGCTTTATTTTTATCCGGAAACTAAAATTACAGTCCTATAAACATTTAATTCAGTCTGAGTTCCAGTTAGCTAGGGGTCTGCATATTCATTTTGGTTATTTTATATAAAACATTTATAACCCGCCTAATTATGTAGAGGATTTTATGGTGGTTAATGGGGAGTAAATATTATAGAGGTTGTATAATTACTATTTCTTTTTATAAATGTTTAAAAATTAAAGCTTTATTTCAAGTGCTTTCTTTTTAATGCTGAAATTCAATTGCAGCTGTGGTAACTAGATATTCTATCTGATTGGTGCATTTTCCAGAAATGATAAAAGGCTTAAAGCAAAAACAATTAAGTTGATATTGCAATTAGTAGAAATAGGCTGCAACCCATAAGTTCAGTTTACTATAAATTTTATTTACTTTATAACAGAGCATAAAGAGTGAGAGATCCTTCAGTTTTCCCAAAGAACTACGGACTTTCCAGCATACAACAGACTAAAATAAAATTCATTGCCAGCTTGAGAGCTAAAAGTAATTTTCACCCTGGAAGGAAGGAATGGGATGAAACAATGACCACACTGATTTGCTTAATGCCCACTGCAAATTCATTTTATGAATTGGAAATTGAACTGTAGTCTGAGGCACAAATACCTGCTATTGGGTGGATCTGAGTAACATGGAAACCTGAAATTAATTATACATGAGGAATAGTAGCAAGATTTTAGAATACATAATAAGTGAAGCCAATTTTTATACCATAGGCTACAATATATTTAAATATAAAGTTGTAATTTTGGAAGAGGGGATACTTAAAATGTTTTTAATCATCTTAGGGCTCAGGATATCCATGGCTAATATTTATATAGTTTGCTTTTCAAAACAGGTTCCTGGGTTCACCTTATTACATCCTAGCTTGGCCAAGAAACAATACTTGTAGGGAGACTATATAGAGAAATTGTTACACAGTTTAAAACTGGTTCAGCTCTTTTCATTCCTCTTTCAGATTGTTAAACGAAAAACAATTGATTTGAGGGCAGAGAAGCAAAATCTGCCTTTTTCCAGCAAAGCGTGGTTCATACAGAGCAGAAGTAAATAGTTTTCCTCCACTCTTCCATAATCATTTTGTTGTCTGAACCGGAGGATCAGATGAAACAGCTAAGTGGACTGTATACCATATAGTTAACCATAGGCTACCTTCAAACACTGTCTGCATTGTGAATATCTGGCACTCAGTGTGGCTGCCTTACTCTGCTTGTAGAGGAAGCCCTATTTTTTTTCTTATCCTTGTCACTGATAGATGTACAACCCAGTTAGCTGGTATAAAGCTAGTTTGCATCCTCCACCTCCTCCCCCCTCCACCTGATGTGGTGCACCAAGGATAGACGCCTAAGCGCTGAACAAAATGAAGTAGCATTCTAGGTTGTCAGGATTGCATTGTGTATCTGTTGTTTGTAGATTTCCTTGACATTGTATGCCATATGCTAAATAAGTACATAAGAAGGAATGTATTGTGTCTTGTTGCTTCTCCCACAGTGAACAGTTTGTTCAGGATTACAAATGAAGGAAATTAACCAAATTTAAGAGCACTGGACTGCACCTTTAAAAAAAAAATAGATTGGTTTCTCCAGTATTTTAATCACCTTCAAGTTCACTTGACACACACCCACCTCCACTATAAAATCTTTTATTTTGCAATGTATCAGGATGCTAGATCTGATCTTGGTACAAGTAATGCCTTTTTGCTCCTTTGTTGACTGAGAGTTAAAAAAACTCCCTACCTTGATATTTAGATGGTAGCATTTTTGTTTTTATTTAATTTCTTTCTTTCCTAGGAGAGTGTGCAAGATTTAAGAAAGAGAGTTACTGTGCTTGATTGTCAGTTAAGAAAATCGGAAACAGCCAAGAAGACTTTTGAGGTGGCAACTGAAAAGTTGCTAGAATTTGTTGAGGTAATGGCGAATTCAAATATTGTTTTTCCTTAAAGGAACTAGAGCAGTAATGGTGAACCTTTTAGAGACCAAGTGGCCAAACTGCAACCCAAAACCCACTTATTTATTGCAAAGTGCCAACACAGCAATTTAACATGAATACTGAGGTTTTACTACCTAAAATAATGATAAACAAGGTAGAGTTCAGCTAATTGTTCTACAAAAAATGTGATAAATGCACTTTTATGCCTCTTCATTTTTTTTCCTGCTTTTGAAATATTACGTTTAGCAAGAATAAAACAGAAAAACTTTTGTAATATCATTTCTTTTTCCCTCCCTCCCTCTCTCTTTCTCTCTTTCCCTCCCTCTCTCTTTCCTTCCCTCTCCATCTCTCTCTCTCTTTCCGTCCCTCTCTCTCTGCCTCTCTGTTTCTCTCTCTCTCTTTCTCTTTCTCTCCCTCTCTCTGCCTCTCTTGTTTCCCTTTCCCTCCCCCCTCTCTCTCTGCCTCTCTGTTTCTCCCTCTCTCTTTCCCTCCCCCCCTCTACCTGTTTCTCTCTTTCCCACCCTCTCTTTCTTTCTCTCTCTTTCTCTGCCTCTCTGTTTTTTTTTTCTCTCTCTCTCTCTCTCTCCCTCCTTCCCCCCCAGGGGGGAAGGAACCCCTGAACTGGTGCTGGGTGGTGAGAATCTGACGTCCGTAGGCCGATGAGCCCAGGAGCAGTGCGCTAAAGCTCAGCTGGCCGATGGGGAGGTGGGGCATCCTAACACAGGCAGCTCTGCAGGAAAAGCAACTGACCGGATGTCAGTTGCTTTTTTTTTTCAAGCCAAGACGACGCATTGTGGCTCCACGTCGTAATGGGCTCCAGGAGGAGGACAGGACCCCGTCTCCTCATTGTGAAGCGCGCAACTGAAAAATTCACTCAATCAATTCCAACTTCGTGAGATCTTTTTCTTTCGCGAGAAGTTGGAATTGATTGAGTGAAATTTTTAGTCTCACAAGCTTTTGTTTCCCTGCAAACAACAGTGGGAAACGCGACAGAGAAACGCGATGGAGCTGGGCTGGGGCGATGGTGCGCGTGCCCACAGAGAGGGCTCTGTTTGCCACCTCTGCCACACGTGCCGTAGGTTCGCCACCATGGGTCTAGAGTATGTTGATTGTTTAGCTGTTACAAAGATTTGTTATTAAAAGTTATTTAATTGCACTATTAATGAGTTGAAAACTTATTCTTCTTTTCAGTAAAAAAACAAACTAAAAATTCAGAAAGCAGAACTACAACATCTTTGAGAAACTAAGTCCCTTTGTGAACAGACAAGTCTCTGTTCAGGAGTTTGACGCTCTGCAAGGATTACGAGTATTTTATATAATTCGGCTATTGCTGCAAATATAGGGTTTGTAATTCAACAATCACAGAATTGCAAAACTAGATTTTTTCACATTAGACATTTCTAGATTGTCTCAGAAACTCAAATCAAACAAGACTTCATTGAATGTTTTTCTGATTATTAACACAATGTAATAAGAAATGTCTTTGCTTTGGCTTTTATTTTGTTATTGTTAGTTTTTAACTTGTTTAGTGGTACAATCTGTGATGCCAACTCTAAAGGGATGTGGCTAATGCTGTTAGGTTCCCTTTGTTATCTGCCTTCTGTATTAATGGTTGCTTTTCTAGCAGATCACCAGGGAAGGAAGAAGAATCCCTGACATCAGATGCATTTTTTTCCTTCGATCCCTTAAGAAATCTGCAAAGACCATTAATTTGGTTAATCTCCAAATTAACAATACTGTTGTTGCCATCTCCAGTATCCCCTCTCTAGTTCTTCCATTATTATGTCATATAGTTTCACATCAATATAGAAGCTTGGGACAATCTATTTGGTCAAATCATATGAGGGAGGTCTTGTTTCTTCTCTTTTTGATTGTGTCTCTTAGATACTGCCTTAGAAAGGTATTCATTGGATATGATTTGGATAACATATGGGGATAATTTTCATTAAACCTCTCCCCTGCTTTTATTCCCATAATTTGAACAGTGGATTAGAGATATTTCAAAGCATTCTTCTAATAATAGCAATAAAACTTAGACTTATATACCAGTTCATAGTGTTTCATAGCCTTCTCTAAGCAGTTTACAGAGTCAGCATATTGCCCCCAACAATCTGGGCCTCGGAAGGATGGAAGGCTGAGTCAGGTCAGGATCAAATTCATGGCAATGAGCAGTAAGTTAGCTTGCAATACTGCATTCTAACCACTGTGCCACCATCATTCTAGGTGCCATGGGGTAGAACAAAACAGAAGTTGGCAGAAGCAGTTTGAGAGAGGGGTGATCTTGTCCATATCTCACAAAGCTAAGCCTGTCTCCAACTTTAGCTCTTATGTACACTTTTGTTAGGATTGTTGGCAGATTACAGCATGACAACTGCTGATTGGATGCTCATTTGCTTGCCTATCCTGATACAAGAGCAGGAAATTCATAGGCATCTGAAAGATAAGACTCTTAATTGCTGCAGTGAAGGCAACTGAAAGAATCAAGAACCATTAAGAAGAGTATTAATTGCTGTTGATTTCAGAAGGGTGTGAATTGTTACCAATTAAGATAACATACCTTATGAAACAGGTACATATAGCTGTGTGATTTCAAAATGCAGACTTGGAGGACTAATGATTATATAACCAGTGAAAGATAAAGTCATGCTATTTTTCTTTTGGAAATTGTTACTTTATTTATTTTTCTTATTTTTACCATTTGCCTGTAGACTATACCTGAAATGTTATTGCATGGCAGTAGTCCTCCAGTCACTTTAAGGTAAGAAATATGTGCTGTTGAAATTTTCTTTAATTAATACTTTTAACTCTGCTAAAAGGGCAATGAATCCAAGAACCAATTCTTATCCTTTGGTACTATTTGCTTACAAACCCCATACAAAACCTTTTTTGCAGATTTTTTAAAATGAGCTTTATAACATTGATATCCAGAAGATTCTATTTGATGAAACAAGTAGTCTTATTTTGATACGGATAGAGGTAATTGACTCTACAGAAATATCTGATTTGCCAAGACTAAACAACTGAGTTTGTTACACAAAGTGGATCTGAACATGGTTCTCAGTTGTACTCACCCATCAATTGAAACTTTCATATTCCTGTTGAAAATTGTTTACAGGGATTTTGAGAATAGAATCAGATTTTAGGATTAGAATCTATCAGAATACTAAATACAATCCACCTTCCCTTAAGCTTTCAGAGCAGAGATGTGGATATAACATTATGTCATATTTCCATCTATAAAATTATACATAATTTCTACCTAATTAATAATCTTTCTCATGTATTGATGTAGATCACTGCCATGTTGATTTCTAGCTCTCAATGTTCTGTTGCAATCTACTGCTATCATTCATTTAACATTCAGTCTTTTATTTTGGCCAGCAGTAAATATAATTCTGGTTTAATCATAATACTATGTTAATCCACAGTATCATTTGTATCATTTTATTAATTTGCACCCAAATTCCTTTGCTTTTTCACAAGTCCACCATGAATGGTGAATGGTACAAAGTCCCCTCTTCGTCTTCACACTTCCAGCGCTTACTTGATATTCTCTTATACATTTTAGACTGTAAATCAGGTTACATACCATTGGTACATTATTTTTAAATTTTTTCTTTTAATTTATGACAAAATGTAAATTTTAACACCAGTTTCTCACATTTTCTGCCACATATCCATATTTATAGTGTAGCCAAAGTTTGCAGCCTACTTCACCATGCAGTGTTTAACCTCTTTGTCCTCTGTTTCAAAAATTGGTATTAATTTATATCGAGAAATATTTCAGCTCAGAATAGAGTGTACTGGTAAATCAATCCTTGACTAGATATAGATGAAAATGCATTTAGTGACCTAAACCAGGGGTTCCCAATCCCTGGGCCGCAGCCCACTACTGGGCCTTGAGCCATTTGGAACTGGGCCGCAGAGGTGGCAGACTTAGGTTACTTGCACAAGCAGTGGGCAGGCACATGCAGACCCATCCCACCTCCGCCAGTCTGCTAAGGCAGAAAGGTTGGGGACCTCTGACCTAATCAAAAATATTGCAACAATATAAAGAAAACACTTAGTTCTTTTTTCTGATCATTTTATCCAGTGACAGGAAAGCCACAATCTCTTCAAAAATGCTCCTTGCACATCTGGGACGGAATGGCCACACTCTTGCGGCATCTCTTGCAACAGAAGCCAAAGAACTCGCTAGATCTGTCCGGGCTATTCTAGAAGCAGATTGTGAGTTTTATCAGATTGTTCTTCTTTTTCTAACCTCTATTTTCTCTTTGTTTTCCTTTCTTTTCTACCCCACCCCCCTTTTCTTGTACTTTGAAAAATGTCCCTAAAAAAGAATATTTGCCATATTTTGGATTGTGTCATGAATTCATTATGTGGTTTGTCAAAAGAAAAGAAAATAACCATCCGTGAAATGTTCAAATGGTGACAGTTGTAATAATTTAGATCAGCGGTTCTCAACCTGGGGGTCGAACGGCCATTTCACAGGGGTCGCCAAAGCCCTCTCTCGCCCCCCCCCCCCACATCTTCACTCACCCTCATCCTCTGCCTCTGTTGGATCGCCCGGTCGCTGTTCGCCTACTCCGCCCACTCCCAATCTATTGCTGCCTCCGGAGTCCCAGCTGATGGCTAGAGGGAAAAAAACTTTAAATTCTTGCCGCGGGGCTTCAAAGAGCTAGCTGCAAAGAGGTAAATTCCTGGAGCAAATTTTTTTCCCCTAGCTATGCTGAAAAAGCAAAATTGAAAGTAAGGAAGCAGGGTCTTTGCTGCAACGTGACAAAATGAGGCAGAGAGAGATTTCTTTTTCTTTTTCCTCACCAAAAAAAGGTAGGTGCAAAACTGCAAACAATGGGAAATTTAGGGTAAAAGAGGAGGTTCAAGATATTAAAACACAAAAGAAAAAAAAGCTCTATTTAACTAGGGAATTGTAATAATTGAGATACTATTTAATTGTATATTGTGTTGAAAGCAGAAATGGTTAAGTTGTGGTTTGGAGGAATATATGGGGGAAATTATTTGGTTTATTATTATTAGTAAATATAATTAATTGATTTGTAAGAAATTGGATTGCATGGAAATAATTGGAATATTCATGTTCATATTGATTAATATACCAAAAAGATAGTTATATAACTAATTGATTTATATTAAAATGTTGAATTTGTATTAAACAACTGTATTACATAATTACATAATTAACCAATGTGAGGATGGATATAAAAATAGATGACAATGGGAAGGGGTATAATATAGAATAGAAGGGAAAAATTGAATTTGATTAAGATTAGAGATGAGGATGAAGGGTAATATTGGTTTTTTTAAAAATAGATGAGGAATAAATATGGTAAAAAGGAAATATAGAAATTGTAAATTTAATTGAAATGACTAAACACTGCGTTAGAAGAAATCTCCTTCTGGGTTCTGCTCCAAGTGGGGAAAAAGACACTGGAAACATGGAGACTGCTTGGAAAGATGGTTTAATGGTGGACAGGATCACATGGCTTGAGTTCCTGAACAGAAAAGGGCAGATACAGTAAATCCTCGGGTTTTTATGCTCTCTCTGGCTTTGCATTTCTTGGGACCCCGAAAAAGTATCCGGATTGGTTGTCAGACACCCAGGGGGTGGGGGTCTTAGCTAGCTTTGCTGGCTGAGGGTCACATGTGTTTCCCAGGTCACATGCTTCCCAGATCACGTATGGTGAGTTTCGGTTGCTAGATGGGACCCATTGTGTTAGTTTCTGTTGCTATTGTGTTGCAAATGTCCTTTGACAAAGGATTGACTTTCTGCCTCTGGCCCATTAACAAAGGGTGGGGGGCAGGAAGGTGGGAGCTACTTTGTCTGTAAAATATGCTTCTCCATTTCTCATCCAGGGAAATATAATATTCTGCCTTTTTAATATTTCCCAAAATATTTCATTCTTCTAGGAAAGGGGTGGGTGCTAACCTCCTACAACTGTTTAAATTTGTGAACCAGCCAAATACTCTGTTCAAAAAAATACGTTGTATGTTTGTATGTGTGTTTCTAATTATTGCTATTTATTCCTATTTGTTCTCTTTTATTCTTTAAAGTTTAACAATTCTTTCTTTATCTTAATATCTGTTTGGGATTGGCTTTCTTCCCTTTCAATCTTTTTTATTGTACAGCAATCTTTCTCCTCAAACCTACCACCTCTGTCTTTTCTTTCCTTCTTACTTTCTCTTCTCCCCCTCTTCTTCTTCTCCCTACTTCCTCTTTCTTTCTCCTCCTCCTCTCTTCCTCCCTCTCTTACCCTCACTCCTACTCTAATTTCCCTTCCCTTCCTTCATCCCTCTCTATTGTTGTATCCTTTTATGCATATGGACTACTCAGAGGGCTGAAAAAGTTATTTTTGACTGGTTCTCGCACTTTTGACCAGTCCTCGAACTTACGACTGTCCTCACAATTTACGTTTTTGCCCTATCTTGTCACCATGGTGAAGAGAAGCAGTTGTGAAATGAGTGACACGGTTGTTAAGAATGGTACAATGGGCATAAATGATGACCAGTCATAACTGGTCCCTCAACTGTCCCTCTCTCCTTTATCAGATCTAGATCTATTACGACCACTCAGCGTTAACTTGCAATCTTACATCGATCTGCAGCTTTATTTACCACCTATTCCCCCAAGATTACCCTGATTATTTAACCCTAAATACTTTGTCCAGTGGCTCTGCCTTACTTTTTTGATCTAATCCTCGGCCATCACTGGTATCAGGACTGGAGGAGATACAGACATCGAGAGTCTTGGATTATGGGGAGATAGACCACCTTCTCTTTGTTTGTTTCAAATGGTTTGGTCGCTGTGAGAGGACGATCCTTTGAGACCTCTACCCCCACCTCCTTTGGATGGACTTACTACAACCACAAGACTTCCCATCGTCGTGAGAGGGCGATGATGTTCCGATGTATTGACATTTGTAACTTACTGGTCTCCCTTTTACATCTATTTCCTCCCTTATTTTAAATTACCTGTCTTAACCATCTCTAACACTCTTAGAAGAAAATGATCCTTCATCTCCTTCAACTCGCTCCTATCTTTGATGTATTCAACTGCGGAGCTCCTTGCACTGCGAGATTCCCCCCTCTCGCATGTCTGGCCCTCTCAGTTATCAAGGGCCGCCCTTGAGGACGGGTTTTGGAACCCTGAGAGGTGGTTTGCAAAAAACCGACGGCTTTGGGGTTTTTTAGATAAATCTTTAAGTTCTATTTTAAGGGGTTCTGGGAGGGATTGTGGGAATGGATCTGGGGGGATCCATAAATCCACTGAAAGGGGTAATGGGTCTGATAATCATGGTGGGGAGGATGGGGACAGAAATCTGACAAGGATGCAGGGGGATGAAGCAATGGGCATTAGTATAGTAAGTGGGAGGGGCAGATATGACGGCTGCAGGGGGCCATATTATGTTTCGGGAGTGCGCACTCGATGTTTACGAGCGATTGCCCACTCCGACCCCCAAAGCACTGCTCGTTTCCCGGGTTGTTCAGAGTCTCAGACCCTGGGTCTACGGCTGATGTTATGTAATGCCAGGTCAGTGGTAAATAAAGCCCCCCTCATTCATGATCTTATTTCAGAGGGGGGTGCTGACCTGGCAGGGATTACAGAGACCTGGTTAGGCCAGGAGGGAGGAGTTCCCCTTGTGGAAATGTGCCCGCCAGGTTTCCGTGCATTCCATCAGCCAAGGACTCAGGAAGGGGTGGGGGAGTGGCAGCAATCATTAGAGAAAGTCTTTGCCCGAGGGAGGCCACTGTTCCTCAGATACCCGGATGTGAGTCCCTCCTTGTGAAGTGGGGTCAGGGGATTCAGATGGGCCTACTGATTGCGTACCTGGCTCCCTGCCACGTAACAGCGGTCCTGCCTGAGCTGCTCGACATTATAGCCGGGTGGGCGGTGGAAACCCCCAGACTTATTGTTATGGGGGATTTTAACCTGCCATCTGCTGGTGAGATGTCGGAGACGGCTCGGGAGTTCATGGCTTCCATGACGGTCATGGGCCTGACCCAGGTAGTTCAAGGCCCCACCCACTTGGGGAATCACACTCTGGACTTGATTTTTGTCTCTGATCAGTGGCTGAATGATCCAAGAATAGGGGATATAGACATCAAGCCCTTGTCATGGTCTGATCATTCTCTCCTTCACATGGACTTTCAAGTCACTTCCACCCACCACAGGGAGACGGAACCAACCAAATGGTTCCGTCCCAGGCGCCTGATGGACCCCGAAAGGTTCCTGATGGAGCTTGGGCCATTTCCTGAGACTCTGGCTCACGACTCGATTGAGGACCTGGTGGTCGCCTGGGACAGGGCGGCTACTGGGGCCTTGGACCGTGTCGTGCCTTTGCGGCCTCTGACCCGATGCCGATCTCGTCTAGCTCCTTGGTTTTCCGAGGAGCTGAGAGAGATGAAGCGTCGGAAAAGATGCCTGGAGAGTGATTGGAGGACAAGCCGATCTGAATCTGACCGAACACAGGTGAGATCTTATATTAAGACCTACCTAGTGGCGATAAGAGCGGCGAAGTCTAACTACTTCTCCGCTCTTATTGCATCTGCAAGAACCACCCAGCTGCACTGTTTAGGGTGACCCGCTCCCTACTTCAGGTGGGGGTACGGGAAGATCCCTTAAAGGGTCGAGCTGAGGATTTTGTACAATTCCTGCATGATAAAGTCGCTCAGATTCGGGAAGGCCTGGACTCCGATTGGGTAGATCCAGGGGAGGAGACGGGGGCAGGTCTTGAGAGCGTTATCTGGGAAGAGTTTGACTCTGTGGCTCCTGAGGACGTGGACAGGATTCTGGGCAAGCTTAACACTGCCACATGTTTATTGGACCCGTGTCCCTCCTGGTTGGTACTGGCCTCCCGGGAGGTTACACGAGGCTGGCTCCAGGGGATTATAAATGCTTCTCTGAGTGAGGGTGTCTTTCCCGCCGCCTTGAAAGAGGCGGTTGTGAAGCCCCTCCTCAAGAAGCCTTCCCTGGACCCGGCTATATTATCAAATTATCGTCCAGTCTCCAATCTTCGCTTTGTTGCGAAGGTTGTTGAGAGTGTGGTGGCGCGACAACTACCCCGATACCTGGATGAAGTTGTCTATCTGGATCCGTTCCAGTCGGGCTTCAGGTCACGATACAGCACAGAAACGGCATTGGTCGCATTGGTGGATGATCTCTGGAGGGCTCGGGACAGAGGTTGCTCCTCTATCCTGGTCCTATTAGA